AAGCAATGACTAGTATTTGCATGTGCCATGGCAACCCACAGTGGATTTTCATGTCACTGGAACCAGATCAATATCATATTTTTGTTCTTTTAAAAAATCCATCCCATTGACTGAAGTAGTACATTTTATTTATAATGTATTTATTTATTAGATTGACATAACATGTAGCTTCTCCCTCACTGTCATTGCTCAGAACCTCACCTCAGACAACACAATAACACACATTCAGAGAGTGAGTATGAACTGAGTGTGAGCTGACATTGAACCATGGATTGTCAAAGTGTGGGTTGTTGAGTTGTCTGAATCCAGGTGTGCTAACAAGAGAATCCCTGGTTTTGGGTTTATAAAATATGGGTTGTTCACCATGCTTCACTCTCTCAGCTGGTTTAAGACATTATACCCTGTATTTCAACAACTACCTGGGTCTCATTGACAACTCATACTGGATCTATACTCTAATGTGTGGGTTATTGTGTTGTTTGAACCCACTGATCTAGCACTTATGTGGTAGGGAGGACAGAGTAATGCCCCACACAATTCAACAGCACTCAAAAGAATGGGATGTAAATCAACAGGAACAGCTGCAACCTAACAAAATTTGTTTGGCAGGATATGCTACCTCACAGTACAAGGACTCTGGCTCTGTTGGTTGAAATGAGCTGTTTGTAACTACTCTGTTTAGAAGTTTAAACAGCTGTTACCAGCATACAAGGCTTATGAGCAGGTCAGATGGTGGCATTGTTTATGGGATGGAGTTCAACAGTATTAAAAATGATGACCTATGAAAAGACTGTGAACATCACATGTGTAAGAAACTGGCATGCATGTATAGGTAAGCAGTGCAGAGTGAAAGTGAGGAGTAGGGATCTGTTTTTCTTTATGTAATACTTTTTCACTGGTTGGTCTAGCACATAACGTTTAACATTACAAGGACAAATAGCAGCAAGCTTTGGACTCATACATTCCTCTGTCTGCCAGGCTGCAAGAAGCTTGGAAGCTTTTGCTTCTATTTTACATCACCTGAAGCTTTTCCTGTGGTTAGTTACACTTAAATATGGAAGTAAGCCAACTTGAAGCCATAGTTGAAGCTGGCTTGTTTGCATGAACCATAGATAAGATTTAACTACACTTTAAGGTTTGGACATAATGCCAAACTGTGGTTAATCTAAAAGAGAACTGGAAGGGGGAAGCAACAGGGAGGGGCACATGAGCCCAAGATGAGTTGTGGCATAAATGTTTAGTATTAGATGTCATTTGGGCTTGTGGAGCAAAACATCTTCACTGTCTTATTTTTTTTAAAAAAGTTACTAACTTCAGTCCCTCTGGGATGTTTCATCAATCACAGCTGGCATTTAAGAACTAGATGTTATTTTTCTCTTATTTAGCAGCTTCTGTAGTGAACGATAGGTTAAGTTATCAATGGAGCACAGGAGATGAGGGTTGCCTGCTGGGATCTCCCAGTTATGAATGGGCCTGCCTTGACATGTTAAAGATTTGGCCTAGTAAGTATCAAACAATAATCAACATTACTTTAGCTTTGTGTTTGAAATTGCCAAATTAAGCCTCTCATCTCACTAGGTAGCTGCTGCTCTCCTGAATGTTGTGCTTAATCTTGCAAAAGTTGAAGGCTGCTTTTTCTTTCAGATTAGACGGGTATGTTTACTTGCGATAACTATTTTGGTGTTGCTACATTGATATGCAAGGTGAACATAAAGACAGGTATGTTTTACTCCTGTTATCTACAGCACTGATATTCTAAAATGTAGCACAATGTCTTTATTCTGTGATGTTCTTCCAAGATAGTGCTAAATACATAATAAAAACATGACATTGCATTGATAGCAATTTAAGGTTAAGCAGGCAGTTAAGAAAATCTACAAATTACTTTTATTAATCTTGAGGAATTATTTCACTTGCATAAAGCTACCTTCTTCCACATAGCATGGATGCAGACATAATACCATCTCCCTTAACTGCAGTTAACACAAGAACAACCAGTCACAAGATTGTGAAGTCCCTTCCTTTTCTGTAGCTGTTTATTTTTAATTTATATACCACCCATAGCCTCTTCTTCTTCTTGCCTCTGCTGCTGCTGCTTCTGTTGTTGTTGTTGTTCTAAATTGTGAACCACCCAGAAAGCTTTGGATATTAGGCAGTACTATCATCATCGTCATCATCCCAGTTAAGCAATCATTGTTAATACCAGCATGAATCCAGTTCCTTGCTTAGGGGGACCTTAGAATCATTATTTGGCTGCAGTTGGTAACAAACTCTGGTTAAAAGGTAACCTGGTTAGTTAAGTGAATTCATTGTGATTACATTGCTAATGGGTGTTAGGAGGAGGGGATTGAATCCACAGAATTCAATTCAACTTGGGGGAAATTCAATGTTCCAGTCTGACCCAGAACACTGGAGGTAACAGAGGAGAAGTTACCTCATGCCACCATTTTTCTGTTGCCTCTCTTTATTTTTTTTAAAGTAATTACTAATGAACTTCTTCTCTCTGGGCTGTTTCATTTGTCATAGCAGAACTGGCAGATATAAGATTACATTCAGTAGACCATTGCTACAGATCCATAGTCCACTATGAGCATACATGACCATCCAGCCGTGTTCTGTTCAGAACTGGCCTTTATTTATGGTACAGTTATGATTGAGGATGCAATTTGGTGGCCTCCTGACAACACTCAACAAAGGAAGTCAAGGGTGGGGTACACTGGGTTGTTGTGCAGGGGATGTCGACAGCGGGGCTGGCCTTATCATGAAGCCAGGTGAGGCTTCATCAGATACTACAATGGGGGCAGCGGGGAATGGCAGGTGATCAGAAAAGGCCCAGCAGCTCCTGTTGCGCTGTGGCACTTGACACACCAATAAAGGAGCTAGTTGTTCTCTGGAACAGCTGTCTGCCCATAGCTGTCTATTCTGCTATATTGGCCTGAGGGCCCTCTAAGCTTTTGCTTCTGCTGTTGAAAGACAAGGCTGTGGAGTCATAAGAGCATGCCCAGGTTTCATGAGACTTGGCTGCCTGGGCTCTCACAAGACCCACACAGACAGAGGACCTGAAGCAGTGGCAGCAAGGACAAAGGCAACGCACATGCTTGCCTCAGGCAGCAGTAGGCTTTGGGTCAGGACCAGGCTACTACACAGCCTACCTGTACTCTCTACATCTTGAATGTCTGAATCGGGCTCCCCTGTTTTTGCCATCCTGAATTCCTTATTTTTGAAGGCCCAAGGAAGAATTCACCACAACCTCCACCCACAGCCAAAGCTCCACCTTGCCCTCCCGCTGTGTTAAGTTGCCACCCCATAATGCCTTGGGGCATCAGAAACTATGGAGGTCTCCTGGTTCTACCTGCTGAAACCTTAAGGCTGGCACCAGAAGGGATGCTTCCGTCACTGGCATTGAGGTCTGCCCTTTGGCCAAGGCAGGATCCTGCCAAGCTGAAACAGACTTAACCACTCAGTTAATAATTCACTAGCCTAAAGTGGACTTTCAGGTATCGATCAGGCAGAAGAGGCCTCTGCCAGCTCATCAGTGACTTGCCTCAACAAACTGATTCTGCCCCTTCAAAGACAGTCACTGTGAAAGACAAAGACAGTCACAAACTGTGAAAGAAACTTGCCTAGACAGCTGGAATGGGGCTGTATAAGAGCCAAGCAAAGTGTGCACATAAATGAGACTGTAATATACACAAAAATGGCAACAGAATTAGTTCTGCACTTCATCTTAGAGGATAAGACACTCTGAAGAAATAGTGATAAAGAGGCTAAATCTATGTTGCTGAAAAAGTATGCAAGCTTTTAGCATTACACTGAACTTTTATCAAGAAAAGCTTCCAGCAGGTTGCAAGTTACACTAGTCTCTTCATCAAACATAATATCATAAACTCAAATGTGAAAGGACACGTTCTCCAAAAGAGGGGCTGGCAACCTTTGGCCCAATTTCAAAAGCATGCTGCAAGCCCTGTCCACCACTAGTATTTGACCTTTGTGGGAGGGCAGCCTTCTATGGAAAAAGTTTCCTGTATCTACTTTAACATATTACTTTGTTTCACTCTGAAAACTTTTTCGAAAAAGTCATTGAACTGTTTTAGAAACATGGCTAAAGTGGCATTTTTGGCTGACAATGATTTTCCATTCCTCCCCATTTTTATAACATCTTGCCTGAAGAAGAGATCTGTTGATCTCAAAAGTTTGCACAATAAATGTATTACACTAATATGAATTGTGGACATCTTTTAAAGAAACTATCTCCTTTCCCATTTTAATGATTGGCTTTTGCCATTTCCCTTCCCATTGCACTACTACAATTTTTGGTCATCATTTTGCTTCTTGGAAAAAAGGCTAACTCATCCCAGCACCAAGATCCTTGTGTACAGGCTGTAAGCCCAAGAAGCAGGATTTACTAGAAGCCTAAATCAGAAAGCAGATCCTTTTTGTTGATAACTGCATGTTATACATATGCAGTACCCTTAAGATGTAGCCCTCTATATGCATTCAATCATACAATCAAGGCATTAGGATTTCTTTCGTAAGGTGATGGCCCTATTTGATATAAGGACCAATGAATTCAGTGGGGTTTACTCATCAGTAAATATTCTTAAAATTGCACTGATGATCTGTGAGGAAACGAAGTTACCATGTGAATTTCTGTTTACTAACTCAGTGAGGTGCCCAGCCAGGGTGGCATCAAAACACTCCAGGGAAGTTAAGAGCAGAAAGATGAAGCTTGGAAACAGTTCAGTTCCTTACTCAGCTGTAGGCTTTCTAAGTGAGTACAGAGAAAGTTAAAAGTTGATGGAGAAAGTCTTTGCTGTTGTAAAGATTCTCCTCTCCTGTGGTATAACCTTGAGGGCCAGAAACTTGGTTGTTTTTCTGCCAGTTCATCCATTCAAAGGTGGTATTACGAAGCTCACTTCCCAATTTAAAGAATATATGATTAAGATAACCGGAAATCAAAGGCCATATTAAAATAAGAAAATAACTTGTGCTAGACTGGCTCCTAAACAACACATTTATTTAGCACAAAATTCAAGACATTCATGACAGAACCATAGCCACTGTAGGGCGCTCCCTTCTTCCAGGTTTTAAAATCACCATAACTGGTTACACAAGGTACATACACAATCCAGTCGGGCAGGTAGTGAGGTGGTTTGCTGGTGGCCATGTCCCAACGATACCCACAATGGACTGAAGGTGGAGACAGTCTTCCCCAGCCTGGTGTCCAATTGTATTGGACTGCAATTCCCATGCTTGTGCTGGCTGTGAAGGGTGGGCATTAGAGCCCAACCATTTTCCCCAGCAAGAGCCAGCAGAGGGAAGGCTGAGGCGGGGCGGGGGACACTCCTTTGACACTGTGCCAGCGTGCGGCTGCTGAATGCCATGGGCCTTCAGTGCCGGCAGGAGCTGCTGGCCGGGCTTGCGCAGTGCTGGCTGAGCTGCGTCCTCCCTCCTCTGCTCCTCTCCTCTGGTCACAGGGAAGGAGCTGTGCTTTCCCCTCGTAGGCGGGTGTCCTGGCAAGTCAAATGCTTCAGTGGCTGCAGTGACAGCAATGGCAGCTGCTGCTGCTGCATATAACAAATGCACAAAACTGGGCAGGCTTCTGTCACAGCAGAATATGGCTTCAGTCACCAACATATTCTTGCAACGTAACTCTTCACCACCATCACAATGGTCTGGCACAGAGACAGGGAACATACAGGCCACACGGACAAGCACAATACAATTTTTAAGGCAAAATAATGCTTCTCTCTTCTAGCCTTGACTTTATCAAAAATTTCCTTTTCCAAATATTTAGGTAGACAACACCCACAATTACACACTGCCTGAAATGACGACTGCAGACTTCGTTTAGAAGCTAGGACTGGAAAACACAAGCCAATGTCCTCTGCCCTTGATGTAAGCAAGCCTCTGAACATGGAGGCTCGCCTGGTCACTGCTATCTCCCCTCCCCTCCCCTCCCCTGTACACTGCCCTTCTGGGCTATCCAAGTGATGGAAAGGAAGGAGGAGCAGAGGAGCCTGGGTGCAAGCCACTGTCCCCAGCTTGCTCCCCTCCCTCCTCCCAGCACACCCCAGTTCTTCCTCTCAAAAGCCGATTTCTCAGCTCAGAGAGGCCACCAGTGCTATGAAACCAGTTGCCCAGAGAGGGCTCTTCCACACTAGAGACGTACAAAAAGGGTCATGAAAGTGGGATGGTGTAAACTGGTGGCCTGCAACATCAGGGGTTGGACTCGATGGCCTTCTTGGCCCCTTCCAACTCTACTATTCAATGATTCTATTCTTTCCACACTGGATGTGAGGGGGTGGGGGCTCCACATTCAGAGACCCAGCTACAAAGCCACAGGAGTTGAGACTGCAAATAAACCTATTTCCCCACCCCACAGACAATTTGAGAGGTCATAAAATAGTGTTTTTAATGTTTCAGTGTTTTCTCAATTTTCCAGCTGTTTTTACTTTGAGTCTTCCACAGAACTTTTTGAAAGAGTTAGAATGTGTAGGAGGGAAGGTAGCAGAACTGTATGTTTGGTCAAGGTTAACACAGAGCAATACATAATGATACCAATGAGGTCCATCCAGATGACATTCAAGTTGACAAATCACAGGAACAGAGAAAGATCAGCAAGGAGCGCACACAGGCATGTCATTCAGTTTACCGCCATTTTACCCATCAGATTGTTACCTGCTTTTTTTAAGGCTCGAAGGAATTCCCTAGAAATGTGCTGTAAAATTAGGCTATTAGTTAAACTTGTGACACTGAGACCTGATTTAAATACAAGAGATGTCGTGCTGTCTGATAATTAAAGCACGGCATACACACATCTAGCAACACACATACCACCTCAGGTCTTTCCCCACAAATAAGATCATCTAACTGGCATAAACAGAAATTAAGCACATGAACTACACATGCGCACACTTTACATCTCCATGACTTCATCACTGTTGGCACAAAATGTCCATCTTGGCTCACAGGTGGGCCTCCATAAGCTCAGTTTTTCCTCCTGTTGTTACCACCTGGATCAGACTTCCAGAGCCTGGCCGTTTTTTTCCAGTCACCCAGTCATAAAAGGTTCTGTTCAAAAACAAACATTTTGAGAGTAAATGCCATTTCTGCAGCTCCATTTTCTAAATGCTCTTTGAACGACCTTTATGAATTGTAGACAAATGTCAACAATACTATGACCAGCTTGCCCCACAATTCATTTTACTTCACATCCTGTCTATGTCTATGTAGAAGCAAGTCCCACTATGTTAAAAGGGGCTTACTCCTCATCTGTGTTTAGGATTAAGGCCCTAATGGTTTCATTTTCAGATGTTTGATTTGTACCTGTTAACTCTTATGCAAGACTGGCCTATGGAGGACTTGTTAATAAAATACTACAATACATGGCATGCACAGAGCTTCATCAAAAGCAGGCAGGCCCTTCACAAGGAGGTATTTATTTATTTATACCATTTTTATGCTGCCCAATTCACAAAAAGCCTTGGGGCGGCTTCCAACCTTAATAAATAAACATAAACGAACAGTTATATAATTAGAGTTAAAAAATTGGAAACATCTCGGCATGTACATAAAAACCCAATAAATACAATTCATAAATTAACAATTAAAATAACTTTTAAATAAAAAGGTCTTGGCCTGGCGCCGAAAAATAAATAACAACGGCGCCAGGTGGACCTCTCTGGGGAGCGCATTCCATAGGTGGGGCGCCACCACAGAGAAGGCCCTCCTCCAGGTACTCACCCTCCTAGTATCTTTCAGGGAGGGTTCCCGGAGAAGGGCCTCCGCCGCCGATCTCAAGGGAAGGCATATATGGACGTAAGCGTTCCTTTAGATAACCAGGTCCCAAGCCATTGAGGGCTTTACAAGTGATAACCAACACCTTGAACTGGGCCCGGACTTCAATAGGGAGCCAGTGAAGCTGACGGAGAACTAGGGTTATATGAGAACAACACCCAGTCCCCATCAGCAACCTGGCAGCTCTGTTTTACAGGTAACAATAATACAGGTAGCCTGTATTATTCCCTTTTTAGAGACAAGACTGGTCTGTGTTTCCGGAAGTCCCACCTAGGTACTGACTTTGCTGTATCCACTAAACAATGCTGCTCATGTAAGGCAGAAAACTGCTTTAGACAGGGATACTGCACAGCATGCGATGTAGCAGTGGGCAAGCCATGGCCTACAGACCCCTTGTGGTCCTCTGCTGCTCTCGGTGTAGCCCACCAAGCCCCCAGTAGCTCTACTCACTTTTTTCCTGCATGCTGAGATAAGCATGGTAGAAAGAGAGAAAGAGTGTGGAGAGTGTGCATGTGCATGTATGCAGTCTCTGAGCCTCCCTCTCCATCAGGCCCCTTAGGGCCAAAAAGGTAGCCTGCCCCTATGCACCATGCACAGAAACACAGTACATCATCTAGGATCTCTCGTTCTTGCTTGCTCTCGCTCTCGAGCAGGGAAGCCTCTGTTTACTCACTCAGCAATAAAATCTAATGGTGTCCAGGAGCTGAAATCTGCGTCAGGCATGGATTTCCTGTTCATCGGTGTATCCAAGGTAACCCTGGGATAAAAGCAGATAAGCCTGTCACTCGTGTTGGTGTATCTGATAAATGTTGCCTGCATATTCCCTTGCTGCAACACAGAACATTCTGGATGGTCAGTGGCAGAGGAAATTCTTTTTATTCAGAATTTGTTCTTACTCAATATACAGAAACAAAAACAAGCATTTGTTATTTGCATGCAGGCATTTATTATCCCAAAGGCAATATTGCATATACTGCCCAAATGCATGTAAGAAATCCAGGACAGCCGTTTCAACAGAGCAGTGTTTGGAGCACAGGCTGAGTGCCCAGCATTCCTCCCCCGGCCCCCAGGTACTTCTCCATCTCAGTCTCACCCAACTGCAGACTGCTTGTTGAAAAGCCACGGAGCCAAAAATTACTCATTCCTCCATTTCCTCCACTTCCCTCAGCTACTGCTACACCCAAAATCACATCCTTCCATAGCTACTTTTCAATTTCCCTTTATGGAGCTTCCTTACATAAGCTTGCTGGCTATAAATTGTTTAAGTGATGTTGTGATGCTGAGAAACACACGATAACTACAGTCTTCAAACAGATGCCCAGGAACAAGTGGTATGGGTTTCAGATGCTAATTAAACATTATTTTCTGAGGGAAGCACCTGACATAAACTAATCCCATCTTATCCTTGTCACAGCAAAACATCCTTGATATGCTATTGAGAATATTTTGAACAATGAGAAACAAATCTTTTCTTTAGGCAAAGTCAGAAGAATTAGCTAACACAACCTTTATGACAAGATAAACAGTGCAGAAGACTTGGAGATATGGTCATAAATGCAAAGAAGGGACTCATTCTGAGGAGCCACACCTGGAGTCAGTTTGGGGTTCAGGTTTAGGGTTGCGGTCTGCACATGAGCAGCTTACCTGGGGTGACTTTCCCTGCAAGGGTATCTTGCCATGGCACTGGCCACCATTCTGAAAATAGGGCTTGTGTACCATAGCATGTCATCAAGCCTGAGTCTGGTAAAGGTGCATTGTCCAGGTGGTAAACAAGCCACCCAGAACACCTAAAAATCAGAATCAGCTAGAAAGCTCCCATAGATAGAGGAGGCTCTCCATGTATAGAAGCTGAAGAAAGCAAAGCTTTCTTTCCTACATTTAGAACACCGAAATGGGAGCTTATCTAGCCTGCATATACATTATCCCATTTTGCTCATGGGAGAACTGAGACTGAAAGGGAGTAATGCCTAATGCTCCTTCCTGAGTTTAAGGTAAATCTGAACTAGGGTTTTCCCAGTGTATAGCTTAATCTCTTAGCTGCTGTGCCACAAAAAGCAAGAGCAATTCAACACAAGAAAGCACCATGAAAGCCTTAACTTTAAGGTGCTATCTTCAAATATTAGTTATTTAGGGCCATAGTTATTGTGATGACTGTAAGCTCCTAAATTCAGGCATTTCTGGTCATCCTATGTTGAGTGAGAATAACAGCAGAGGTGAGCTATGCCTTCCTGCCCTCTTGCTGTGCATTCAGTGCTAGACAGATTTTTTGCCCAAACAACTGAAACATTTTGTAGAGAGAACAAGGAGGATGGAGAGGCCTCGGGATCGCTCGTATCTTGATAGCCATAGTCTGCTCCCCTCCCATGAAAATGCCTTCTTCCCCCACTCTCTCTGGTTGCTCTTCTGCCTGTGGAAAGTCATGGTTCTTCCCATGCTGTCTGTGAATGGGGGACGGGCTGAAGCTGATTCCCAGCACCAAGGCTGAAGTGCTTTCTCCAGTTCTGGACCAAAGAATCCCAAAACACCCAATCACCCCCTCCTATACTATTCTAGGGACCACAGGATTGCTTCTTCCAAGGCTTTAGCAAGGTAACATTGAATGTTAATAAAATTAAGAATTAACTGGCAAGAAATTTGCTTCTCTTCCATGCAGCCATCCTCATACCTGTGCAATTTCAAGTCATGGTGCCAAGTGTTCAAACACATTGGGAACCGATAATTTGTGTGCCGCACACTGTATTTATCTGGCATGTCAACAGCTTCATGCTAAAAACCAAACCAGGCAATTCCAGATGGGAACTACTTACGGCAGGATGGCAACCGCAGCAGACCCAGGGGGCAAACCACTACTTGATCCAGAAAGACTCTGACAGAGCTGATGGACTGCTGCTTTGGCCATGCCATAACCAATCATTCCTAAAAAGAAGCAGAAAAAGCATCAAGGGTTGAGATAAAGAAGACAGTGTGCATCAGCTTTCTCCAATCTGGTACCCACCAGATGTTTTGGTCTGCAGCTCCCAGAATTCCCGACAACTGACCATGCTAGCTGGGGCTGATGGAAGCTGACGTCCAAAACATCTCAAGAGCACCCTGTTGGAAAAGGCTGGCATATACTAGGAAAGTGCTGTTAATGTTCCCATAGTATCACCATATGTCATTTTCTTAGGATTTCTTAATCAAAACAAGTAACAAGCTTACTTGTTTGGGGGATCTTCAGGTAGAAATGCTTGGAGGCACATACCTAACCTTGAAATCCCATCTACATGGTTGCACAGGACTGTTATGGACTGGGAAGATACCACTGTACAGCCCTTGCAATAAACATGGTGCAGGCTGAATTAAAGGACTGCAGTGTACGCAATGTCAGAGGGCTGAAAAAGCCAATGGCTTGCCCATGTTTGCCTATTTTAATTTCTTTATTTTCCTATTCATGCCCAAGAATCATACAGACACATAACTATAACAAAGACCTCAGAATACACAGCAAGACTAACCTATATTGAAGATATCAAATATGGAGACAAGCCAGTCAAACTCAAATGCATTTAAGCTCTGCTGAAGCTCAGCTCAAGGGAGACTTGGACTGCTATCTTTAACACACTTACTAGGGAATAAACTTTATTAGACATTGCACAACTTACTGTACTTCATGCTGTTAAGTAAGTTTTCCATTTCATTAAAATTAAGTGTACTTCCAGCTCTCTCCTCTTTATTCAAAACACTTAATTCACTGTAATCTACTCAATGGTACATTTACCTGACTTCTCAATACATGTGTTCAGGATTCTGCTGCAGAGTTACTGTGCTGTCCGCACATACTTGAACTCAGTGGAGCTTACTTCCAAATGAATATGCTCATCTGATTTTGCAAATGCATTTAAGATCATGTCCCAAGTTACTTCTTAGGCTTCTTTTCTAATGAGATATTGCCAATGCTTCCCTGTTTTGTCTATACGTCTATTAACGAGGACTGTGTACACCACAATTTTGTATGAGTGCAGAGAAGTAGGATGACATATTCACTTCTGAAAAATATCAGCATTCATGTCTTAAAGCTGCTAGTTATTATGGCTGTGAAGGTGTCTTTGGAAGTACGCATGCAAGGCCTCAAAGCCAGGAGGTGTCTTGAATAAGGGTCCCAGAGGTGAGAGGCAGGCATTCTTTCCTTCCACATGCAGTATGTCTTGTGTTCTCTGGACAAATCTGAATTTTTAAAATAAATTACACAGTATCCTGCCTGCACTTTATTATCCTGTTTCCAGACTCTCTTTTGCAAAAGCAGCAGACATGAAACAAAGATGGCTAAGACCATTTCATAACTATTGACAAAGACTGAAGTTCAAATGTAGACTCCAAAGTAAACAAGCAGAATCATGGCTAACATTGAAGAAGCACAATATATGTTTCATCTTAGCTTCTCTCACAAATCTGAAACAAATATATCATAAGTTTTGTACTTTTTCAAGCTATAGTGCACTTAATAAATCTAAATATACAGCAACATTTCATCCAAAGCATTTTAGCTGATCTCTTTCAAGGGTGAACTCTGTTACCAAATGTCTTCCAAGGTGAATTCAACAACCAACACTGCGTTACAGACAATCTGGAAGACCCAGAAGCAAGGGGACCATGCCATTATATTCTACATTTTACCTGGAGTCCCAGATAATGCTGCTTTTGCCCCGGTTAGGGTCAACAAGCCCCCTTCCTTCAGGTGCCTGGTGGCCAGGTGGCCAGAAATAGTTGATGTCCAAACACTTTGCTTCCACATCAAGTCACTGTTTTTGTATACAGCTGGGAGACAAAAAGTTGCAGGATATATTTAGTCATCAAGAATGCAATGATACATATTACTCTTTGTTCCAGGCTGCTACGTGCAAAACCAACTCTGTTGGAATTGTGAGATCTCTCTCTTCTCCCTTAGTTTGTCAGATTTCTACCTCTGCATTAGAAGCTGAAAACAACTCAAACACTTTTCATAGTCAGATCTCCTTATCTTTAGCATCATGAACACTTTGCTAGGCAGGCCAGAATAATTTAGCAGGTCCAGTATCTAACATGAATATTGATGCTCCATTCCACATTCTACACAATTTAGCTTCCATGAGGGGAAAATTATAGCCTGCCAAACCAGATTTAACTTGGTTTGTAGGCAACACACAAACCACAATCTCTTGGTTCAAACTTCACAGGGAAGTTGTGGTTTAACAAGCCAGGAAGCCTTCTCTAATGCCAGGCATGCAAGAGGAAGTGGAAGAAGCATTCAAACTTGCCCCAGTCCAAAATAAAGTGCATTAGTTGGTTGAACCAGGAATGTTATGTCTGAACAGGGCCAATGATTATGGACATTGAACATCTGAAAAATATTACACGCATGCTTCAGATTTACAGACGAGCTGAGGGTCACTCATTTCTTTGAGAAATGATCTGATGTGCTTTTTAAAAATGTATGAATATAACAATCTTCCCTCAAGTCTTTAATGACTACAGTGATGGCCAGTAGAAACTGCTTTGCAGTATTATGTAAAACCCAGTTTTTTACTTCAGACATTACTTACTAACTTCTTGAATTTAATGGAAAACAAGCACCAAACCACCAGAAAACATCCAATGCACTTTGATCTCTTTAAATGTCAGACAGAACTGCATGTGGAAAATATATCTGGCAACGATGTGAAGAAATGTGTTTTCAGTAGCAGTCTCTTTATTGTTTCAATATCATTCCAGTGGAAAAAACTGTTGCACATGTTATTGTTCAAGTACTTTATAGCATGCCAAAACAGTGTGGTCTTGGGATTGAATTCTGTTCAGCAGCACCAGGGGAACATCAAGTAAATTGTAAGCTACCTAGGAAGGCCTTGGCAATTATAGGTGGCCTATAAATATATGTAAATAGACAGACAGACAGGCAGACAGAGGCCTGGTTCAACAGTGGCCTAGTTCAGTTGTGCTAAAAATTTCCGTGGTCACAGTTGCTCCAGATGCTGTAAAACTCCCAACACAGGCATCACCAATGGTGCAGCTTCATAGAGGAAACTAATCTTTCACCTGGCACAACTACTCAGAGGGTGGAAGCAACCTGTGGCACCATAATGGCCCTCCACTTTTTTCTTCTCCTATCAACACAGTTGCGATCAGGCCATTCATACCCTTACATGGAGGGTTTTAAAACCTTCTCACTGGATCTAAGAATTTGTAAGAGCCTGTGCAGCTGTTGCTGTTTTCATTTTATTATTGCAAATTTCAAAATCAGAACCAAACCCCAACCAAAAGGGGGGAAAAACAAAATATTGCACATTTCATACATGAGATTCATGGCCAGGTGCTGTATTCTAGAGAGAACCCTTATCCCAGCAGGCCCTTGGCTTCCTCTTTACCTTCCCATGGAAGTATACCCACATCACTGGCTTGATCAGTACTATATTTAGTTGAATGTGATCTAACACCGGATGATGATGATGATACCCTCCCTCTTTTTCAGGGATTTTCCAGAGAAACAGAAAGTCTAGACCGCCATCTGAGAGGAATGGTTTAACTTGGAAGTCCTGCACTGAGCAGGAGGTTGGACCCAATGGTCCTCTGGCTCCTTCCAACTCTAGGTACTGTATGTTCCTATGATTTACTTATTAATCAGGTGTAGCTTCCAAACAAGTGTTTGCAAACAGGAGCTTGTTGCATTTACATTGTCACATTTGAAGCTACAGATGAGCCTGACTTAGTATGCTGGGGAAATACTTGTGTTCCAAGAACCAAAAGTACCTTCTGCCACCCAATTTTACCACCTCTGTAAACTCCAGTCAAGCATCAAAATAAAGCTAAGGCTATTTAGCAAAGAGCTTTTCAGTTATGGAGCATGTTTTAGCTCAGGCATAACATAACATGCTTGCTAAAAGTTTAATGGGGAGGGGGACAAAAGTATTCTGGGTCTGGATACAACCCCCTCAGCATGAGGTGGCCATTCCTGATTTAACAGATCTTTGAGGCATATCTTAACAAATTTAATGGAATGTAGTGACACTGATAATGCAATCCTATACATATCCACTGGGTAGTAAGTCCCTTGCAGTTCAGTAGGACTTACTCCCAGGTCAGTATGTACAAATCTTCAGGCTAGGTGAGATGTTTACTTAGAGGTGTAACATTTTAATTGACCTCCATTGTATCTTAGTATAGATTGAACAAAGCTCTTGCATACATTCCCTCTTCATGCATAAATAAAAAGCCATTCTAAAAGCTGTTCTAAAAGGCAAAGCAGAAAGAAATTCTTCAACTACATTCATGCATTTGCAGCTTACATTTCGCTTTTGCGCTGCCTCCAGCCCATCCTCCAGCTACACAAAAGATAGCATCGACCTTTTTTTCACCCAGGAGCTTCTCAACATCTTCTGTCACCTTTAAACATGTGAAGATGAATAATTGGTACAAGGATATTGTTTGAAACTTGTAAACATTCCAGCTTAACTTACTGATTCTAGGGCTTATTTTCCAGTTAGGTCTTATTTTGGGGAAACAGGGTACGATCTAAAAACACCTTTAAGCTGTTTGCAAAATGATATAAATACGTTACAGTGTGTTGTAATATACATTAACGTACAATTAGATTTTAATAATAGCTGAAACAAGTATATAGAACATGGATCAAATCATAAAACCATGACACCATACTCAAGCTGCATACGACACTCACACAGGGAAGCCCTGGCCTGGGTGAAAAGATCAGTCTTTGGGTGGCAGAAAAAGCATGCAACAGTTGGCGCTTCCCAAACACTACAGCTGAGAGGCCATTCTGTAAGGTGGCTGCAAGCACAGAAAAGTGGTTTTGTGTTGCCCCAAGATGGCAATCTGTGGGTCATGGTACAACCATACAACCAGCAAGACCTCTTCCAATAACCTTAATGATTTCATAAGTTTGTATTAGGCAAGGCTTCTGTCAGGTAGCAACCTGTCAGCTGTTCAGGACTGTTATTTGCTAATGGCAAGACCTCATACTTCTTTCTATCATGTCAAGGTTGGCCCTCAGAACCAGCAAAAAGTGACAAAAAATTTGAGGATTTGCTTCATAAGAACAGCAGACATCAACTGAAGCATGCAAGGCAGGTATAGCAATACTTATGCTCAGTTTAAAAGCAATGGGACTCAGCATCACAGTCAACTTGAATTAAAAAAACAACTACCAACTTAATTCCTGTGAAAAGAGGGAGACAAATGTTTATGGACTTGGCTTAATATCATCTCTTGCTTCCCAGGACTTAGTCAGGGAACCAGTTGTTAGTCATCAATTCTGTTTTGATCAAATGGCTGCAATAGAAGAGATACCACTGAGCAAGGGCAAAGGGCCTTTGCCTCCTTTTTAAGTAACCTCAAAAAAGACTCCACCTATCCAGAATTAGAAGGCAGAGCTTGCAGAACACAGGAACCTGCTTCGGTGGCACATGTCTTCTTAGGAGGCAAGCCAATCAATACATACAGGAAAAGCAACAGAAATGGCTAAAAGACAAGTGAGATTTGAATCGGTTAGGTTAAGAGCACCTGAAATATATGCTTCCAGTTATACCATAACATCTGTTTAAAGTACACCACAACATATATAATGAACTGGGAAGAGGCTTAGTTCTGCTGTACTCGAGGCTGTGGATCATTTAACTGGGCTGAAGTTCAGTAATATTCCTTTCCACCATTCTGACACTGGGTCTCTACCTTTAACAACTGCTTGACAGGCATAGGCATTCAAAAAGTGTAGCAACCCCCCCCCCCAACAAGGCAATTCAGTGAATAGTGAGAGCTGCAGCGAACTTTCTGTATGGTGTATTGCTGATAAATGTGCAAGGCCCAGGTGTGAAAACCCTCCCCAAAAGGAATGAATGCAGCATACACAGAGCGTTAGTTTAGGTACCTAATCCCAACATAAAAATCCAGAAAAAGTTACTCAAATATTCTTTTGATTTTATTTGAATTGCTAAAAAAGGTGGGGGCATAAAGAAAACAATGCAAGTTACCTGATTTGCTTGTTCAGTAAACGAATCACTCATTTTCACAACTATGTTGGCACATGCTTCTTCATTTTCTGCTAAGTCAATGCTGGCCACCCACTGATAAAACACAAGATACCCCCCCACCACAGTAATTTTAAGGTCATTATTTATTTGCAATATTTTCAAATACATTTTAGACAGGAAGGTGTGGAAAAAGACAAGTATCAATTCTTTAGCTGCAGTTTTTTTTACATATATTTACATATACTGCAGGTCAACACATTTCACTCATCTTACACATTCATATAACTCTGGGGCCCAAACTCAAATCTTGTCAGAGGGTTTCTTTCTCCCTTCTCTTTGTTGCAGGGCAAATGAAGGGTCGAGGACTGAGCAAGGCAGCGTAAAAAAAGAAGATCCCGTTGTTACTTCCCTGGCAATTTTTGAGGATTATTCTCTTGCTATTAATGAACAGGCTTTTTTTCCCTTTTAATGAGCCACGTTTGTCAGCCAAGCTATATTAATGGAAAAGTGGGATTTTTAACGAAAGATGTTGACCGACTCCACTGCAGAACAAGAATTTCTACAGGTGCATTTCCCAACCTGGTGCCCTCCAGATGTGTTGGCACTACGATTCCCAGCATCTCTACCTGCCATGCTGAGGATGAATGGACTAGTCCAAGAGGACTAGGTTCCATTAGGATTCTGGTTTTTTAAAGCATTCACATTTTACGCACGTTTCACGCCCCCTTACAAAAGACAGCCGACTTGAAGAAATTAGATGCCTTCCCCGTTCGATACGTCCCCAACTCCTGCAGAAAGAAAGTTTACCCAGTCCTTCGCTCGGAAGTACTGCACGCATTTGGAGCCCAGGGCGCCCCGACCACCGTAGACGAGCACCCGGTGCGCTTCCGCCGCTGCCATCTTCCCGCTTGCTTGCTTGCTGCACCCCCGCGGCGCCTCTCTCGCCCTCCGCAAGGATTTGCCAGCACGCCTAGCTGCTCCGTCAGCCAGCAGGAGGGCCTCCTACCGGCGGGGGCGGGGCGAGGCGAGGCCAATCCCCTTCAGCTTCCTTCCTGCTCCGCCGGTGAGTGACAGAAACAGCCCGACCCGTGAGCGGCGAGGGGGAGTGTCCGCGTGAAAATGTTTCCGTCCGATTTAAAGGGAGCTTCTCTTGATGTTTCATTGGACCAAGTATGTATACATAATCCAGAGGAGGATTCCCCCATTCCATAAAATGAGTGCATAAGCATCAGCTTTTCAATAGTGTGCAGTTCATCTCAAAATTAAGAATAATACATCCATAAGTAATAACATAATGCCAAGATGTCAAGATAATCACTGCTAAATCATAGAGACAACAAAGCAGGCCAAAATAGAAGATGCACCAACTCTTTAAAATGCTTCCAATACTCTAAAATGGTGGGAAGCATGTGGTCCTCTGGATGTTGCTGAACTGCAACTCCCATTAGCCCCAGCCAGCCTTACCAATGGTGTGGGATAGACAGACACCATCTGGAGTGCTACATGTTCCCACACTGTCCCAAGCTTTTATCACTGTCAAGATTCTGGGTGGTTCTGTTGCCCCAAATGGCCCAACCATGGGCCTTTTGTTCCTCATTTTCCTGCACTCATCCCAATATCATAACAATTGGAATCCACCCATCAGAAACCGTCCTTATGACCTCAAAGAGGCAACTGCTTTTTATGGTGCCTCTTCAGGGTTGTCCTGCTAGTGGGATGACCACAGTTTAGCTCCCCCAGCCCTGCAACCAGGCAGCCGAACACACCAGCAGCCAAGCATCGCCCTGACCCTGTGCTGGCAACACCAGTGGAGGAACTTGGTGGCAGTGCTTTTTCCACCGTTCTCGTCTTTCCCCTGCTTCCACTGGTTTTGGGTGCTGCATTCCGCTGCTTGCCTCTCAGCCCCAGCAGCCACAGTTTAACGCACCCTCCCGCAAGGCACAACAGCCACCCATGCTGTAGCCAGTAGCCCTGGGTAGATTAAGGAATAAGTACAGGGCCTGCCCAGCTGTTTAGAGTGAAGCACTTGCCTCAGACAGAGGCTGGGCTGGTGAGTGACAGCAAGGTGCTGAAGGGCAGAGCTGTGTGCATCTGCTCCCTAAGCTAGCTGCTGCCTGCAGGATGCCGTGGCACTGCCAATGCTGAAGAACTGTTCAAAGGTGTCGGGAAAGCCTCAATGGCAGCCACAACAAAGAAAACCAGGTTCAGTTAGGAAAGACCCCTTTTGCCTTGAACCTCAGCAGTTTTATTGAAAGATCACCCAGGCCCCCTGCGGTTACTTATGACAGCATGCTACCGGGTAGTGGTCTGCACGCCCAACGACAAGCTTTTAGAACATATACAGAGTATTTTATAGATTCTGAGTCACATGGGTCCAGCAGTTGGGCAGTTGATGATGAAACAAGGTGAACCCAGTCAGAAGAAGGTGAGAGGTTTGCAGAGGGGGCTCAATACAATGGCATTTGACTGCAGGATATTAACAATAATCAGGGGATTATTGTGAGTCTTGGCATGCAAATAAAGGTGATTGCAATGCTGTTAACCTGGCAGCTTGACCGTTTCTTACTGATCAGCAGAACAATAGACCTGGTAGCTTCTTGGGAGAAGCCATCAAGTCCCACTTCTTAAAATAACACCAAATGCCAAAAAGTAACCTGGTTTAGGATTTTTTGGGTGCTTCCTGAGAAAAAAGGGTGCAGGCATTTTATAACACAAAGACACACAAACATCCTTTTTCTGCCAGGATTTAGCTGGATTTTCCCAACAAAGGCCTGTCTAGTTGACTCATGTACATGTTAAGGGGAAGGGGTGCCATCTTGTCTTTTCCCTCAGACAGCGAAATTCCTTTGGCAGGCCCTGAGTAAGTGTATGAACTTCAGGGTCCTTGTTCAAGTGCTGAGTGATGTCAAGTACAGGCTGCTGGAGTGCATGGAGCAGATCACAATCTCACTCACCACTGCATTTCTCTAAGAGGTGGGGATTCCAGTGTTTGCAGGGACAAGGTGTGTGTGCACACATGTGTGAAGAGAACACTTACAGTGCTTGTGTAAGGTGTGTGTCTTTACTTACAAATATAGTTGTTGAGCATGATGGAGCAGACAAGAATTCAGACACATGGAGCTAGCTTTTACACAGTATTAGTTCCCCCTAAAGCAACTCTACAGCCTTCCAGTCCTCCAAAGAACTCTTTCTTACCAGTTGCAAAATTCAAACTTGTTTTCCTTCTTCAAGTTAAGCATCTTCTCCCTTCTCCCTGTAAAATTCCTAATATTCATTCCCATTCTATGTAACCACACATGCTAGTGATCACCAGCCATCAGAAGGCATCAATGATCAAGAGACAGGCACCTTCACCTGGCAGAAATACAAAGCCTCATGAGGCCATTGTGAGATTCCAAGCAGCTTGTATTGCAAGAAAAGCTTGTGTTTCCTCAAGCAACCTGTTTGCATTCTCCATTATGCATTCTCTCTAATAGCAAGGCCAGGTATCCAGAAATATTTATCAATTTCAAAAGATAACAGTCTTCGAAAGCTGGGTATCATCAATTCAAGAGCTGGCAGCCATGACATTTAGAAAACACAAATTCAAGGAGATAGCCGCTTGGTGTCACACAGTCAGCAGCGTTCCAATGCCAGATTCTAACATGTTTATCCTAGTTTGCTTCCAGGCAGTTATCAGAGGCTTCTTAATAAATTGAATAAACAGGTCTTGCAGCGAAACATCCTCCAGGTCAGAAATGGATGTTATTTGAATATTTAAAACAGGTAAAGAATTTGAGCCTTTAATTGAAACATTAGTCATGTAACAGATACGGTGTTACTCACTCAACAGCAAGCCCCATTGCCTTGCAGAATGATGAAGCTTTTTTGTTATCATTGCAAATTATTGCAGGAAATCTGCCCTTGGAGCTATTTTTTTTTTACTTTAACCTGTGGATTAGAAAAGATGTCATACAGAGAGATATCTTTGAAACAACAGGCATTGCTGGAAAAGGATCCAAGTGTTGTTATTACTATCAAGAGGCCTTAAAAAAAATGCAGTGAGCCCTTAGAATGCCTGGCTGCTTCAAACAGACCTTGTTTGCTTTCATTGCTATATTGAGCTCTGCATCATTTATCTTGATCCTTGTTGCAATGGGCACTCAGAAATGGATGACTGGAAAAATCCTCTGCAAGACAGGAGTGGAGCTAGTCAATGCCACAGACCCAGAGCTAGTCAAATTCATGGGGGACATTTACTATGGACTGTTTGGAGGTGGAAAAACGCGTCAGTGTGGGTTAGGTGGCCGGCGGTCCAGATTCAAAAGTAAGTAATGTTTCAGTTTATTTCTAGAATGCACCAATATAAGCAAATGATTAGATGCATACAGGATGGAGTTCTTTATGCTATACTCATATATTCTGAAATGTTTTCCCCAGGGCTTGTTTTTTCTGGGATAATGGTATTTCTTCTAAATTGGACTAGAAATTGTTGCAATATTTCTATGTATTACTATTCTTGCTAAACGGTGGGCACTTAAACAGTTCCATGTTTGTCAGATGCAGCAGCGAGGTTCTGAAAAGCACAGGGAGAAATAAGAAGACATGGAGCTGGGCACAATATGATGAACAGGAGGGTTGGGTAGGCTAGGAAGTGGAAAATAGCAGGCCTAAAATGATTTGCTTGGCTCAGGGGAAGGGCAAGCAACAGAAGGGACAGAAAAGCCACACTTAAAAAGCAGGGGGATGTGGCTTCCTGGGGCTGGTGGGTTGTTCTAGAGGAGAAGGAAGTAGACCAACCACAGTATTCCTCTCCCTTCTAGCTAAGGCCAGTGGGGCTCACGCTTTTCAGTTCCTAACAAAGGCTCTAAAAGCCTATCCTTTCAACTGTTTAGGGCTAATTTGGGTGTTTGCCTTGCAGCTTGTGTAGGAACCATTTTTGCTTTTATTTTAAACAAGTTTAACAGTAACTTTCATGAAAAAATATATGACAACACCAATATAAAATGCAATGAATCCTTTTTAAAAAGAATATGCAAAATATCTAAAAGGACTAGAAACACAGGTATGGTTTCTAATGTTGCCACATCTGTAATGAAGCTGTAGTGCATGAGCGCCCTCCACTTTTTTGCAAGAGTGCAAGTCCAGCAGGGCTACAGATAGGAAGGCCCAGCCACTTTTTTCTTGGTTGGTTCCTTTCTTGGACAGGTTCCCTCTCATGACATCAACTGGCAAGGAATCAATTATGTCAGTTCCTGGGATGACAACTCCCCCTTCTGGGGGAATGTCTGGAGACTGGGAGAACTTCCCAATACACCCAGAGAATGCCAACAGTCCCACCTTGCAGCCTTTGACATGGGAGTGATAAGTGCTGCAGAGGGTTCTCCGGGGGGGGGGGGGGAGCTTGAAGCTGCTTTATAAGGCCTGATCTCCGCCTCTGAGACCAGACTTCTCTCTCTGGCATTTGAGGGGGAGATCTGATTCATCCTGTGGCTTGTGAAACATGCTCCAAGGGGCCATGGTATTGTATCTAAAGCCTACTAGCAGTAAAACCAGTACAGGAAAATAATTCCAGACAACTATAGCTGGGAATGTGTTTTCCCTAAGCAAAATGGCTGCAGATGCTTCTAGAAAAAGCTTTGTCCCAAGTAGGTGTTTGGCATGGAGCTGGGGCCTCTCCAGGTGAAAGATAGTTTGGCAGTGGTCAGCCATGCTCTGCTGAAATGCAGGATTCTTAAAGTAATGCATTATTAGTTGGGCTACATTTGAGGACAGTGTGGAAGCGTCTGCTCAGTCAGATGCAATTGATAGGCTGTTCATTGACCCCATATCACATTTACGTACGTACGTGTGTGTGTGTGTGTGTGTGTGTGTGTGTGTGTGTATAATTTATAAAATTTGTATGCCATCCATTTCTTGCATCTCTGGACGGCTTACAACATAAATCAGAATAAAATGAATAAATTGACTATTCCATGTTGGCTATAATTTATAAAATACAAACAAAAAAATCAAATTACTATTGATGCATATTAAAATATTCATTAAATAAAAAGGTCTTCACCTGGCACCGAAAAACATATAATGACTGCTCCAGGCAGACCTCTCTGGGGAGCGCATTCCATAGTCAGGGCGCCACCGCAGACAATGCCCTCCTCCAGGTACTCTGTCTCCTAATGTCTTTCACAGAGGATTCCTGGAGGAGGGCTTCTGTTGCCGATCTCGGGGGGCGGAAGGGCAAATAGGGAAAAAGGTGTTCCTTTAGGTATCCTGGTCCCAAGCCATTTAGGGCTTCATAGGTAATAACCATCACCTTGAATTGAGCCCAGACTTCGATGGGAAGCCAATGGAGCTGATAGAGGACTGGGGTTATATGAGAATAACACCCAGTCCCCATCAGCAACCTGGAAGCTCTATTTTGTACCATCTGAAGTATCCGGACTGTCTTCAAGGGCAGCCCCACGTAAAGCACATTACAGAAATCTAACTGGGAAGTAACCCATGCATGTGTTGCTGTTGCTAGGCAATCCTCCTCCAGGTAGGGACACAGCTGATAGATTAGCCGAAGCCGAAGGAAAGCGCTCCTCGCCACTGCCGTCACGTGGGCTTCCAGGGACAGCTCTGGGTCAAGGTGTCCTTTAGAGGGAGTGCAACCCCATCCAGGGCAGGGCCCAAGTCACCTACCCAGGAGCTCGAATCACCCACCAACAGGACCTCTGTCTTATCTGGATTGAGCTTCAGTTTATTGGCCCTCATCCAGCCCATTACCTCGGCCAGGCACCGGTTCAGTACAGCCACTGCCTCACCTGGATCAGTTGAAAAAGAGAGGTAGAGCTGGGTATCATCAGCATACTGATGATTCTGCAGCCCAAACCTCCTGATGACCTCCCCCAGCGGTTTCATGTAGATGTTGAATAGCAAGGGGGACAAAATGGACCCCTGTGGTACTCCATGGCATAGCTGCCATGGTGCAGAGCCAAAGTCCCCCAGCACCACCTTCTGGAATCGGCCGTCAAGGTAGGAGTAGAACCACTGCCAAGCAGTGCCTCCTACTCCCTGTCCTGCTAGCCTATCTAGAAGGATACCATGGTCAATGGTATCGAAAGCCACTGAGAGGTCCAGGAGGACCAACAGGAATGTACTCCCCCCTGTCCCTCTCTCTGCACAGGTCATCATACAGGATGACCAAGGCAGATTCAGTACCATACCTGGGTCTGAAGCCGGACTGAAATGGGTCCAGATAGTCAGTTTCATCCAAGAGTGCTTGGAGTTGTCCCGCCACCACCTGTTCCAACACCTTGCCCAAAAACGGGATGTTGGCCACCGGTCTATAATTGGCAGCCATCTCTGGATCCAGGGACACCTTCTTTAGGACCGGCCTGACTATTGCCTCCTTTAGAGGAGCAGGCACCCGGCTGTCCCTCAGAGAGGCGTTAATGACCTCCAGGATCCAGGCACCAATCCCGTGTTTGGCCTTGGTCAGCAGCCACGACAGGCAAGCGTCAAGTAAACAGGTGGTGGGACGTACTTGTCCAAGCACCTTGTCCACATCATCAGGCTGCAATAACTGAAATTCATCCAATAATACCTGACCAGACGGGGTCATTGGTGTCTCCCCTAAAGGAACTGAATCAATTGTGGAGTCCAGCTCGTGACGAACCTGAGCGATTTTCTCCTTGAAGTGCTGGGCAAAGTCGTCACAGTGGGCAATCAATGGTGGTACAGGATCTTTTTTGGGGCCAGGATGTATCACCCCATGTACCACTCGAAAAAGCTCCTCTGGACAGCACTGTGAGGAGGCAATGGAAGTGGAGAAGAATTTCTTCTTCGCCGCCCTCACCACCACAGCATAGGCTCAATAATGAGCACATAAGCATGTTTGGTCAGATTCATATATCCTGCCTTTTTGACTTTCAAGGAACTTAAGGCAACTACATAATCTCCTCATCATCTCCATTTGATCCTCACAACAACCCTGTGAAGTAGGTTGAGCCAAGATCTGTGACTGGCCCAAATTCACCCAGTGGGCTTTGTGGCTGAGTGGGGACTAGAACCCAGATCTCCCAGGTCCTAGTCCAGCACTCTAACAACTACACTACTCTTGCTCTCCAGTGTAGTATTCAATTATCCCTCCAGTAATTGCTGGTCAATTTCCAAGCATAATTCAAAAAGGTGGTGCTTAGCTTTAATGCCCTGTGCCATTTTTGAATGATCTGAATCAAAGTACCCTGCACCTGCTTTTTGCCTTACAGAAAAAGCTGTATACACACTGGGTCCCCCAAACCTCCTGTTTACTTTTTAAAAGTTACTTATGTACATTGTGGAGTGCTTTGGCTATTGGATGCTAAAGAAATAGAACAAACACACGCATACATAAAATAGACTTAGGCTACAGGTTCTCTAGTTCGGATCTAACTTTTGAGTTTTACGTATCAATCAATCTTATTGACTGCTTTTATGTTCACTTGTTTTTTTAGTTTTCTTATAAACCACTCTGAGAAGTGTCTTGCTCAAGTGCAGAATAAGAATAAAAGAAAAATGATGGTCAGGCATCTTTAGGCAGGCATCTTTAATTTTTTTTAAAAATCACATTGAAATTAAAGGAAATGTTACAGTGGAACACTTTTTAAAAATTCCATATTCCCATTGCTCTGTAGAGCTGGCATATACAGATTTTATCATGGCCCTAAAATATTTGCTTCTGATGCCTAGAAATTTTTAATACCTTTATTCATTTCATTTCATTTCTATAACACCCCACTGCCAAAGCTTTCTGGGCACTAGATATACAGTATGATCCTATATATAGCTGCTATTTTAGCTCACATAAATTTCTACAGTATTTCAGTCAAGAACTGTAATCCTATGCACACTTACTTGTAGGTAAGCCGTATTGAATGTAATAGGGCTGACTTCTGAGTAAACTTGTAGAGGGCAGCACTTCTTTAAAAATGAAGCCTATTGGCATTCTTACTTACTTGCAACTGCCAGCTAAAATGTTATCTGAGTTTAGCTGCTGTGGAGACAGTCCTGAATTGGTCTTTCAAGGCCCCTGAAAATGGATTATATTGTCAGTAAAATAGAAGCAGTTAATCCATTGTTCCATATCACTAGTTCTTGATTAAATTTCTTTGACCTGCCATAAACAGGGCTTAATTGTTTAAAGTTAGCAGTGCAATGAGGTGCTTTGCTGTGTCCATAGTAAAGGAAGGTAGTTCCTTCCTGTTTGGAAAACTAGATTAACCATTGTCAGAATCCCAGAATCTCAATTTGCGGGAATAAAACTTGGGTTCGTGGTGGGAAAGATCAAGCGGCCAGACCATCTAGGCATTTATAGGTACACAGGTACAGGGCAATTGATGACAGAATGCAGAGATTACAATAAGATTCTGAGGTCATCACATACAGAACAGATAAAGAAATGTCAGTCAATCACACAGTAACAATGAGATTACAATATTTCTAATTGCCTGTATTGACACTTCAGTTCAGTACCTTGAACCCATCTTCACATCTACTTAGACATGTAAATTCAAGCTACTGAAACTATGCATGAACTCAAAGACTCTTATCTAGACTGGAGACATTCTGAATTGGCCAGGGCACATGGGGCCTCTGGGCTAGGAAGATACTTCCTTGAATTCCAAGAATGATTATTTAATCATTGTGAAGGTATACAATGTAAATTCGGACTAAATGACCTGTGTACTGTAGCTTACAGCTAAAGGTGAGAGAAAGGAGTGGGGAATGCCATTTTAAACAGTACAGCTTGGTTTTGAGAAGGAAGACAGGATTTGATCCCACAATGCAAAAGCACACACAAAAGTAATGCTTTTCAGACAGGATTTATCCAAATTTTCCCAACACCATTCAAGTCACCTGAGCAGTGAACCTCCGTGCCATCATATGCAGGGCTGGTCAAAGATAGTTTGCTACCTGGAGCAGAGCAAAAAATGCCACTGCCAGCCACCAAGCGAGGTACCTTATATGAGGCCAGCCACACTGTTTTAGTCAGAAGCAAAAATTCCCAGAAACACTTCTTCCCATTCTTGCAACAATAAGAAACCAAACACCCAGTATTTGCTCCCTGAGGAAGCCACCTCCTTTTGCCTGGTATTGAGACTGGGCCTGACTGCATACATAAGATTAACATGTGTATCAGGTGAGGTGCGTGCAGGCCCAAACAGATGTTCCCTTAAAATGGAATTGAAAAGATGACATGTGCACACAGAAACCTCAAGGCCTGTCTTGCACGTTAAAAATCAAGTACATGGTGAGGGGGAAGAATCATGCATCTCCTCCTTGGTCCTGTGAAGGGAATGAGCAGTACAGTGAATCTGTGAAGCATAAGACAGGCAAGAACTACCCTTCATAGTTCATAATTCTTTGGTTTTCCTCTGTATTCTTCCTTTTTCTGAGCAGAAGGTGAGCTTAGTTCCCTATGCTAAAGAATCAATCATTAATAAAACACGTTTGGTCATAGAATCCTTGGAGGTGATTTCAAGGAATGGGTTTGGGTTGGAGACCTATACATTTCACAAATCAAACTAGACAAAAAAACTTGAATGCATCAGACTTTTGTTATTTAAATAGATTAGACTGTTGGGACTGGGACCATGATGTATTTGGGGGGGAGGGGAGTGAGGTTCAGCCTTTCACCCTGATGCGTCCTGCCCTTCCCTCCACCAATATTACTATTTGTTCCACATGGGAAACTGTCACTGGTGCCAATGGTGTCTTCCCTGCCAGAATTGTGGGGACCAAGGAAAGGGGGCTTCCTCAGGACCTTGATACAGAAGAAACATCTGAACAAAAACACCCTGTGTGCCACAGTTCTGGTCCTGACACCCTGCTGCTTTTAAATAACAAAAATGCATTTCTGCATTTAACTCAATAGAAACATAGCAAGTCAGAAGGGGTCTCCTGGGCCATCTAGTCTGACCTCCAGCTCCACTCATTTAATACCCAACATATGGTTGCCCAACCTTCCTTGAACGCCCTCACTGATGGGGCCTCCCATCCCATCCCATGTAAGCCCATTCCATATCCTAGGGGTCCTAACCATCAGGAAGTCCTTCCTGACATCCAACCTGAAACTCATTTCCTTGAGCTTTGCCCCATTGGAATGCATCCTGTTCTCCACTGCAGGAGAGAACAGGTCACAACCCCCTACCATGTGACATCCCTTCACATACTTATATGTCACTATAAGATCCTCTCGGAGTCTCCTCTTCTCCAGGCTGAAAAGACCCAGCTCCCTCAATCTTATATGACCCCCGCAATCCGGCTACCATCCTTGTGATCCTGTACTGAACTGATTCTAACCTAGCAATGTCTCTCTTATAATGTGGAGCTCAGATTGTGGGCACACCAGTACTCCAGTTGTGGATGCACCAGAGTCTTATACAGCAGTACCAACACCTGTCTCGACCTGAAAGCCATGCTTCTGGTTATCTATCCAAGGATAACGTTCACCTTCTTAACCACCATGTCACACTGCTAGCTCAAGTTTAGCCTGCTGTTGACAAGAACCCCAAGATTCCTTTCACATGTGCTCCTCTCCAGCCACTTGTCCCTCATCCTGTACCTCTGGCCTTTATTCCTATATCCCAAGTGCAAGACCTTGCACTTATCTGCATTGAAAGTCATCCTGTTGCCCCCCGTCTACTTCCACAGTCTATCTAGATCCTTTTGGATATGGAGTACCTGCTCCTCAATTGTGGCCACCGCCCCCAGTTTGGTATCATCTGTGAATTCGGCGAATGGGGCAGCATAGAAATTTTATAAATAAATAAATAAATAATAAATTTGGTCAGCAGACCGGTCATTGATAAAAAGGTTGAACAAAATTTGTCCCAGAACTATGCCCTGGGCGACTTGTTGATGATTCCCTGCTGATAGTCACCCCTTGTTTGTGGTCTGTCAGCCATACCCTAATCGATCGGACAGTGGATTGATCTATCTTGAAGCTCATCAACCAGGATATCATGCGGCACCTTGAAAAGAACGTGCTGAAATCCAGGTAAAGCACATCCACCACATCCCCCTCATCTAGCCACCTCAAAACTTTGCTACAGAATTCCACAAGGTTTTTCTGGCAGGAACTATTTTTGCAGAAGCCCTGTTGTGTGGCTGCCACCTCCCGCTCCATCTAGGGTTTCTAGAGTTTTCCTTATTATGAAATTTTCCATCATCTTTCCAAGAATGGACATTAGGCTAACTGGCCTGTAATTCCTCTTGTTCCAAAAAAGCCCTTGATCTTTTTCCTGAAAGGTCAATTATGGAATGTGCTCCCCAGGGAAGTCTGCCTGGCGCCGTCGTTATTTGTTTTTCGGTGCCAGGCCAAGACCTTTTTATTTAAACGATATTTTAATTGTTAATTGTTGTTTCTATTTATTGGTTTTATACTATTGCCGAGATGCTCCGGATTTTCAATGTTTATTCTATGTTTGTTTATTCTGCTTTGTAAGCTGCCCCAAGGCTTTCTGCAACGGGGGCGGCATAAAAATGCTATAATAAATAAATAATCAGGAAAAAGCAAAGCTACACCCGTTTATTTTGCATGGAAAATAGATCAGCAGTGTGTCTCATACCCAAAGATATTGTGCTGAAGTATCTATTAATCCAAGTGGAGTTTTTAATATAGATAATGTTTTATGTATTTACTTTTTAAAATCTATGTATTTATTGAATGGAGCTGGTCTTTAACCGCAGTAAAGTTTATTTATCTATCATGACCAATGGGGCCTCAACCACCTCCCATGGAAGCCTATTCCATACCCTCGGGGTCCTAACTGTCAGGAAGTACTTCCTGGCTTCCAAATTGAACCTTGGTTCCCTGAGCTTTGCTCCGTTGGAGTGTGTCCTGCCCTTCTCTGCAGGGGAGAACAGGTCTCTACCCACCTCTCTGGGACACCCCCTCTCATACCTATATGCGTCAACAATCTCACTGAATCTGCTAGAGATGAGCATATACTGGAACTTTGCAGTCCTCATGGCTGAAAAGGTATGCCTAATGGCAATATCTGATAAAATTTCGAAAGCCAGAAAAGGTCTGAAAAAGATTTCCCACTGTAAGGAATGCAATGCTCTCTGCATACATCCATGCTTCCTCTCCATTACTTCCCAAACCTTACCAAATTAAGCAACATTAAAATGCTAGAATTATAAAAAATGTTGTTACTACACTATGTTTATATCCCACCTTTCTTCTTCTTGCAAGGAACCTGAAGTGGCTTGCATGGTCTTCCTGTTCTTCATTTTATCCTGAAACAACCCTGTGAGGTAGGTTAGGCTGAAAGTGAGGAACTGGCTCATAGTCACCCAGTGAGTTTTATGGCCAAGTGAAGGCTACACCCAGATCTCCCAAGTCCCAGTCCCACACTGACCACCGCACCACATTGGCTCTCATATAATAAAAGTACTGTGCAATGTCCCAGTTTTGCCTAATTTGTGCAAGCTGCAGCATTAAGGCTTGCTAGCTAGAGAATTTAGATTAACTGACTGCTAAATATGCATACAAGCAAAGGGCAGGATCCTCCTGGAATCAGAGCAGAGAAACATTTGCATGCAAGCTGTGAACCCCAAAACAATACATGCAAACTGGGGATTTGCTTGTTTCTAGCTGGAGAATTCCATCGCCATTCATGGCCAATGCAAACCTTCCATAAGAGTTTGAGATCATATTACTTGCTTAATGAACATTAAACATTAATCTAAACAAATAGAACCTCTTTCAATGCTTCTGAATGGGAAAACTTAGTAACATATTGGTGGTCTGCCATATTTATGCAGCAAATAATGTTGTTTTCTTGTCTTTGCTAGTATTTCCACATCTGGTGAAAAAGTTGAATGCAACTCTTCATGTGACGATTATCCTCTTCCTTTGTGTGGCATTTTCCTTTGCCCTTGTCAGCTTAGGATTTTGCATCTTAAACATAATAAAAGTACCCTATCGGGCTATTACAGGTCCAGCAGGAATAGCCCTGTGGAATATACTTGCAGGTAAATGTTAACTTTAAAAAATAGCTGTTGCTAACAATTAAAGTTAGTAGTTATTAAGGATACATGTTTGTTTTGTACCGGTATTTATTGCATGCAAAGGGATTAACAGTAATGATCCCATTAATCATAGCAAGCTCAAACTTTTCTGCTAAATTAAAAGCTGGCTTTCAGTGACATTGTGCATGTTCCTAAATGAACTTATTAAATATTCCATTCATGTCAGATACAGTTTTAGCAAGAGTTTTCTTGATAAATTATCACCCCCTTCATTGACAATTTGTTGCTGATAACCTGTTTCATGTATTCCAGGCAAGCAAGCTGTTGCATGCCTGTGTGGGGTGTGTACTGGCATACTTGCTGGAGCTGTTTGCTCCGCAGATCTCTTTCTGCAGGGAAAAGGTTCTATGTTTGCAGCACATCCTGGCCTGGTCAGTGGCATCTATGCTCCCTAGTAAGACCTAATTTATGGATACCCTGGGCTAAAACTGTCCTTGGAGTGCCCTAGTTTGGAATACTGTCAAAGGACTGTGTGTTTGAATGTGTTCCACCTAACCCAAAATGTTGTGTTGTTTGGGGCAAAGGAAAACTTGGCAATCCCCATACCATATACAAAAGCCAACCACACTGGTGGTGACCCTTATTACTCACACACCTGAGGACAGCAGGTTGGTTTAAGGTTTAAAGATGAGTGGCCACTTCACTGCCTACTGGCAGGGCTTCTCTGTTTTGCTCAGCTTAAAAACAAAAGCAAAGCAAAGCAATGCAAAATTATACATTGCTCTGAAGTCAGCTGTCAGGCAGAATGTTTCCAGCCATTCCTGCTTCCTAACATACTAGCTGACCATGTGAAGGGTTTGTGGGGGAGAATTCAGTGATGCCTGCAATCTGAAGCCACACACCTCAGGAAAAGGTTTGTCACATACTCTGCTGTTTCTGCAGATGTACCTAAGTGAACATTTGTCCACCTGTGTGGACATTTTCAAAAGGCAAAGAACATGCAGCTGGAAACTAAGCTTCTTTTTATGAGGTCTTTTTCAGAAAAACAAAGAAAAGTGGAAGAGGCCAAAATGCCCCTGCTTCCAGGTAGTGTGTTGCAAGGAAATGTCTGTGACTCCCATGTGACAAACTGTGTAAGTTGCACTTGGAATTCACACATTTTGCTGCAAACAAGATTCATGAATCTCCCCTTGTACATTAAAGGAAACCAGGACAAGTGGTGGCTTCTCAACATAGAGTAAACTAATGAACCACTTTAAAATGGATGGCAGAGTCAACTGTTTTGCATTCAGATGTAGGAATGAATTTTTGTTTTATCTTCTCTTTCAGGTGGCTTCGCAACACTGGCAGTGACCTGCTTTATGGCTGCTGTCAAACTGCATAATCTTACAGAAAGGATTGCCAATTTCCGGGAAAATGTCTTCCAGTTTGTCATCTTGGAAGAAGAGTATGAACACTCTTTTTGGATTTGTGTAGCAAGTGCAACAGTTCATGGTGTGAATTTGTTACTAGTTGCTATCAGCGCAATTCACTTCCCTACACTGAAGACCAAGACAGAAGAAGCAAATGTCACTGCAGAGGACATAATGTACTAAACCCTTGGCCAGTGTTAAACTGATATGATCTGCTGTATTTTGAAGAAGTAAACAATGCTGGCAAGAGCAGATAAATATGGAGGAAGTATGGTCGGCAGTGCAAGTTGGCGGGTTGGGGCAGATGCCGAAGCCCAGTGGCCCACGAAGGATTCACAACCACACCACTTCCATATTCCACTGCAGCCTGGGAAGGTTGGAAACAGCACAAGATGCTCTCACGCTGTGCCAAACTTTCCACAAGCCCAGCACAAAATAAGAATACCTCAGCCATGTTTACCTCATGGACTACACTGTGCAGTGGATAATTTAGACTTTAAACTCATTTAAGGAAAGCCAATTCAAAACACTGAAGAAAAGCCTGTGCTGTAGACCTCATAGGACAACACTACATTTCTGAATGCAGGTGGAGAATGAGGGGAAGCATGACAGGAAGAGGCCTGACAAGCCTCCCCTAGCTGGCTTTTCTCTTTCTGTAGGTCTGGCACAAGCTATTTTGTTATCCTAGGCAAAAATAATTATGGTCCCGGCATGCACACTGCTGTCATATAGTGTTATTTATATGTGGGAAAAGCAATTGCATTTCGTCTGCAAGTTTTTCAAATTACAGCCCCTTTTCTTGCTCCTTACAAGTGAATGAAGGCAAGGGAAGTCACTGCAATGGGAAAACTAAGTGTGAGTGAGTGAGAGAGATGCCCCTACACCCAACTTCAGCTGTCCCAAAGCTCTGAAGAGGGAAAGTGTGGTTTCTTTCTGAGGATTGTCCCTGATATCAGCCCCCTTTCCCTGCTTCATACAGGCAAATTCAGTAAATGTCTGTGAGACAAAAAATGTATGAAGTAAAATGGGTTGTGGGGGATAACATGGCACATGGAAAGGGAGAGACTTCTGGCAGATACACTTTATGTGGTGACAAAGATGAATTGTGTGCTTTACAAATTATGTTGCTGCTCCTTCAATTCTACCTTTCCAGAGGGTTACCGGTACTACCTTTTGGGGTGGCCTGTGTTTTGAGATCACATCCAGAAGTGAAATGTCATGTTTTCCCTCGGACAAAATGTACACAAGCTCCATATGCAGCCAGAGCTCATGTATATTTTTGCCAAGGAAACTCCCAAGGAAAGCATAGACAACATAACTTTGGTCATGGTGGCTCCCAAATCTTTTTTGGGAGATTTGTGTGATCATAGTGTGATCATGTTAGAGAAGAAAGTGATCATAATAAAACCCAATCTTTTGAAGCCTGTTAATTGTATCAGTAATTCACACAGAATTCAGCAACTCTGTTTGGATTTTTTTTTTTTTTTTTTTTTTTAGAATTTTTAATTTTTTCCAAAAAATTTTTTAATTTTTTTTTTTTTTTTTTTTTTTTTTTTTTTTTTGGAACTCTTAAGTATCTCCCAGAAATGGTGTCAACTGATTTGCTAAACTGGATATATTATATTTGAAGATATTAAACCTCAACATCAGAACAAATCACCATTCTGCTGTTAAAATTAGGAGACACTAGATACAACATTTAATAGACAAAAATGAAATGTCGACAGGAATAGTCTTTAAAGACCATGATCCCATATTTTCTGCTTTTAATTAGTGAAAGAAATGGAAAATGCTTCTAGGATTCAAGAAGAAAATATGTTTCTGTACGTGTTTCCAAAGAGTTTGGAAAGCCTTCAAGCCTTTGTTCATTCTGGGAACAAAACTTATTAAATGAACTGAATACTTAACAGAATTAGAAATTCGTTACAAAAGGAGGCATTGGCTTATCCACTTTTCCAAGCCTAAAAAGTGTCTGGTGGCTTCTTCACAGGGGCTCATGATGAGAAAGAATTGGAAACGTATGGTGTCAGTTCAACCACTTTTTTATAACAAGTATACAAGAAAAACATAGTGGGAGTGACACAGTGAGTGAATACATGCCAAATATGCATCAGTTCTCTGTGACCAAGTTTAAACTACATATGTTTTGTGTTTGTGTCTTCCCTCTCACCAACTTTAATGACTGTGATATTCTCAGGTTGGGATTCCAGACCATTCAGAACAGTCAAGCTCCTTTCATTGAGCCCCTCTCAGTTGCTAGGTAGGCAAGCTGGATAGCCATCTGAGAGGGATGGTTTAACTTGGGGACCTGCACTGAGCAGGGGGTTGGACCTGAGGGCCCTCTGGCTCCTTCCAGTTTTATGATTCTAAGCCCCAGTGCAACCTGTCCCAGTCAGATTCCCTCGGATGTGTGGGGCCACATACTGGTTGCATTGGCATACTACAAACTGATTTATATTTGAACAGGCAGAAGATGCACAGTCTGCACTACAGTGTTGAAGAGGTGTGCTGTGGGAGGGAAAGGCCGGGGCTAAGAATGCCTTCTTTGTACAGGTTCCAATACTCATGGTCCCATCTCACTTATAAAAACATAAGAAGAGCCATGTTGGATCAGACCAAGGGTCTTTCTAGCATTCCAGACTAGGTACACTCCAGCTACATTCCAGTCCCTCATGGGCACCTTGCTTGGTAGGTTAGTCTTCAGCAACCTTCATGGAGGAACCATCTTTCCCCTATCAGCTAAGCAAAATCTGTAACAAGACTATCTCCTGATTTGATGACCACAGCACATCACATTATTGTTCACCAGAAGTAGCAATAGTAGGAGGGACAGATAAAAGTTTTGTGATAAAGAGAAGGTTCTGTGGGAGAGCAACCCCTTTGCAGGCAGCGGGTCTCTTCCAGGCTTCTCCAACTGGAGGATTTCAAGTGGTACCGCTCTTGGCAAGCTGCTGCCAGTCAGGGTGCTGTACTCTGTACTTTAAGCAAACGCTTCACATGTTCACACAGAGAACAGCGAAAGCACCACTAGCTTTTAAGTTAACCTTCAAGCTGTCCCTAACTTTTTCCAAGTGAAGTGCCTCAAGAAAAGCATTTGTTGCTTCCACACATTTCTTTAGTGCTGTGAAACTCAGGGCTGGTTTGCACATGCATGTACCTCACTGGCTTTCCCTGGTGACTCCCAGCTAAATGCATTAGCTATCTCCTCTGAAGAGAATGCATTGTCTGAGATCACAATGAGTAATCTGAACACTTTGTTTAAGATATGGTAACTGATTGATGGTTCTTTGACTCACATGTGTAAGCCATCACTGCTCAGGCAATCATCAGGGGTTAGGCATGAATACACAATGCTTCATTGGAGGATGCAAAGGCTAGAGCGGTGTTCTTCACTGCAAGGTCCAAGGACCACTGGCAGCTTCCAGTTACCTCAAGCACAGCTCTTCAACCCCTTCTCTCCCCCCCCCCCCCCCCGGTCTCTCTCTGCATAGCAACACCTTACTTCCAGCAGAAACTCTCTAGCTTTGCCTTGTTTTTCCATTAATGTTGGGCCAGTTGCTGAAATCTGGGTGACCAGAGGAAGGTTTGTGGTCAGGTGACCACAAACAGCAAGGGGGTAGAGAAGGATGGGAAGATGAGAATGAGGGACAATCAGCCAGTCAGCGACTGGGGAGGAACATAGAGCAGCAGCAGTGTAAAACTGAACACACTGAATTCAGGGCGAGCTATGCAAATCTTGTCTGAGAGATCCTGCTGCACTGGGTAGAACACAGCCCTCTCTCAGGGATGAGAAAAAGCTTTATCCCGGGGCCAAGAGTGCCTCTTGGAATTGCCTCGATAGGTGAGTAATTGGGGATGTAGAGGGGGACGGAGAGGTGATGCCTAAAAATGTCTCCAGGGGAATCTGGTGCACAATGTCACACACTGATCTCCTCCCTGCTGTGTACCGGGAAAGCCCCTGAGCAGTCTTGGTGCTGTGGCTTCTACTTGAAAAGCAGAGAAGAGCGCTGGCCCGGATAGGCAAGGAACAATAAGTTCACATACACTTAACTCAACGGGAATTGTTCAAGTTGCAGCCTGCCTGTTAAAATATTACCCAGAAAGTAGAGTATACAGATGAGATAGAATCTAACCTTCATTTTAAAGGCTAATACCTGCAAACAATCACACGACCAGAAACGTGTAGTCGTGAACAATTTCTTGCTACTGCAAAGTAGAAATGAATAATTTGTGAGTCAGGAGACACAGTTAGGGAAGGAGGGCGATTTGTTCCCTTGCCTAGCAAAGGAAAATTAAACACTTGCATCAAGATTAAATACAATGTATTCCACCAGCTGCTTTTCCTCACAATGAAGGGAGGTACTTACATGCCTTTATTGAGAGGAAGAGTGCATGAAAGGGCAAATACCAGAAACGGGGGGCAACCAAACAGAAATGGTTACCACTTTGTATCCTACAGGTGAGCTTTGAAACAGCTTCCATCTGACTGGATACTGCTAGAAAAAACTAGACTAGGTGGCTTGATCCCACAAGGCCATTCTAATAAATGTACACAATTCTTGTGCAATGTTATTATACATTTAATAGAATACCTCCTGATTATAGCAAGAGCAGTGCCTACTGGTCACACTTTTTTAAAGTATGTTTAATTTCAGTATTGACTTTCAGAATGACTACTAGTCTGCATTGGACCACAGGCTGGGTCTGTGCGTGTCAGGGAAGAGCAAGTTTGGAGCAAAGTTAAGGACCTATCAGGGAACAATGCAGGAATTAAAAGTGTATTTATGCTCTTATACAGCTATTTCCTTAGACTTGCAGCTTGGACTTCCCAAGGAGAAAGAGATGACTGGTTTTCTCCCTATCCAGGCATCCCAATGCTCTCTCCTTTCCTGTGGGTTCTACCTCACCTCTGCCTCTCCTTCCTGGATCTCTCTTTGCTTCCTTATCAGTCTGCCTCCTGCGGAGAGGTTCCCCTTACATACAGAGAAGCCAGCTTCTCCAAAGCTGTGCAGCATCTTTCATGATTTGCTAATTTTGGGAGTGGCTTTCTCTAAGGACTTTCTCTAATATAGGTTCCATGTCGTAAGTACACCACTGAGCACTATAAAACAGGGATGGCAGCTGTTGTTTAGTACATTTCTTGCTTTACAAGCAAACAGGCCTTTTCAAGGGGCACCATAAATATAGCGGCACAGGCTGGCTTACAAGTCTTGTTTGCTTTATCTTATGTGCTCAGTTGCTTGAGCTTTGCAGTAATCATGGCATGAACCACCTTTCATATGTCCCCAAAGATTTTCCAGCTCATCTGGAATTAGAAAGTAATGCAGGAAAAACCTCACTACACAATGCAAGCTTTCCCAGCAAGTACAGCAGCAGTACGATAATTACACATCATGTGCAAGTATATGTCATCGACCAGGGGTGGCCAAACTTGAGGCTTCTGAGTCGCATGCACCCCTGTGAGTATTTTGCGGCTCCCTGTTGGCTGCTCGCCACCCATAGGCACCCACTGGCAGCTCTCAAACATCTGACATTTACCTGATGTGGCTCTTGAACAAGTCTGGACACCCCTGCCATACACTAACGGCCCCTTTTCTTACTGGGGCCACAAGCCTACTATTAAGGAGGGCACAATTCAGAGCAGTGGAGCAGTATGGGAAGGGGGCACTTAAGCCTTTCCCTGCAGGATATTTCCCTGCAATTTCCAAATGGCTCTCTAGAAGCTTCCTCTCCCATGGATAACCACATGCTGTTGAAATCAAGACTGGGGTAAGTCACTGAAGGGCACTTTGGAGGCAGATCTAGGCAGTTTCATGTTGCAGCTGTGCTTTCAGTTTTCCCCTCCTAAATCATCTTTTCAAAATATAAAACCACCAATGACCTCCTAGTTATACATTCGTACATTGGGTGTTGTTGCACCACTGGATTTTCCCCGAACTCTCACCACGAGAATCTCCTGGAAATAAGCTAAAATGCATCTTAACTACTTATTTTTCCTCGCATGATCCCCATCCAAGCCCTTCACAACACTGCATCTAGCAGCGTGGCTGAGCGAGCACAGGTGAGCTGTGCGTGTGTATTGCTATGAAGCTTTTATCACTTTCCTGACTCCAGGATGTGAATCTGTTACGCCACAGAGAAACGCTGTGTTTCAGCATGGGGTACACACAACGCAGTACACTCGACTATCCGACATTTTCAACAGTAAGATTCTGCACCTAGCGAGGTGGTGGTGCAGCGGTGCTCTGGCCTGTTCCCCCTCCTCCATGCACGCCTGTTGCGGAGGGAAGCAAGCGCCGCGGGGACCAAACAAGAGGGGCGGGGAGCCTGCCAGGCAGGCGCACGTGGGCTTTCCTTCCCGTCAAAGGCGGGCCTTCCTTCCCATCGTGCGCTCTCGACGCCCCGTGACCTCCGCTGGGCGGTGGCGGTCATGCTTCTGCCGCTGCTGGCGAGAGGGAGGATCCTCCTGCGCTGCAAGGATCTCCGCGTCCTGATGGCCTCGTGCGTCTCCAGCGGCGGCGCCCGCCACAGGAAGCAGGTGGGGCTTGGGCGCAGGAGGCCAAGAGGGCGCGAGGCGGGGAAGGGACCGCGGCAGGCGGGCTCAGGCGAGCAGCTCTGTGGGGAAGCGAGAGCGGGGAGCCGGGAGGAGGGCGGGAACGTCGGCCCGCAGAGCCCGAGGCCGAGGCCGCTGCAGTGGCTTCTCCTTCCCAAGGAAGAAGGGGGCTCGACTTAAGGAGGGAAAACCGCTTTGGGCGCGTTCAACCGAGATACCCCCGTGGAACGTCTATCTGTAGCGGAGCTGTGTCTCTGTGGAGATGGTTGGATCAACAGTAGCAACGACGTCAGAGTCGGACAGGGCTTTGCAAAAGAAGGAATAAGCGGACTGTGGCACGAGCTCTCATTCTCCAGTTTAATGCCTTCTAGTATGCTGGTCTGCAACTTCCAGAATTCCTCCGGCCATGCTGCCTGGGAATTGTGGGAGTTAGAGCCCAACACATCTGGCGGGCACCAGGTGGAGAAGACAAAGCATACGGTTCCGCGGAGGCAGAATGCTGCTTTCGGTGGACCCTTGATTCGATCAGGTCGGCCGTCTGCTTCTGTTGTAGTCCTGGTTTTGTTTTTAAAGTTATGGGGACAATATCAATGGAATCTCATTAGCATCATGTTTGCTAGTGCACACAGCTTTGGCTCATGTGCAAGAAATCACTTCCCCTTTTTTGAGGTCACTGTGGCCACTTCTTCTGGTGCTGTTATTCCAACTCTACAAGGAAGAATACTTAGACCACACAGAAAAATACTTAGATGCATGTAGCTGATGTGGGCAGGTGAGAGCCTCACTGGAGTATGTGTTTAGAATTGCAACTTGCCCTACAATTGTTTTGGGAATGAGTTCCATTAACTATCCTAACAGCTGGGGCCCAAACCATCTGGAGAGCACCAGATTGGGCAAGGGTGGGCTATACTGATGGACAGGGGCTCCCAGATTGGGACTAGAATCTAGAACAAGAGGGATAGCTTGAGGCCTTCCAGTGTTTTGGCCTGCAATTCCCATCAACCTTCACTATTGGCTGTACTAGTTAGGACCTGATGGGACTTGTAGGAGGTTGCCCACTCCTGGACCACCATCTTCAGCTTGGAGTGCCACCATTCCTGTTTGTTGTTGTTGTTCATTTTAATTTCTATTTAATGAGTGGGAGACTAGTTGCAAAAGATGACAGACTTGTTTATTTAATAGTTGTCTGGAAGAACATACTTGGGTAGATTTGGTTCGCTTTTCATCCCTACATGAGAAGCTACAATTTCCAAAATTTCCCTCAGCTGTACAACTATTAAAAGTAGTCCAGGAGCTCTGTATTTCCCCTGCACATGGTCACCCCCAAAAATAGGCTTAATGTTGCAGTGGAAATCATAGAAGATAACACAATCCTCTGAAATGAATAAAGTGTGTTCTTGGTCCACTTCAGTCCATAGCATTGTTGTAAGTCACACTCCTTGGAAATTCTGTATGCCTGCCTGAGGATTGTCCTCCTATTGGTTGGAACAACCAACATTGAGAGAGGTGATAATGTAGATCAGAAATGCAGCCTGTTCTAAGTTCTGGAAAGGGCCTGTATCTGTCCACACCCTTCTGCTTTTGCCACACTCGGCTTGACAGACTAGAGTTCAGCTCAATTGCTGACTCACAGGAGTAGCCTGGAACATTTAAGGGGCTGGACAAAGTTGCCTTTCCCTGCTATAAAGGCTGCAGCCTCTGCCAACTGCTGCAACAGGGCCTAACAGAGGACACCAGGGTAGCTAGTCATGCTGCCGAAAACTGATCACAGCAGTCCTAGTGCTGCAAATAAGGTGTGTGCCATGGGGGTGTTATGGCAAATATGGGATCTACTGTTTGATTGCATAGTGTGGATGGGACATCTGGTGGTGGGAGTGTATAAAATGTGCATTATGCACAAGTGTATGCGACAAGTAGGAACTTTGCACTAATATCTTGATTTGCTTAGGATCTTTCTGTATATTATTCTCCTCACCCCAAAAAACCAACACTTTGTCAGTGCTTAAGCAGATGATAAGGGGGTAATGTTTCAGTTTTATGAGCATGGCAGGGAAATATTTTTGAAACTTGGTTTCAAGGAAAAACTAGCCTTGTACCCTAATATGACCCCTAGATTAAATTAATTTGATTTAGATGTTTTTAACTGAGTCTGGATCAATCCTCTGAATTTTTATCTGGCGTGAAGTTTTTGCAGAGTCTGGAAACAGGACAGGCTACAGACTCAAAATAAACCAAGTGCTTTGCTTTATAAGTTCTTTTACAACGCATATGGGACTGGATGGGTGAATGTTAGATGTTTTGTCTCCCCATGTCATCTTTTTGAAAGAAAAATAGGTCTTGAATATGTTACAAGTCTGTGCAGAGGAAAGGGTAATAAGGAAAAGTTGCTCAATCTTCTCCTTTCTTGTTCAGCACAGTGGGTTTGGGCTGTCCCTCTGTAAGCTACTTTCCATATATTTTCCCCTTGCAGCTGAGGAAGCAACTCAGCAGAAGCAATTTTGAGCAAAGAAGTTATTGAAATGGAAAGAGTTAAGCAGCTTCTCCAGCCACCTCTCCTGTGTTTAGATTTTCAGCCTGCTTGGTCTGTTTCAGATTAAAATAAAACTAAAACTCAGTATGGAGACATTTAAGGACAGGTGCAATTATTTTTCCCCCAGTGTTTCCCCTGTGAGTACTGGGGAAGTTAGAGCTTGCCTTCTTACCCTGCCCTGTCCCCTCGGTATGCTTGTCCCATCAGACACTTGCACATAACATTTATATGGGATATCTGTTCAATGTGTGTTGGCTTGAGCAGTGTGCACAGGATTATACCTGAATTGTTCTGACTCTGTAGATCAATTTATCTGTAGATATGGCATTGAAATATCCCATCATAAATATTTCTGACACTGCTTACACATCGTATGCACACTACTTTATACAAAAATAATTTTTCAATGCATGTGCAGTGAGGCACTGAAAGAAACATTTTTTTAGTTCACAGTATTTTTATGCAAAGTTGGCTTTTTAAAAGCTGGGAAATAATGTTTGCTTTTCTAGTAGGTAATACCAGACTACCCCATCTTATCTGGTTTGTTTGACTGGTTCTTCCACTCCTTATAATTATCAGGGAGTCACTAACTGATATAGGCAACTTGTGTAATCCTCTGTGATTGAGGTCATTCCTCCAGTATGAATGCTAGCGTTTGATGTGAAGTGCTAAGACAGCGTATTCTACACTGAAAAACACTCTTGAGCTATGATGTGGCATCACCTTAGGATATTTCATCACAACTTGCTATATAAAGAACTTTCTTCCATTAGGAGACAATGTTGTTGTCTGTGTAAAGCATTATATTTGTGTAGGAAAAGGGTCCCTCCCCTCCCCTCCCCTCCCCTCCCCGAGATCATTTGCAATCATTTTCTGGGACTGCATCCTAAGAGGTAATGAAACTTTTTTTAGGGCCTTGTCCTAGGTGTCTTTGCCAATGAGCAGGAAGAAGGAGCACCTCAGTTTACTCATGCAGGAGATGCCTTTGATAAACTCGTAGCTGGGAAGCTCAGGGAACTGCTGGCAATGTAAGTACCAAGATGGGTCCTCTTTGGTTTATCTCACAGTCATGGTCTGGACAGAAGAGCATTAAGGGGCAACCAAGCTGTAGTTACAGGGAACAGAGGCCCTTCGCCTCCCCATTTCTTGCCGGCTTTGTGCCTGCTGCTTTAACACCAAGGCTGGGTTTCCATGACAGAAGGGTGGTTAATAAGCCAGAGTGGCTGCTCTGTGTCACTGCCACTGCTCACCGCTTCCCGAGGACTTCAGTCAGCTGGAGCAAACCAGTGCTTATTCCAGCCCTCACCTTGCTCCTTGCAGTGCCACATGGTTCTTTCTAATGCTTTCTGGAGCTGCAAGAGCACCACACGTGCCATTCTAGCCTCTCCCGACCCTGTGCAGCTGCTCACCTGAGCCAGGAGCTACTACTGATGCCTGCAGAACTGGTGACAGGCAAATTATGGCTGCCTCCTTGTTCCCCATGCATGCTGCCTTTTTAGGAGCTGAACAAAAGGCACAGTGGGGAACTTTGGGAATTCGGGGGCTTGTAAGTCCGGACGTGGTGCTGTCCTGGTGGCCTGCAAGGCAATGCACTAACTGTGGCAGGGAATGCTGCTACTAACTTTGCCAAGTTTCTCAGCCCCTGCTCCTGCCTTTAACAGGATTGGCATCTACAGATATTGATATGATATTGGTAAGAATGATTTATTGCTGACAAGCTGTTGTACAGATACACTGATAGTCAGCCACACAGATGAGAAACAATAGTAATGCAATGCAGCAGCAGCAATACAGTTGAACAGATACACTCCGAATCACAAATCCCATTGGACTGAGGCAAGATCTAAAATTACATGTGCTTTATTTTCATTCTGCATGAAGTTTCATTTGCTGATTTCTGCTGATCAGCTTGCTCTTAAAAGGCACAGAGCAGACCAAATTGTCTTTTTTTTCCAGGCATGTGGCAATCCTTCATGCTGTAATCTGTTGTTTTCATTGTTTTGTGATAATGTTTATGCTGTCTTGCAGTTCAGGGCCTCCACTGAAGAAAGGAAAGACGCGTGTCTTTCATGGCTTGCATCAGGTATGGAATGACTATTTAACGAAACCTAACTTTGTTTCCAACGTAATTCTTCTTACGGTATTGTAGGTTTGTCAGAAATGTGCCGCACCCACATCCCCAGACGGGTTTTCTACTGGCTCCTTATAATATGGCAAGGTGGAGGGCAAATTAAAGTGCTGCATGAGCCGAGCAGGGCCTGCTGATCTTGCCCACAGCCCACCTTCCTTTTGTGTGGTTCATTTTAAAGCTGTTTTTCCTACTGGTGGAGCTCTGAAGCCAGAAGAAACTTCATCTGGCAAGAACCAACTAAAATCCCCTATGCTTCTCGGAGGTTTTCTGACCTGTGAAGAGGGGATCCTGGTGGGGATGGATTAGAAGCCTCTAGCCCAAGGGCGAGTTTGGGCCCCAAGCCTTGTCACTTCAGGGCAAGTGATGGGAGGAAGCTCTTTTCTCTGATGAGTGATTGGAGAGAATAGTGGAGCTTTAAAGGTGAGCTTTGTGGTAAATTTTGCTTAGCTTCTGCAGGAAAACATTGTGCCTTTGGCTTGATATTGATATTAATTAATTCATGCTATACCCCCAGATAGCTGATGCTTGCTGGGTAGGTCACAAAAAATTCACAACATACAGTGCACAAATAAAACAAAACAAAAAAATAGAATAAAACACTTTTTCAGATATACAAAATTTGAAAAACAATTAAACAGCTAGAATAATTTTCAGTAATACACCTGTTGAAAGCAGATAATGTCAGTGCCTGGGAGGAGAGGGCAGACTTGACCTGGCACCAAAAGGAGTTGGTGCTAGGCAAGTTTCAGTGAGGAGGTAATCATTTTATCAGGGGCCTGCTACTCAGAAGGTCCGCTTTAGTTTGTAGTGGCCAAGTAGAGTTGGGTTGACAGACTTCATAGGTTATAACCGGCCCTTAGAAATAATCTCAAAAGCAGGCAGCCAATACTAGCCAGCCACATCTGGTGTTTGATGTTCAGCTTTTATTATCTGTAGTGCCTTTTATTTCACTAACTGGAAAGGTAAGTGCTGAGTTTGCATCCAGCTTTAAAAAATGATTCATTGCTATAGTACCTTTTTTTCCAGTGGTAAGATTAACTAATGTTCTCTGCCATTTTGCTGCAGGACTTTTCAAGCGTCGTAGTTGTTGGCCTGGGCAAGAAGGCAGCAGGAGTGAACCAACTAGAAAACTGGGATGAAGACAAAGAAAACATAAGAGCAGCAGTTGCAGGTTAACTTGAAATTAAATATTTACTCCCATGCTTTAATAGTTTCTCTAATGGGATATATGCTGCCTTTTTGAAGATACTTGTCCATTTCAGAATTAGCAGCTGGGTACAAGCCTGTACCCACTCACCTGAGAGTAAACCCTGCTTGACTCTGTGGGGCCCAGCTTCTGTGTAGGTAACTATAGGATTGTGCTGAAGAAACTGCATAGGGCTTTGGTCCAAAGCTGCTGTCAACCCACTGAGTTGGCTTACAAAAGCCATATGGTTGTATCTAGGGGTACTTAAACCCACTTACCTCCACATGCATGTGGGATGAAATCACAGCTGCCATTGCACATGAGTTGCTAGTATTTGTGCACAGGGTGTACAGACCCACGAGACGCCTCCCCACCCAGCTGTTCATGCTCCACGGGGGAATGCCGGGCCAGGTTGAAGTCAAATGTGAGGTTTCATACATGGTTTGGCACTGCTCTCATGTGGATGTGATTGGATTTAAGAACACCTGGGTTGAGTGTCAGCCCAAGTCTCCGATGTGGGAATAATCATACTAGCCTATTGCTGTAGGGCTGTCTTGAGGATTGCTGATAGATATTGTGCATGCAAGAGCACAGTTCATGCTTGCAGCATCACTTCTCAGATCTCTCTCGCTCTTTTTTTTCTTTTTGCCCGCATGGTTTCAGGGGCTTATTTATTCCTACTTATTTCTGGAATGCTATCCTTCCTTTTAGCTGAAAAGACACCCAGAATGGCTTACAAAGATCAGTAGTAAGACAGTCTTCTCTCAGACATAAAGTCAGAACGACACGACACACAAGGAAGAGAGGAAAGGCAAGCTTGGGTACCCTTTCTGACAGGTTTCTTAACAAAGCAGAAGAGAACCACCTCCAACCCTACAGATACAACTTAAATGGCAGATGAATTGCAGTAGCCTCGATAAAAAACATTGGTGGCCTGTAGTAGTGTGGGGTGGGGGAGGGTGTTTTTTCTTTCCCATTACTTTATTAAAGCAGGGAGTTTATTAAATATTTCCATGGTTAGGAGAACTAATCAGGTGGCCTCATAAATCAAACATCTCAAACATTGCATGCAAAAGTGACTTTTAAAAATGCTAAATAAGCATTAATAGCACCCAAGGTGCTTTTATGACATAATTTTAAAACAATGGTGGTAGACTTTGCTCTGCTAAAATTGCTCAGTCATCCTTGTGCTACAGGGGAATGCTGGGTAAGACATTTTCCCATTCTTGCTGAGTTGCATGAGGACAAAAGCTGCCAGAAAAAGGAATTGAAAGTGAACTAATGGGTCATGGATTGCTAAATAGTTTTTTTGAGTTTTTAAATTATAGATATAGACAGAATTTAGCTAATTTGTAATAATTGATAGTCTGAACCAGATTAAAAGTTTATTGTCCTCTTTTTCATTTATATCCACCTCTTGCCCTCCCCTAGTATTCAATATTACCAATGTATATTTTATTTTTCAGTTGGATGCCAGCAGGTTCAGGAGCTGGAGATCCCTTTTGTAGAAGTTGACCCTTGTGGAGATGCTCAGGCTGCAGCAGAAGGAGCCATCCTCGGACTCTTCGAATATTCTGAGTTTAAGCAAAAAAAGAAACCAGTGGTTGAAGTCCAGCTGCATGGGAGGTGATTGGCTGAGAAATCACATCTGCACAGATGTCCTGAATCAATAGCTTTCTAATTCTTGATTCACCTTTCGTGTGTAACACTGTCACTTAAAATGGCTCACAGTGTGTTTTTGGGTCTGTGCACTACTCGACCTCTATATAAACCTTTATAATTGCAAAAAGTGGATGAAATAAGATGCTACATGATGTGATCCATACAGGAACAAAGCATCCAACTTTGCCAATATAAATGAACAAGGCATCGAGTGTTGGCATTGTTTGTATTCAGACAGTGCCTGCGACTGTCTTTGGCAGAGTCTTGTGTCTTTTGTAGTACCAGGTAGAGCCCATCTTTTATCCAGGCCATGTAATTCAAAGGGTAATCTTTTAATGCTTCTTTTATCTGCTTTTTCACTGTGTCGGGTGTTGGATCAATGTTTTGATATTGTTTGTGACTTAGTTGTTCCTCCCTGTCCACTTTGCTGGAAATGCTTAAATGGAAGAGTGGTGGCTGAGTGAGGCCCCCTATAGGACTAATGGCCCGTGCATAATGTTGGAGGTTGATGGACGTCCTGTGAGGCCTGTCAGTCATTGTGGTGCCTTGTTGCTGTTCAGCCATGTTGTTGTGCACATGAAACCACCCATGAGGTCTCCCCAGGGCAGGCTGGTGTTTCTGCAGTGATAACCCCATTCCCTGGTTGGATGTTTGATGCTGTTCATCGCCTTGGTGAACCTCCTCTGACAACTGTGTCCTGCTTGCTAGCAAATGGAGGTCAGCAGCCGAGTTCTGGCCTCACACTGGTGCAGTGATGTTTCATGACTCCCTTTTCATGCTTTCCTGTTTAGCGATGGAGCCGATGCCTGGAAGAAAGGCCTTATCTATGCAAAGGGCCAGAACTTGGCTCGCTACCTTATGGAGGGTCCAGCCAACCATATTACACCTACCAGATTTGCTGCTATTATTGAAGAGAACCTCAAAAGTGCCAGCAGCAAAGTGATTGTTCATAGAAGGTGAGCAGTTGCCTCTTATGAAGTGAGAACAACTAAGAGAACCATGGCTGCTTTCAGCTTGTCTGCTGGGAGCTGATGCTGGAGGGAGGACTGTGCTGAGTCAAGTGCTACTTTGTGTAGAAGTCCCCAAGCTAACTGCTCTGGCAGCCCTGAAGAATTTGTGTTTGCTTGTACTGGGTTAGTGTGGGATAGATTTTGTCAATTCAGCTAAAAAAAGGAGGTAGATGTTTAGGAAACCACAGCACTGCATCCTGCTAGCAGTCATCCTATTCTCATTTTAAACTAGAAAGTCCAAAGGAAATGCTGGAGCAGCTGTTCATTTAAAAGCCATAAATATTCTTGATGCCTGGCAACTGCTGCAAATCCTTAAGACATGCTTGCTCTTTGGACTTTACCCACTCAAAATAGAAACTTTGGAATTGGAGTTGAGTCTTCACTGTAGTGGTTCTAGCTGGTCTGCTAGAACCTCAAAAGAAAGCCATTAGACCATGGTTAGTTGCCTGTGTAACTTCTCCATATTGATTGGTGTGTGTTTGTGTGTGTGTGTGTATTTGTATTCTTCTCTTTTTCCAAGAAGATTTAGGGAGTGCACTGTTATCTTGGCAGCAACACGGTGAGCTAGGATTAAGCAGAGAGTAGTGACTGGCTTAGGTCCTGTGCAGAGACAATGGACAACCAGGTCCAGCCAACATTGCTGCAATGAGTAAGGGAGAGAATGCACAAGGAAGAGGTATTATACTGGCTCCCTGAATTCTTGCTTCCTTGCTTCATTCTCTACCAATATGACTTTGCATTCTTTATATGCAGAGCAGGACTATGCTGTTCAGTATCCCAGACCATTAAAAAAGCCATGCTCTGGTTTAACATTTGCTGTAAAAAGGCAGGAAATGTTATTTTAAACCATTGCATGAGTAGAATGATGCAAAGGGTAAAGCTAGGCCTCTTTACTTTGAAAGCACCCTTTAATTCAGGGGGAAGGATACTATTTTTGCAGGTAATTTGGGGGTGTCTGGAATTCATTTTTTTCCCTTCCTCCCATTCATTCTGGAATGAAACTGACTTGTTACAGGGATAAAGCCTGGATAGAAGCACATAATATGGGATCCTTCCTGAGTGTTACCAAAGGCTCTGATGAACCACCCGTCTTCCTGGAGGTTCACTATAATGGTAGCAGTGATGCCAATGAGCTTCCACTGGTGTTTGTTGGGAAAGGAATTACTTTTGACAGGCAAGTATTTTCTTGTGCATATTTTGGAGACAAAAGCTGAATGCCCATTTAGTTGTTACTTGCCCCCCTTTGATGCCTTTTTCCAGAGTCAGTGGGGCTGCAGGGTCACCTGTTCAGTCCCAAGCCTGCGATTACAGAACTCCTGCTCAATACCCCTCCCCACCATCTGTGCATTCATGTGGACATCTGAGGCACAAAAGCCTCTGTGCGGAGGCTTCTCTGGATCCTGGAATGCTGCATCTGCACAGGAAGGCTTCCTTGCCTTAAGTATCCCACGAATATGTGGACAGGCCTGGGAAAAGCCATGCCCATTGGAGGTGGCACTCAAAGCACAGCAGGGCCATGTCTCATTGTCCTTTGCCCTTGTGTAACCTCTGAAGGGCGATTTTATTAGCCAACCTGCTTAATGATCAACCCTCTCAAAGTCTTCGCTTTGTCAGTTAAGTGGTTTAAATGTTACTTTGTCCACAGTCCCACAAGGCACAAAAAGAAAATCAACCTTTGGTATTCATCCGTTTATCTCTTAATAAAGGGTGGAGAGGGATGGGGCGTTGTATCTGTTATCTTTGGGAATCCAGATCTGCCATTCATCTCTGGTTGTGTCTGTGTGTGCCTGTTTCTTTCCAGTGGCGGTATCTCCATTAAGCCATCAGCCAATATGGATGCCATGAGGGCAGACATGGGAGGAGCAGCCACGATCTGCTCTGCTATTGTGACAGCTGCAGAATTAAAGCTACCCCTTAATATTATTGGTAAGTGGAAAAGGAAGGAGGATTGTTTAAACATCGTGGACATGGGTGTATGTTTCAAGAGAGATTTCCATGATCTACACAGTTTGCTCTACAAACTTACAAAGATGGCTTGCTTTGAGTCACAACATTGCTTGCTCTGGCTTGCCAGCTTTCCCAATATTTCAGGCAAAGAGGTCTTTCACAGGCTGTCTAACTCAGGGGTTAGAACTTCGACCCATGGGCAGCCCCAGTCTGGCCCGTGTTGTCTCTGAGGGTTCCTCCACCAGGTAGGACTTAGGGTCCAGGCCCTCTCCATGGAGAAATTCCCTCAGAGGGCATTCCCTTGTTGTTTTCTCCATTTGACATTTCATTTATTAATTTTAGTTATTACAAGTATATCCTGCTGTTTTCTTACAATGAACACAAAGCAGCTTACATCATTCTCCTGCTCTCAGTCGTATCCCCACAACAACAGCCCAGTGAGGTAGGTTGGGCTGAGAGGCTGTGACTGGCCCAAAGTCACCCAGTTGGCCCATGGCTGAGTGAGGACTAGAACCCAGGTTGCCTGAGCTCCAGACCCCTGCTCTTCACTACTGCACCACACCAGCTCTCCTGGGAGAGCTGTGCCAGCAGCAGAGTCCCCACTGTTTCCTTTGTTTGGACAGAGCAGCAGGCATGCAGAGTGGCCTAGGCATTGGGGCTCCCCTGCATCAGGGAGAACTTGCCTTCCCTCCACATGGGGGAGTTCCAGCGCTCTTCATCCCTGCTGCCGTCTTGAGATTAGGATGAAGTGTGGGTCTTATGTATGCTGGGCAAAGCAGCTGTTCTCCCCCCACCTCCCTGGGCAGTTTTGCATGCCCATCATTCCTGCCTGGATTTCTGAATCTTTGCCTCCTTTGTGCACAAAAAAGGCTAGAGCCAGCCCCCGGATATGATGTCATGGGTGGGCCCCATCTCCTGATGTTGTCAGGCCTGTGGTGGACTGTGGGCAATCTATAGCTACCTCCTAACAATTCTCCACCCCTGCTTCGACTAGAGCAGCCATGCTTTGAGCCCAGGGTTTCGGTCCTTCCCCACACATTCCTTAGGATCAGCCTGCCTCATTTCTTGCTTGCTTGGCTCTCCAGCATCTCTGCACCCCCCCCCACACCCCCCATAAGGCTCAATGTTAAGAAGCCTGCACATCTGAGAGAGCTCTCAGCTGAGACATTAAAATAGCTCATAATTCACCTGTTCATGAGGCATCATGTAGAAAAAATTACTGTAATGCTGTCCTGTCCGCCAGCGTGCTAAGGAGCTATTGCCTCGTTATGTTGTGCTTTGAACCAGATGAGAGCCTCCCAGCTTAATCTTGTCTCGCTACTCTGGCAAATACCAGCAAGGCCTTGTGGTCAGTGGCAACCAGTCACTTCCTTCTTGCCCAAAGCTTGGTCAAGGAGAAGTCTGGAATCAGGGGGGATGTGGGTGAAACTGCAGGGATGATGGACAAAACGCTTTATCTACCTGGATGGCTCATCTGATATGCTGCCTAGCTGAGAGATGTAGAGATGAACTGGGTCTTGGTTTCAAGTCATCAGATCCTGAAATGTAAACAGAACATCAGTAGTACAGAAATTTTAATCAAATCAAACAACATCAAGAAATAAAACCTGAAAAAAATGGTAGTAATGGTCTTGAAAGCACCAAATAATGCTAAGTGTAATCTCCATTTGCAGTAAGAGCTGTTTTCTTTCAATCCCAGGTTTGACACCCCTTTGTGAAAACTTGCCCAGTGGGAAGGCAAGCAAACCTGGAGATGTTGTGAAGGCCATGAATGGAAAGACTATTCAGGTATGTGTAAGATGCTGAGTCAGCACAGTTTGAATACAGCAAGTGATGCTAGGTTGCCAGATTTTCTACTGCTATCAGAGAAAATAGTTCAGGATTGGGAATTGGTTGACTTGCCTGCAAGAATCATTTTGAAAGGCCTACAGACCAGCTTTGCAAATCATTTCTATACAGAAGTGATAGTTTTAAGAGTGGTATAGCAGCAAAGAAATGTGAGTCAAGAAGTCCCAGGTTAAATGTCACGTCAACCATAAAGTGAGGCTCGGTCCACACATGCAACATAATGAGATGACTGCTTCAGGATGGGTAAGGTTTTGGATGCTGTCAAAGTATTTTTTTAAAAAAGCACTTGTTGCAAATAGAAACCAGCCTGCACTAGAGCTTTTATTTCCAATGCATGACATGTTGCTTCCTGCACATCCAGTATGAGATGACCCTCTTCTTACTATGTTATCTCATTCTGCTGCAGGCAGGCTGCCATTCTCTCAGAGAGAATGCGGGAAATCTAAAATGCAATGAAAAGAGCTGTTAGTTGTTAACACAGTTCTCCCTCAAGTGCACTGAACACATGCTTGCCATTTAAATAATCAATAGTAATCCTAGTTTTGGTAGCCTCCTATTTGGGCTACCACAGTGTGTTAACTGGCAGGGCAGGTGGAAGGAGTTCCAAAACATTCTGGGAACTTCAGATAGTCCAAAATTTGCAGTGATATTATCATCTCAGGCTGGGCAATATTTTCTATTGGTATGGGCTAACAGCCCATTTCCAGACACAATGTAAACCTTCATATACCTACCTATAATGTCACCTTTAGAGGTCCTTCTCTGGGTGCTACCAGATTGGGTGTGCCTGATGGCCACTGGAGGGCCTTCTGGGTGGTGGCAGGTCAGGAAAGCAATGACCTCCCCAGTTGGCTTACTCGGCACTCACCGTGTGCCCTTTTCAGCACTACCTGAACATATTACATTCCCAAGTTTTTAAATCTTGGGATCTTTTCCTTCTAGTGGCTTGACAGATCTGGCTTTATTTATTTTAGTTTTATGTTGTGACTGTTCTTACTCTGAGATTTACCTGTTAAATTTAAATGGATTTAAGTTTGTATTTGCTGCCTTAAAGAGTGTTCGTTATTGGTCAGAATAAAAATATTGTTAACAATACTGAAAATTAGGCTCTAATTCTGTCTGGTTTTTTTTTTTCCTTTTCGGTCCCTCATCATAAAAGGTGGATAACACTGATGCAGAGGGAAGGTTGGTGCTGGCTGATGCACTTTGTTATGCACACACTTTTAATCCAAGGGCCATTCTAGATGCTGCAACACTGACAGGTAACGAATCTTAACTTGTCGGAACTTTCTGTCCTCCCTGTTTGCAGAGCTTAGTTACCCATGGGATGTCTCGGTGTCTACTGCAAGCAGGGTGTTGTGCCCACTTCCCAGGACACGCTGCACCACCACTCAAGTGCTCAGAAAAGACTGCAGCCATGCCAGTGCAGTGCCACTGTCAGTCAGGATTTTTTCAGACTGCCTCCCCAGCAATGTCATCGTGCTGACTTCACAGAGAGTTCTGCAAATGCTGAGGAGAACATGCTGCTTTTTAATTGTATAGCAGGACTGGGTACCTGCAGCAGAGATGTTCCTTTGAGCCTTTTTTAGTGGAGGCCACAGCAACCACAGAGGCCCAGAAGGTCAAACTCAGCTTCTTTGAGGGGGGCATTGGAGGTGCCTTTCCCCAGCATCAAGGGGATTACGTACAAAACGTGATAAAATCATTTGGGCACCATCCTATGCGAGTTTAGACAAAATCGCACCTTTAAGCAGTTAAAGGTACAATGTTATGCGAGTTTAGATAGGAAAAGGGGAATCCTGCTCCCAGCATGACCAAGCCAGCTCTGCAATCTAGGGCACACTGCAAGTTAAAGGACTTGCATTATTGTCTACACTTGCACAGGATGGTGCCTTAAAATAATTAAAGGCACCCATGCAGCCCAGAGGCAGCAGAGCTTGCTTACAGTAACCTCATCAAAATTCCCCTCAGCTGCCAGTGGTCACTTGCATAGATGTGCCAGGTGGGCAGGACAGGCTCCCGTAGCAGGATTCCCCTAAGAATCCCAGCAGTTGCATTCTGGGCCAGTGGAGTATCTAAAGACTTTTCGGAGGCGAGCCTTCCACCATACAAAGAGCGTGGGGGTTCTTCATGTAGAAGGTGCGGATCCAGTATTTCTTGTACTCCTTAGCCACCACACAACCACATGATGGGGATAAGAGTTTTGTTCCTTTCATGGGCACATCAAGCAACCCAAGTTCCTGCACATGTAATTCACATCAGAAGCAGGAGCATGTCAGTTGCTTGATGTGCCCATGATGTGCCCATGTTTGAGTTGCTGGGTGTAGCCAGGCAAAGGGCGAGCCTGTTTGATGCCAGAGGCAAACTGCACATATAGAACGCAAAGTGAGCCAATCCATTTCTTGTTCTGCCCTTTGCTGATCCCCACCCCAGCATGTAGAAGGGGTGCATTGCAGCTAGAGGAACAAAATATCTGGCCCAATCATGTATGGAAATGCATGTCATTATTTTCTTTGAGAAAGCTACATAGAAATGTGAGTAGAAAATGACCACAAAAGAATGGCATGCTGTGTTAATAACCTGAGTTATATAATACTGTGCAGGTGCCATGGATATCGCCCTGGGATCTGCAGCTACTGGGGTTTTCACCAATTCAAACCTGCTTTGGGATCAACTGTACAAGGTAAGTTAGAGCACTGATAACTGAAGGTATTTGGAGACTTAGAGAAATGCTTTATAGGTAAGCTCTGTGTCTATCACGTCCCAAGCTCTGTGTCCACTTGCTCATGGCAGCCACATTTCAAGTATTGAATCCTGAACTGTGCACCCTCTGCTTTAGGGTAGAATGTGATGATCTCAAGTGAAACCTCATGGTTTATACAAATGTTTATACAAAGCTTCTCAGAAGGCATGGCTGCTGTGTGATACAGAAGTGTTGCCAGTCTCTGTCTTGAATCAGTGGCCTGACTGTTCAGAGACTGTGTGTGGACTGTGAATACTATCAATGAGTGGAATGATGGCAAGCAGCACTGCTTCATGCGCAGATGAAGTGTGTGGAGGGATTGCAAGTGGCAGGCTGCTTCACAAATGGCCAGAAGCTAAAGATGTGGCAACTTTCCTGCTTGAAAGGAAGGATTGAGCTGGAATAGGAAGCAAGGGAGAAAGCAGCACTGCAGAAGAGGGGCAGGTGGTGGAAATCTTGGTACCTTGGGAATCTCCGTAAGTCAGTGATGGGTATGAGGCATAGCCTTGGAATACTGTCTGTATCAGATCACAGACTGATGAATACTTAAAAGAGCCTTATGTCTCAGACTATATGGTCTCAGTTTGTTGTATATGAGAGGAGTGCAGCGTATAGACACTTAAGCTTTTTCTGCTACTAACTTCCTTTGCCCATGGTGCATTTAAATTTGTAGGCCAGTATTCAGACAGGGGATCGTGTTTGGAGGATGCCCCTCTTTGAACATTACACCAGACAAGTTACAGACTCTCAGCTTGCAGACCTCAACAACATTGGTAAATACAGGTATGTTGCTGAATTGAAATGTTGCTGTTAATGCACATAAATCACTCCTTCCAGTGCATGGAGACTACTTGAGGAAACAGTTGAAAAGAACACATGCTTAAGGAGAAGAATTCCTTACACATCTGCTATTCCTTTTCAGCCTGGGGAAGTAGAGGTAGTGCCCGGACTACAGATCAGAATTACAAGGCCACTGATGTTGCATTGTCAAATACATTGGTAGTTGCCTAGAGATATTCATGGATTTTCTCTAGAGATACTCATCAAGGGTTTATGATAGTCTGTGCATTCATAAGTATGGGTTGTTTGTAACCCAGGAACTACCTTTAGGTGTAGAAAGGAGTAGATTCTTCAGTTGAGACTTGGTTCATGGTGAGAGCAAGTCAGTGGGCAGAGACGTGCAACTGGCTTACCAGATCTGGTTATTTCAAGAAATAGTCTTACTTAACAGGACAGAAATGACTGTTCAGTTTAGTTAAGACAATACACTAAACCATAGTTGAAAGGATAATTGAATATGATGGTTTGTAGTCAGCCAGAATTAGAAATCATGGTGCTTATGTATTATGGTTTGCATTAACTATGTTTGTGGCATGAAGTCTGAAGTGACAAATAATAGTTAATAGCTATCACTTTGCTTCCAGGCACTAATACCTGCTCCATAACGATGGGAGGGAGTTTATGAGGGGACAGAAACTGAAACAGATTGGCACCTCTGAAGCACAGTTTTCCTGTGGTACACACACCCCAAAGCTCAAATTCTAAATTTTTATTAGAGACAACCATAGTTTGGCGTAGCATCTTTATTGAGCTCCCATAGTATACTTTTCACTACGTAAGTTTTTACTCCTAAGTAAACAGTTATATATAATACATTAATAATTTTATTTTTCCTTCCCATCAGGTCTGGTGGCGCATGCACGGCCGCAGCATTCCTGCGAGAATTTGTGACTGTTCCTCACTGGGCTCATTTAGATATTGCTGGTGTGATGGCAAATAAAGATGAGGTTCCATACCTTCGTAAAGGCATGGCAGGACGGCCCACACGAACTCTGGTAGAGTTCGTTACTCAACTGAGCCAAGACAAGCAAAGTATCTAGAAAGAAGTTCTGCAATTGTGTAACTTTTAGCCTTAAAAAAAAATCGGTTTGCTATGATTTCAAAGCTGCAGGAGTAATGAACTGGTGACCAGTGAGCATACTAATAAAATTTTTAAAAATCCACAACATGGAATTCTCTGCATATTTAAAAATAGTATAGTTACTAGTATTAAAAATAATAGTATATAACTGAATGGACTTATTCAGTTTGCAAAAGGTGCTTACAGAACAAAGATCTATTCTCTATTTTTATATTCTGACAAAAAATACATCCCAGAACTTGAATTATATATTTAATACTGAAGGAACAATTATTTTCAGATATCAGACTTTGTAATAGAAGATACAAAATAATAGACAATAAATATTATCTTGAAAACTTAAAGTCACTGATTGTTTAGCACATTCTTGTTTTTAATGAGCACAGTGTTTAAGAAAGCTTGTTTCCTATACATATTTGGACAAACATTAAACCTGAACTGAAGCTTGAACTGAAGCATGTTGTCATCTCTCTCAAATCAGGATTCATATAAGACACTCCCTTGGTACTGGACTGTGCGTAGGTAGCACAAGACATCTCTAAAGAAACTTCTAAAAGTACTGAGAAAGCAGAACACCAGACCCACTTTGTGTGCAGAAGACCCCCATCAGTCTCTGGCACTTCCAGTGCTAGGGTCAGATCTGCTAAATATTTCTGCCCCAGGTCTGAGAGTCAGTGCTAGTCAGAGCAGATAATAATTGGGCTAGATAAGACAGTGTTCTGATCCTGAATAAGGCAGGTTCCTATGTGGTAATTTCTACTTTGGTTGTGCAAAGATTTCCCTTTGGCCCTTTGAGGGAAGTTGGAGGTATGGTGTTCTCTTTGGAATGTTGTCTGAAGCACATGCTTTATCTTGCTTGATATGGCCCTGCTGCAGTCCAAGATGAATTACATACAGGGCTTCAGTGTTGCCCTCAAGCTGACTGGTGTTCCTTTCCAGATCTGTTTCTATCCTCTTCTGCCATGCCAACCATAGTAACTGATATTGGCAGTCTAGTTCACATAAGATGAAATTTAACCTGTGCTAAGTAGTATGTACTGTGGCCAAAAATTCCAGAATGGTATGGGATGTCAGCTGCCTGCAACCATCCAGGAGAGATACTGGCATTGTGGCTTGCTGCAAAATGTTAACTTAGCTGCAGAAGGACTTGACAAAAGCAAAGTTAATACAGGAAACATAGAAGATAAAACTAAAAGTGTAATGAGGTCTTTACATAAATCTAGTATAGTTGTTAGGAATACTGTGCAGTAACATTAAGATTACTGCCCTGGATTCCAGTAACAGGCAGGGGGGCGGTTCCCACTGAACCTGCCAACATCTTTCTCACATCCTTTCCCATGTCAAAAGGTCTTTAATCAGCAGTGGATCAGCAATGTAACCTTTTCCTTGCTCCGCAGCTTTTCCCAGCTCTCAGAGCTGAGCAGAAAAATTGTCCAATAAGCCTTAGCTGGGAGAACTGCATATGAAAAGTGGCTTCAAACAGCAGGCACCATCTTTTGATTGAAACCTTTGTATATCATAATGGGTCTGTGAAGCCTTTGCAACAGTACAGGTGAAAGCTCCTTTTGTGAGTAATTTCTCATATAAAGTTTGAACTAGAAAAAGGGAATTCCATGCCTAAAGAAATGCTATGAAGCATCACACTAAGTTTAAAATTATTGGGAAAAGAAATGGAAAATTCTTCAAAACTGAATTTGCTCAGACACAAGAAAATACAGCTTCAGAGGTGGGGGCAGACTGGAGCTGGTGCAGCACAGTGATGACTCATTAGAAGAGAGGATGGGAACAGCTAAAAGCTGCAGGGCTGACACAGGAATCCTAGGCCTACTCTTAACTTCCAACTCACCAATAGGTGTGAACCTATTGCAGACAAAGTATTTGCTGAACACATGGACACAACGAGAAAGCAGCATTACTGGCCATGTATCATACTAAACAGTTACTACTAAACAGTTACATAGCACGCTGAAGTACTTAGAAATGTGCTGTAGAAATACTTGGCAGCAATCCTACGCCTGCGTCGACAGAAAAAAAAAATCCTTCAATGCCCAGCATGCCCCAGCAACCCGAGACCCCGCCTTTCCAATCCCGTTAGTCCCGCCTCGTCTTCCCGTTAATCTCGCGATACCTTTACCTTTCTGGCCTCGGGTGTCCGTCCGTCCCTCCACGACGGCCTTTCATCAGCTCCCGCGCGCGCCTGCGCAATAAGCATCGGCGGCCTTCGCTCAGTTGCCATGGCGGCTGGCTTAAGCGGGATGTTTGGGAATCAGGGCCCGGTCCCTCCGCCGCCACCGCCGCCTCCTCCTCCTCTGCCAGTCGCCCCCGGTGGCCCGGGCCCGGCAGGGCTTCCTCCGAACCCGGGGGGTCCGCGAAATCCCAACAGCACTCTCGTGGATGAACTGGAGGCTTCTTTTGAGGTAGGCCGCGGTAGGTGGAGGAAGAGACCGTGATGAGGATGAAACGGGAAATGAACCTGGGGGAGGCGGCCATGCTTAGTGGGGATTGTTGCATTTCTCCCGCGGATGGGAAGCTGTTTGAACGAGAAGCTTACATGCCCATAGGGGGTACCATAAACTGCGGCTTGTATTTGCTGCGCTCATATGAATACCTCCATATGCGTGGTAAGCAATAAAAGCATTTTGTCCGTTTTGTTGTGGATTTTGCGTCTGGAAATGCGAGTTACCTATAGAAATCGATGGGAAAATGCAGGTGCTGGAGGGTGAGAGGGCAAACCTGCTAAACATAAGAAAAACATCAAAGCCTAATTTAGTGAAATATTTTTATTAAGCCGATTCAAAGTTCATACACACACACCCAGCAACAGTAGCAGATTTTTAAGGGTCTGCCTCACAAAAATCGCAAAAGCTTCCCTAACCAGGCGCCCTCCAGGTCTTCTCACTCCAGCTAGCCTAGCAGCCAGGTTGTGGAAGGCAGCTCCAGCTCTGGAGATCTTTGTGGCGAAGAGCCTGTGCATTTTGCATTATGAAGTGTCAAATCAGTCTTACATCAGAAATGCCAATACAGATTGTGATTATGTGTTTCAGTAGATTTATCTTTACATGGGAGCTGCACACAAACTTTATGCAAAGTGTATGAGCTGCCAATGTATTCACCAAACTTCTAGGATATTCTTAACTCCAGCCTTGCAATGGAGTAAGGAAAGCTAACAATAAAGAAAATAGCAGCTCATTATTGACAAGTCGTTTTCAGCAAAACTCAAGTGCCTCAAAGCAGAGTTGAGATTCCAAGTGGCTTTGTTAATTGCACATTAACAAAATGTTTACTCATCTTCTGCTGCTGCTTTGTTTAATTTGAAAAGGGCATCCTGTGTGTTTCCATCAGAGGTGTGTGCACTTATTTGGAATTTGCATTTCTCACTTATGGCACGGTTTGGCACTGTGTACATTTTGATTGCTTATGGTTATTTCATTTTGCATGTTCTAATATGTGCTGGGTGTTATTGGACAAAGAACTATTTAACTTCTTAACACTTTTCTTGATTTTGGAGGTAAGACTCCATTAGGATGTTTTCCTAGAAAGCAAAAATGCATTTGACTGTTGAATACTGTAATGTGGTCAATGGAACCAAAAACAAGCTGTAAATTCATAACGGTATGTAGCTTGAATGTTTTTTTTCTATTAATAGTAATGTCTAGTATATCTAATTACCCAGGCTTGCTTTGCTTCCCTTGTGAGTCAAGATTATGTGAATGGTACAGACCAGGAAGAAATCAGAACAGGTAAACCTTGAATGTAACCTGCATTTTTATCTGCTTTATGTTGCAGTGGTTACTGCTTTTATCTCTTGCTGCTTCTCATGTTTACAGTGATGGCCTGTAAAATTGTTTTCCAATTGTAAGATGCTTTGGGAGTTTGTTGGGCTAATAAAGCAGGATATTGAATACTAAAAAATGAATTTGTATCTAAGACTTCAATTTTCTTAACCTTACTAATTTTATTGACACTTGAGGTACAATTATCTCCTCCTAATAAAAATTGGAGGTACATCTCACTTTCTTATAAGAAGTCAAACACATGCTCACACTTGTTCATCTTCCAACACAAGACAGCAGTCATCTTCTTTGCAACTGCAGATAACCTGCATGAGATCTCACTCTCCCCTTTGCCCATTTAGGGATAAGACAGTTTTCTGGGTAGTAGGGATGCTTCTGAGATTCCCTAGGGAATTGTGGTATGTTCTTAGCCCCACTCTTGGGATGATGCTACAGTCCATATATTGGTAGTCTGAGGAACATAAGGTGGACAACATAGGAGCATAGGGTGGAGGATACATCCAAAGTTGTAGTTTAATTCTTCAGGACACATTCCAGGCTCCCATGTTGCACAGTTAGAGAATCATAAGGCTAAACTGTGCCCTTAATCTTTGTCATTTAAAGTTCTATGCAGATAGAACTTTCTATATACAAAGTGAAATTATATTATTGCAGTTCTGTTTTTTAAAAAAGATTTGGTTCAGACATTTGTGTTTTAATTACTTTTTCAAGAATAATTAAGGTAGTAAAATTTGACAACTGTTCTGCTGTTAAAGTAGAACTGGGGCATGCCCCATATACACTGCATATTGTGCAGTGTATGCAGGGTTGATATCTCTAGGTATTCATTATCAGTTAGGAACTAAGGCAGCCCCTGAAGAGAGTGGAAATGCTAGTTCCCAGAACAGGGCAGGTCAACAGAACTCTTATCTGTGAGCAAGGCTGACCTGCTCCATTCTAGGACCAACACAAAATACTGTTCTCGGTCTATAAAAATATAAATAAAACATTTAAATAAATTGTCCTCATAGGTGCTGCAGTGGCTGTATAATAATATAAACCTTTTGCTGCTTACAAGGGGAAATTGGTGAATGGTACAGCAGAGGTAGGATTTACTTACCCCCAGGGTGGCATTGGATAGGGTGAATTCTGCTGGATTTTGTTAGTAGGCATTCTCCCTGCCCATTACTCACCTTCAGATGCCCCAGTGCCACTCCTGTGTCACCATGCTTGTCTGCAATTAAGGATGGCAAGAGTTTTTTTCACAAGTGTTTGCAAAAATTAGGAGTACAAAAATTGTCGGCAAACGTGGGCAGTTCCTCTAAGGTACTACTGGGATACCCTGGGGAGGACTGCTTGTAACTGTCCAAAGGGAGGTAATGAAAGCCCAGCCTGACAGATGGTTATCAGATCTGAAAGAAAGTTGTTCTTAAATTGTCAGAAAAGCCGCAGTGGAAAAAGTCTAATTTCTTCTGCAGAGTTCCGTGCAATATCTATGGTGGGACTGAGGGTGAAGGGCACCCTACTCACAGTGTACCCAACCGTACCACCTACCACACTGGTGGTAGTTGTGCCTTAGCAGCTACACAGAGTAGTTTGCTATTCAGTGTAACTTACCATATCATGCAAGCCCACCCAGTGTACAATACTTCCCTCAGTGGTGGTGGTGCTTTTTTGGCTTGGATTCCAAACTGGTCCTTGATGGATTTGTTTGTAAATTTACTTTGTCTTGCTGCTTGAGATAGCTTTAAATCCTTGTTGTTCTGCCTGTGTAGGTGTTGACCAATGTATCCAGAAATTTCTAGATGTTGCACGGCAGACAGAGTGCTTTTTCCTACAGAAAAGGTTACAGCTATCTGTTCAGAAACCAGAGCAAGTTATTAAAGAGGTAGGTGCTATAACTTTGCTTAGTCTTAAGCACGACAAACACATATATAATAGACTCAAGGAACATTGTTTCTGAAATCCCATCCATAGCATTAAAAATATTTTATGCTGTATAGATTTCTACTCAAAAGTAAGTCTCATTGAATTCAATTTAATTTATTCTCAAGTAAGTGTGGGTAGGATTCCAGCCTAAGGGAGCAATCTTGTGGGCTGTAGATCTCAGGAGCCATAGGACAGCTTGGATTCCTAGCTCCAAGATGGGGATTGGGCTCCAACCCCAGAAGGGCAATTGGAGATCCTCCCCCAACCCCCAGCTAGCAAATTAAGAACCATGCCAGCTGCCCACCAAGACTGGGAAAGCACTCTTGGAGAAGGACAAAGGGAGACATTTTATTGGGAGACAAGAAGAGGCCAGGAAATGAGCTGTCTTGTGCTTCTGCCAGCCTCCTGCCCTCCCCTTTGAAAGACTTTCACTACATAGGCAAAAAAGCCCATCTGGCAAAAAATGCTGGACAGGAGAAGATAGTCTCTGGTGCTCCTTCCATGCAGCATAGGACAGGGGCTTCTTAATGTCTTAATAAGACTAGAGCAATTTGTTTTAATCTACTCTTAATACGTAGGCACTACTTTAAAGTTGCTGGGCAGCCACACCCATAGATCTAATTCATCATAGTTTGTGATGGAAAACTAAGGAAAAGTTTAATATTTTATTTGTACAACACTTCAGAGTTAATGTAAAATAGTTGCTAAGAAAATAGATTGAGAATGAGAACATCCTTGGTTCAGATTTTCTTTCCAGTAAACTCATTATACTAGCTTGTCTTATACAATTATAACTGAGATACCTGAGTTAAAGTGCCCTGAATACTCCAAAGGTATTATATAAATACAAGATCTATTATGTCCGTTTGAGAGATTCTCTGTTGTTTATTTCTGTTTGCATGCTTCTCCTGTAGGATGTTTCGGAACTGAGAAATGAATTGCAGAGGAAAGATGCACTAATTCAGAAGCACTTAGGTAAACTGCGACATTGGCAACAGGTTCTGGAAGACATCAATATACAACACAAAAAGCCTACAGAAATACCTCAAGGACCTTTAGCCTATCTAGAGCAGGCTTCAGCTAATATCCCTGCACCTCTTAAGCAAACGTGAACAAAAAACACTATTCAAATAGTAACTTTTGTTAGCTCAAACAGTGTGGAACTGTAGATTTGTACAGTTTGTATGGTACAACTTTATATGGACTTTTTGAAGCTGATGGCAAGAAGCATAAAATAAATTAGGAGGATATTATTCATCCTCATAGGGTTCATAGTGGGGATTTTGGGTTTTTTGTATTTTTATTCCCTATCTGGGCAAACAGCAATTGCATGCAGTGCAGATTACAAAGACATTTATTTATTTGTTAAAATACCTTCTGCTGAAGGAGCATCCCGTGTGTATCTGTTCCATGGACTTCCCTGGTGCTGTACTGAATAAACAGAATCAAAAAGGAAAACAGCAACCCTCACTGGTTGTGCTTGAGGGATGGGGACTGACCTACATAACAGAGTTTTGGCTGATCCAAAGGGCTATTTTATGCATGCACTTTAGGGCTTGTGTGCTCAGTTCGTGATCTTTGAGACATGGATGTCTCTTCTTCCTGGTAAATTACTTTTAAAACTGTTTGCATTTTATACAACTGTTTGTGATCAGGCAGGGAAGGAAAGGGGGGTCTGCAGTGCTAAGAGAATAGAGCTTTTGAACGTGTCTATAATGTAGTGCTTTGGATTTCTGCCAGCGTTGTGTTCCATAGTTAGTCTGAGTGATTTTCTTACTTTTCCTACTAAAAGACATTCAACAAAGAATACATAGAACCTTTTATTTCTATTTTCCTTCTGCCTAAGGGGAAGATCAGAGTAGCCAGCATCTTCCTAACAACCTCAGTCTCTTTCTTTTAGATCACGGTGCCTGACATCTCAGCTTCCTACGTATTTTTTATTGTGACATATTGTTTCTTTTGTCCCTGGAAGCATGCTACTCTCTTCACAATAGCTTTGTTGTTTGAAATTCTTGGTTTGAACAGAATTGTTGTTTGAACAGAAAATACCCATGAGAAATATGTGCCTAACCTGAATTGCTGTAATTTGTTGTAACTGTCTGCAAATCAAATACTTCTTTGAATACTTTGAATCAAAAAGTAGATAAAACATACAGGAACAAATCAATGCTTACCTACCTTTATTTAAATAGAATAATTAAGATAACCTATTTTTATTTTGAACATATGATAGCAAATTTATTTATTTATTTAGTAAACTTCTATGCCGCCCCATTCGCCGAAGCCTCCATATATACCAATTCATGAACTGCCCAGAGCACTTTAGCTATTGGGTGGTATAAAAATATGCTGGACTTCAGCTTTCTGTCTAGGAGTCTTTTTTAAAAAATGCGTATGTTCTAGTTACTTAGATTAAATAATATGATACAAACATTGCAGGGACATTATTCTTTAACTCTCCCAAAATTGTTTTTAAAGCTTTCACTGCCGTGCAAAGACACACCTATAAGAATTAATGAGAAATATTATACTTGGAGTTCTCAAGCAGCAGTTCCTGTCATGGTGTTTGACAAATTAATTTTGAAACTAAGGATGCAGTCTTATTGATTGCACCCGTGATGCTCACAAGCTTCCAGAGTGAACATCAAGGGTGCACTCAAGGACTTGTGAACATCCAGCACAGAGCCGGAGGAGTGGTGGAGGCAATTTTCACCTCCTTGTACCTGCTGCTGTGGTATTCTAATGTAAGGGCATTTTCAGCCATCCCCTCACCACTTCCCAAGAAATGCCCCTTGACTCCCTTACCCCTTTTCCAAGGTCAATTTTCTTATTGCAGAGAGGCTGTCAGCACAGTTCTTTCTATGCTGGAAATGTGGATCCACAGTGTGATGGTGAGAGCTCTGTCCCTAACTTCAGATCTAGGAAGCTGAAGTATCTTGTGGTTCCCTAGATGCTGTCTAGAGGACCACTTAAGTGTTTTTGAGCAAAAATATAAAATGAGGTTAAGTTAGCCTGTAAGGTCAGAAGTAGATTTTTTTTTTTTACAAATTATATTTGCATCCCACCAGCTATCTCCATGGAACCTAAGGTGGTTTATTATTTTTACATTGCAATTATATCCCAGCTTTCTTCCACAAGGAATCCAAGGTGGTTTACAAGGTTCACCACCTCTTCATTTATTCTCCTGCTCTCAGTCTTATCCTCACAACAGCAATCCTGTGAGATAGGCTAGGCTGAGAGTCAGTGACTGACCCAGAGTCACTCAGTGAGCTCCATGGCTGAGTGGAGACTAGAACCTGGATTGCCTGAATCCCAGCCCAGCATTCCTAACGAGTGCAGCACACTGGCTTCCTGGTTTACATGGTTGTGTTCCACTATATCCTCATAACATCTGTGAGCAGCTTAGGCTGAAAGTCAATAACTTCATGGCTTGAGTGGGGACTAGAACCTGAATCTCTGAAGTTCTAGCCCAACACTAATCACTACTGCTGGTTCCCAAGCCTCTTGTGAACTCAACATACTATTATTTAATCATTTATTAAGGATGCAATCAGGATACCCAGAACCAAAAGGATTAAAGGAATCCCTATGCAGGGCGAAGTTGCTATGCAGGGTGGGAGGACCATGATCCTCCTGCCTGCCAAAGAGCTAGATAGCCATTTTTGGCTGTCTAACTGGCACTTCAGAACACGTGAGAAGGAAGCACTGCCAGGGTACCTTGTATTGTGGTGCTAGTCTCCTCCCCTCTCTGCTAACCCCCATCTTTGAGGTTGCATTTGCAGCCTTGAAGAAACAACTGGCATAGTTTTTTCTATACTGGTTATGGTGGTGCAGGGAGTTCAGCTCAGAGTCCAGAGCTGATGTCACAGTGAACTTCTAGGGTCAGAGCTGAGACTCCAAACAATCCTATGCTGCTCTAGGCACTGCCTAGCAGTCAGGATTGTACTGCCTGCATTTTAGGATGAGTTTATTTACCCAGTTGGCAGTAGGCTGAGGATTTTTAAAAACAAGTTAGTTACTACTAATTGCCAATAATTGGTATTTACTGATATGACTATATCCCAAAAGATCCTCTAGAAGTATGAGGCAGGATCAGGTTCAGCTTTCCCTTCTCTTTGTGACATTGGTGGGAGACATTGCAGCTGTGGAACTTTTCAAATCTCCCAAAAGGACAAAAGACTTCTTGGACAGTGAGTTCTCTGTTAGTGTGTCATATAGTAAGCCTATTATTTTTTTAAAAAAGCCCAGACTTAGGTACAGTTACTGCAAGGGTATGAATAATCATATGCATTCAGGATAAATACAAATAAACACAACTTTACCTTTCAGTGCTGACTGAACTATATTAGAGCAAAGTAAAAATCATACGTGAAAGAGCCTGGATGCAACTGGGTTTACCGGGCATCACACCGTGCATCACACCCATACCCTAAAGCCCCAGTACAAGCGTAGAACTAAACAATGAAGCAACACAGGGGTGCTCGCTTGAACTGAGGGGAAAGCTTGCGTTTTCCATTCAATTTCAGTATTAGCTGTGCTACACTGATGAGCACTTTACACCATCCACAATTCAAAGTGCTCAGAACAACATGGTAATAAAGACAATGCTTTTGCTATCATGTTCCTTCCTGGAAATCGGAGTTAACTTGAATTGATGGGACAGACAGACATTCCATTCAAACACGGTCTTCATGGGTCTACTCCGCGTAAGACCTCTGCAGCTCCCCCAGTTCAGGACACTCATATTAATGCAGAGGAAAACACGTCTCTTTTAGTGGGTTTGATTTGGGTTTCATTCCTATCAGTGGGGCCTGCCAGTTCAGCGCTTCACTTGGCATAGAACACAATCCATCGACATCTTCCTTACTACAGCAACTGATTTCTGAACTACCCCACTACTGATAGTCCAAATACTGTACAGTGCACAATTTTAAAAGCAGTTATGTACATAAAGCAAAAATAGGTTGTGCCAAACAGAAGCAAAATAAGCATTTAAAAAGGCTCCCAAAAAGAAGAACATACAGCAGTGGGAAAATGGCTAGCTGTCCAGCAGATGTTTCGCACATGAGCCTGTCCACATACTGGCATTAATAGGTGTGATAATATAATAACAAATCCAACTCACTGGTGGTCCCTAGAATTTGTGTCATACTGTTTCACATCGTTTCAGCACAAGGTGACCCCCCCACACACACACTTTTAAATTTATTTCCAAGACCTTTTTGATTGCTTTTTGTCCTGATTTTTTTTGTATCTTACACTGCTTAACTGGGTTTCACCAGGGGTGGGGTGGGGGTATTGTTAATATGATTTTCTATTGTAAATACCTCTGGGAACCTTACAGACCCAAGTGAATAAAAGAATATTTTTCTAATAGAAATGAAATAACCCTTGGAATATATTTTAAGACATTAAAATAGGTAATCCATAGCAACACATGTTTTCAAAATGTGAATAATATTTATTTATCAATACATCCAATTATAATTTAATAAATATATTAATTTCTCCCTAGTATTGAACCTCACGTTAAATATTCCATGTGGCGGGGGCCAATGCTTTCTTTGTGTTCCCTAAAACACTAGGTAAAGGGCACTAGGTAAATAGTTAATAATAATGCTGATGTTGGACATGATGGAAATGGTTTACTTCAGAATGAGAAATATTTGGTAAACCACTCTTGATGTTGAGGGCCCGACTTTGGCGTGTCTTTGGGTTTGGATGTTTCATTGCTTTGAAGCCTGAAAAGGAAAAAGGAGGCGATAAGTCAAAAATAGAAGTAACTGGCACTTAAGACTGTATCCAAAGTTTCTCTTGAAGAAACATGTTACCCATTATGTAGAAATAACATGAGATATTTGCATATAAGGCCTGATACATGTTTACAGCAATGTCCTCATTAGCTGAATCAGTCAGCTGAGAACTGAAAGAACTAGTTGAGGCTTAAAATTGGGGATAAAAGAACCATATGTGATAAGTGGAGACTTCTTAGTTCTCTAAACACACCATACTTTGTCTCAATTATATGCTATCAGGCTCAGTTCACCTATTTTACCAGACTAGTTTGCTTTAATCCTGGTTTAGAATCCAAATCATGGCTACGAGCTTTATTTGCTTCCATTTTCCCCATCTACTCAGCAGTTAGAGTCATTGGTTCACTTTAGCCTCCTTTATCTACCAAATGCAGTGCAGAATGGAAGCACCCTCTGACTTTGCCATGGGCCAAAGGACTAATACTCACAAAGAGGATGCGTCTCCTGCCACCCAGGAAGTACACCATGGCAAGGGGAAGACAAGCCTGGCCCCAACCATCAGCCAGAGCAGGAGCTGCTGCACAAAGCTTGCTTTCCTTCCCCCTGCCAGAACGAACAGCGTTCTACCTGCCAACTAAAGAACTGAAGAAAAGCAGATTTTGACCGGGGATTAAGGGCTGCTAAATCATAATTAAGTTGTCTGTTTGGCAGTATTGCAATCTGTTGCATTGTCTTCAGGATCATTTGATTTATAGGCGAGATGCAGCTCTTCAAAACAAATGTATAAATATTAGCCAGGCTATGATTGGTTGATTCAGCCACAATTTGAACTCAGAGGCTTAGCATGCATTCTATGCCGGCAATTATCACTGCTGCTGCTGTCCCTTGCACTGGGTATTTCACCTAGATGGCTGTTTTCAGGCATCTAGACAAAGTGCTGAGGAAAGGGACAGGAGGAGGCTGGGGTCTGATAAAAGTCCTCAGCTCCAGCCTCCTCCCTTCCCCACAACATTTTATTTTTTTATTTATTTTTTAATTTATATTCTGTCTTTTTCCTACAAAGGGTTCAAGGCAGCTTACATCATTCTCCTCCTCCATCTTAGCCCCACAACAACCACCTGTGAGGTAGGTTGGGCTGAGAGTCTGTGACTGGCCCAAAGTCACCCAGTTGGCTCCATGGCTGAGCAGGGACTAGAACCCAGGTTGTCTGAGTCCCAGTCCCACGCTCTTAACCACTACACCACATTGGCTCTCATGTGGCCCCCCCCCCCCTTCACCTCTGAGGCCTAGCTGCAACCTCAGTGGGGCAGCTGTGGGGTTTTTTCCTGTGCTGGCTGCCAAAGGAGCAGAGTGGCCTTCAGAGTCTGAACTCCAAGATCACAGGATGACATCAGGAGGCTATAAGATGGCACTCTTAACCTAGTTTGGCTTGATACTTCAACATACTACTAGCATTTTATTTAAGCATTCCAGAAACCTTCCCTAAAGGTAGAAAAGGGCATCAGAAGACCAACCTTTTCAAAAAGTATAAGAAATTTTGAAGAGAGGTTTTAAATAAACTTGGATTTAGTATAATCTGATTTCTGTCAATATCCTCTTCCCTTGAACACAGAGTACTAAATCTTTTTTTCTTGATTTAGTATTGTCTGTATTCTGAACATAGGCAGTGTATCTGCAAACGTAGGAAATGCAATTTTTATATTCAAGAGCTAGGAAATGAATACTTTCATACCAAAAATATTTTCCAGGGCAGAAAATCTTATTTGCTGGTACTCCCTAACTCTAAGGGGTGTTGATTGTTTTCAAATACCGCAGTGGTTTACATTTTTCTGAGCAACTGTCTTTTCAGTGCCTATTGTAAACGTCTGGAAATGTACAAACATGCATTTAGTGTTGCTTATATTCATCCCTCTCTATATGTGCCATGTAATACTAAGTGCTGTCCAAAAGGTAAAACCTACTGTTTCTGCACACTTTGGAACTCTGCTACTTTTTGTTTCCACCAACTCATGAGTGGTTTTGGAAGCACTGTAAAAAGCCTCTATGGTGAGAAGGGCTAAAGTTTCAGCTCACAGACAAACATAATTGTGGTTTTTTTATATTAAAATTTATATTTATACATATATAAATATTTATGTATATCTAGGCATCAAATTTAACACCTGTATAACACAGCTAGCATACTGGCCTCATACTGACACAATACACCAAGCCATTCTGGGAATACATTACACAGTGGGCAGGCTTGTGTGCAGTGACAACTTATGATAGGTTGGCTTGAAGTGCCAAGGAGCAGCCACAAAGGGCCTGATAGATGATCAGGATCACTGAGGTTGCTCTCCTACCCCCCCCCCCCATGCTTCCTTCACTCTCATGCTTCCAGGTGGCATCCCAGGGGATACAGGGAAGAAAGGCTCCTCTCTTTGACAGCCAAGATTGTGGCTTGCCCAGCAGTCAAGCAGTCTCTGCTGCACAAATGGCTCACACTCTGAAATGCAGTGGAGAGGATTGCCGGGGGGGGGGGGGGCGGGGGCTGCTCAGGCACCACCACTCCTCCCAGCAAAAGGGAGGTAATCAACTGGGCACTGCAGGAAGGAGCAGCACCAATCAGCTGATTTTCCCACTCCTACAGGGGAGAAAGCCTCTTGAGGGAAACCAGTTGGGGGCAGCATTGCTCAGCTGACTCCCCCACTCTCTCTCAAGCAGGACTCAGAAAGGGAAAACCTGGGCTAGGTGAGGGTGCTCCCTGCTCTGTGGGTCCTTGACTAGCCTCTCTGCCCCCCATGCATCTGCACAAAAGACAAATGGTTCTGTCCAGGCTCTGTCTAAAAAGGATATCAAGACAGCAGCAGTGGGGGAACCAGCTGAGCAATGCCGCCCCCAGTGGGGGCAGCCCAGCCCAGCTCAGTGTTCCCTTACTCACGCCTGAAAGGGAGGAGAAGCAGTCAGTTGGGCAGTGATGTCCCATTCAGGGCAGTTCCAGCCAGCTGAACTCTGGGCTCCAGCAAAAGGCTTGGTACCTGCTGGACTTGGGCAGTAGGGACCATCCAGAATTTGCCCAGGTAAGGCTTCCCTTTTCTGGATCCATGGAGGTGTACCCCTCTGCACTTGTGCAAGTCCAAGTATAAAATTTTTTTTAAAAATGCTTACTGAAAAAAATTACACAGATTTGGGGTGCATTTTCCAAAGAGGTGTCCAACTTGAAGCATACCCTCCTATGTGCTGATTGGGCCTTTCAGGGGGCTATCACTGGCTGACGAAAGACAGGTTTCCTTACCTGTAACTGTCGTTCTACGAGTGTATTCACACATACGGGCTCTTCGTGCATGCATGGAACAGTTTTTCAGGAAGATTCTAAAGCTGACTAATTAGTATTCGGCTAATTAGTATGCAGCTAGCATGAGGGCGGGGTGCCAGCTGAGACCTCAGTTCAAAGTTGAGACCACCATCATTACTGCATGAATAACGCAGAATAACCCATGTGCCCAAGAGAGACACCAGAGGGGATGGAGGGGGGTATCTGTGCATACACAGATGACCACTCGAAGAACAACAGTTACAGGTAAGGAAACCTGGGATGCAAAGACTCTGGTATCCTCAGGTGGCTGGGACAGGTCCGAGAAGGTCGTCATGAGACCTGAGGGAGCATCAGAATGCCGGTCTGGAGAAGATACCAAACTTCAAACTTCAAAGAGGTAAGCTGGGCAGTCAAAGAAGAACTGAGGTCTCGGCTGGCGCTCCACCCTCACGCTGGCTGCGAAGGGGGTTGGGCTCCCACCAAATACTGATTAGTCAGTTTCAGAATCTTCCCCAAAAACCGCTCCACACATGCGCAAAGAGCCCGTATGTGTGATACACAGAAACCACACAGAATAAATCAAAAGCTTAAAGGGGAAAAAGATTTGGTGAGCCGAAGTGTCTCACAATCATGATGGGTAGAGGAAGACTAGTTGGTCATTCTGTGGGGTCTCTTGGAATGCCATACAGAGGACTTAAGGGACAGGAAGGGGCAAGCAAACCATGGCGAGTCCATTTTTCTGTGAAGGTTCACCAGCAGTTCTCAAAATATGTGGAACCCAGCATGGCTCATTGCCAGAGTGGTTAGCATGCATATCCACTCGCTCATTACTTTCTTGTTGGGCAATGTAAAGCCAACGTGATGCAGTAGTTAAGAGCACAGGCCTGGGACTCAGGCAACCTGGGTTCTAGTCCCCACTCAGCCATGGAGCCAACCGGGTGACTTTGCGCCAGTCACAGACTCTCAGCCCAACCTACCTCAAAGGATTGATGTTCTGGGGATAAGACTGAGAGCAGGAGGAGGAGAAAGATGGAAATCACTGATTTCTTTTTTACAAAAGAAAAAGGTGGCATATAAATCTAATCAATGAAGTAACATCCAATGTACCTGCGCATAACAATCTGAACTTTGGGGATTACAGGCATCCAGGGGAAGGCAGAGGGAGATTGGAAGTGAGGTTTGCCCTTGCACTCCTCCCTCTCTTCAAAAGTGTTTCACACCATTGCATCGGAGATGCCGCCATGTCTCCTCAAAGAGCAGTGGTGTTTTTCTCCTCTCCTCAATGCAGGCGCTGAGGCGAGGCTTGTGACTTTGAAGCTACAGCCTGCGCAGAAAGAACCATGCCAACTATGAGGACAGGAGAGCACACGCTGAGTCCCAGGTCTGACCTTAGAGTGTTTCTCTGAGCCTGGAGCTGCGACCCCAAAATATCCTGTGCCCATCTGGATACCGTGTAGCAGTCAAAGGATTGTGCCCTTATCAGCATTTTTGGCTTGTTTCTCTTATCCTTGTGCCTTTGCTTTTCTCCTGTGACCAAAAAGCTGGAGCTTAGCAATAAATTGTAGGCTCTGCTGAATGCCTTTTACCAGAAACAACTTTTTGACCTTGCCCATTTGACTCATGAGAGTATATGGCTAATTGAATGGTGATGACTAATTTTGTCTATTTTCTCCCAGTAAGTACATACTGATGACTTACCTTGAGGCTGTTTTGGTCTCCAAAACTTGTGCTGGTGGATAGCATACTCTGACACAGCCAGGATTCTGATCTAAACTTGCAGATTTTGTGATCTGAGGTTGATTTCTCTTGGGCCTCAAGTCACCGCTCAGAAAGCTTTTTGCATAGGAGGCTAAATTGGGAACACTGACAATACGACTTGGCGCTTCATCCATTTTCTTCTTCTGCTTTATGGTAAGAATAGAATTGAATATCATAGGCTTAACTGTCATTGAATATTTTTAAAATAGGTTGTTCCTGTGTCTAAATGCTCAGAAAAGTAGGGCTCAGCAAATGTCCTGCACATGCTTGCTATCTGTGACTTCCAAAAAAAGAAAGCACCTGATTGGTCACATTATGGATGGTGAGTGGGAACATTTTGCTTGATGCATCTCTGTACTTGGTACAGTATGGTAAAAGCACACTCAATGGTCTTCTGACTTTGGGGCCCATGGACATGTGAACATGTATAATAATAAAAATGACACTAGAGAGCATCTGTGGCTATCACAAACCGGATGGCTGCACTGGACAAAATAACATCAATTACCAGAAGGCTGCACCATAGACATGTTCTGGTGCATGGGGTGATTCCTGTGCACCCAAGAATATATCCCAGAAATTTGTATAACCAAGAGGTCTTCAGCAGACCAATGGACACAGAAAAGATTCTATCAAGTAAGCAGTTTATGAGCACTGGGAATTATAATGGCTGAAAAGTGGTGAGCAAGAATTCAAAAATAAACACACGCATCATTTTTACTGCCTGGCTTTAGGTTAGACCCATAAGGATATTCTTCTGACTGTGAACTGCATCCACAATTTAATCTCAAAGTAAACAGAAGGAGAATTTTGTTCCCAAAAGCAGCAATTATGTTGGATGCAGGCATATATAATTAATGCACAATGTGCCCATTACGAATATTAGCTCAGTATTCATCTGTTGTTTGTATTACCTTTGCAAAAGGAGTCAAACAAGTAGTAGGATTTGTATTAAAAGAAAAGGACCGGTTGTGACGGGACTCCGTAGTGGGTATAAGTGAATGCTGAAGTTTTCTTCCTTCCTGTCAAGAAAAAAAAAAAAAAATACTTGGGCTGTTTAGAGAGCACCAGGCTGTTTTTTTTATTTTACAGCAATTAACATGAAACCATGAAAAGCTGAAAAATGAATGCAATCTGGCATTATTAATCCTGCAGTCGGACATTATTAATCCTGAACGTAAATGGGTCATGTTGATCAGCTCGTGATACACAATTGGCACTGAATGGAGTGATCGCCTTCCTTGGGGTGGTGCGGCTGTGTGAGTGACATGGGAGAAACAGAGGTTCAGAGGAGCCCTCTACGTGCCCTCTGGGCCAGGGAGAAGATAGGTGGCTGACTGGGGTGTTCAGGACCAGTGTCTAGCAGCGCATAATGACCAGTGGATGATGCTGAAGCAGCAGAAGGGGGTCTCTCCTGTGCCCCATGTCTAGTCTTCCCACAGAGGAATGGATAATTGGCTTAATTTACCAGAGTTCATGAAAAAAATAATATTACATTTGTGCTGGGACATCTTTCAAAAATCTTCTTTTTGCCCTCACTTTGCCTTTTGCATATAAAGATGCTGAAATTTTAAAGCATTTGAATTGGGACCTGGTCAAAAGTCGCCTTTAAGGCTGCTTGATTTTAGCAGGAAAAGATTAAGCAATTGCTTAATGCTCATACTTAAGGGGACTTTAAAGTGCTCCATTTTGGCAGGATTAAACCTACTGATTTCTTCCAAATGTCAGGATCCAACTCAAATTATGCAAGCAGCTTATCAGTTTTGTGCTTTTAAACATCTCCAGCAGAATCCTATGCATGTTTATTCAGAAGGAAGTCTAATTAAATTTAATGTGATTTACTCTCAGGTAATATATAGCTGGGGGGGTGGGGCATGACCTAATTTCCAAAGCTCTCTGCATACAATCAATTCAGTCCTCTGGCAAGAGTGATCCATCTCTTCCCTGACAGCCTGCTGCATGGAAAGGGTACATGAGAGAGAGCAAAGCAGGTGGCAGAAACTGAAAAGGGGTGACCCATCCACTTTTGGCTTTGACCTTGCCCACCACTGGGCTGGCTCTAGGCTTGCTCATTCCTGACATGTGGCCCATGACAGATTAGCTGTGGGGAAATGCAGCCCTCAACAGAAAAAAGGTTGCCCATCCCTGATGTATACGGTTCAACCTCTGGGAAATATGTGCCCAAAGGTGCTTGCTTCTACACAAGGTTTTTATGATGCTGTCCCCCTGCCTCATTCACGAATGTTTACCTGGGGGTGGGGAGCAGGTTCAAATGATGATGAGTTCCATCCATGACCCTCTTGTACTTTTTCACCACTTAACACAGAAAACCCACTACCATGAAAAAGACAAGACATTCACAATACCTTCTGATTACTAAGAAAAGATCTGTCTAGAAGCCCCCAAAATAGAGAATTAGTAGGGTAGCGCTGAAAGCAGTGTCCCTTCATTACCTGAAGAAGTTGTTAAAGAAAAAGAATGCATCCAAAACAAATTCTTTTTAAAACTTTGTTATAGCTGCTACACAGCACATGCTACTAATATGTATTACCGTTAATTCTTTGATCATCGCTTCTTTTTCATTTAATTTATCTTGCAGGCAGCCTATAAGATGTAAGTCTTCTAACCTAGGTTCCCTCTTTCTTGGCTTCTCTTCTAATTCTTTAAGTCTGTATTGATTACAGGATTTAAAAAGCACTTAATGAAGGTTCCAGGGCATACGTTTTTCAAGCAGACTGCAGTTGCCCCTCTAGTCATTTCATTAACCTCTTGGCAACCTCCAGAAGCTTTAAAACACAGTCCTAGTTCAAGTATCTCCAGTTTCTATTTCTAGTCTTTCTAATCAGGTTGAGGATGTAGTTCTCAATCTCAGGCCCCTAAATTTAGTGGCAAAGGACAAAATCCAACCAAAGTAAAGCCCTGTTGGTTGGATTCAGATTTAGGCTTGCAAAATTTTGAGCTAGCAGAGGCAAACTTCCCTGTCACCTCCTCCCCATGGCAACCTTTCCAATCCCCTAAAAGTGCTACCCAGAGAGTCCCAGAAGATCCTGCTGAATGAAGTGACCTAAATCAGTAGGATATAAAAGTGCTTAACTTTGGCCAGATTATACTCTAACTTCAACATTCTCTATCTGAAAAGATAAGAAATAAAAATAAGGGAAATACAGGCTGATTTGATGCAAGTTTACCTGGTAGTAAATCCACTGTGTTAAATGGGATTTACTCTTATGTAAATATGCACAAGATTGCAGCCTTGGTCCATTAAGCACACATGCATGAGTAAATCATGTTTGTCTATATTGATCTTTTCAAAATCTGAATGTTAGTTCAATTTGAAGTGTTTTGTATTGGTTTGGATAGCAAAGGGGAAGAATAAAAACCACCCCAACCCCACTGACTTCCCTTTTTATATCTTACATTCTGAAGCTTCTCCACCTCTGCCCCTTGAGCTGATGGAAGCCAGAAATCTGATCAAAATGCTGTCACTTAGCATAAAGTTGCAATGCCATGCATGTCTGTCTGGGGATAAGACCCACTGAATGTGAAGGAATTTTCCTTCAAGAAAGCTCGTGTAGGTTTGCATGTAAGGACTGAGTTTCAGCAGCCACAGATTTTGACTTCACTAGCAGAATGGCAGAAAGGTGTGGGTCATCCTGGGCAACAGTGTACCTGCCTTTCTCAAAGTCGTGCACATGGACACCCTCTCAACACCTGCAAGGCCCCTTGCCCTTTCCAATTATTATAATTCTTTTTTGTTATAAACCCAGGGAGCCAGAGATGCTACAAAAGGAAGTGCCAGCTTCCAGCCATCTGAGCTCAGGCGCAATCTTAGGAAGTGAAGATGGCTGGAGAACAGCACCTCACTTTGCAAGGCACGGACCATTATAGGTCCTTGTGACTCTGATGTGTCCACAGATTTTTCTATGATTTAACAGTATTTCTGTCAATACTGTATAAGAAAAACTGGAAGATTCTGGATCTACATCTTGGCTGCATATAGCAGGGGCAACTAATCTTTTACTGAGCAGTAAAGGGACAAAAATGTAAGGTATAATTTGACATTCATTTTGAAGGGATATAATTTAAAACTAATGTAAGTTCATGATAACCTAGTCTTGATTTACCGGGTCAGCCTTTTGATCTGCTCACCATGCCCTCATGCAGCCATATGTAAGCCCCACCCCCATGGCAGCCATTTTAAAGTGGGACCCACAGCACTGCTCACAGGCCACCTCTACCACACCATGGCTGAAGTTGAAAAGGGACAGAAGAGGGAATTGGATAGGAAGAGAAGGGAGGAGGAAAGCAGAATACCCCCAAGAACCCAATTATGGTGAAAAGATTATAAAGCATGAACATCTTTCCCAGTTCATCTCATACTGTGCAGATAAAACATATACTCATTTTCCAGGGAAGCAATCTTTGCATGAAGAAGGGCTTGGGAGCTGCTGAAATCAGACATCACAGCTTGAATCTCCTTGCGATGATCTTGTTTCAAAGTGTCCAGTTCCTGTTTATGTTTATCTTTAAGGTCTTCTTCCAATGACCTTTAGCAGTAATATGAAAAGGTTTAATTTAAAAAGCTATAAATATTAAAGAGACAATTGTTTAATGCTTTATGTAATCAGTTGCAAACTATTTCAACACAGTTTCATATGCCAAATGAGATTTCATTAATTTCTGGGGTCTTTTTAAAGCTGAAATGATCAGTGAAGGGTACTTGTCCCCTACTGTAAGAAGACAGAGGGGGACAGAAAAATGCTTTGGGAGCAAGGGGGAGCTTCATCTACAGTCTGCTACAGCCAATTTGGCTGTGGTTAATCTAAGCCAGGATGCACACCTTGTGGTTCTCCAGATGGTACAGCCTGCAACTCCCATGAACCAGGCTGCTTATTCAATGGAGAGGCATCATGGGTGTTATGGGCTGCCAGTTGTTTTGACCTACAAGTTGCCCACCGCTGATCTAAGCAGAGGAGACTGTTAAAACAGAGGACAGGTTTCGATGTGACATGGTGGAGTAGAGCACAAGCACTTGTGCTTCCCGTTTGTCTGCATCTCAGTCTCATTTGAAGCACGTTATTATGACCTTGCCTGTCCCAGAGATGCACACATTATCTCTTTCGGGGCTTGTAACCCTCTCTGGAGTGTGAAACGCAGAATTCTAATCTGGAAAAACGGGAAATGCCATGACTCAGGAAATACAAGGCACTTTATAATTATATGTTCTGCACTCTGCTTCATAGCATCACATCTGATTTGGGTCAGGAGTCCACACTGACAATGACCAGATTCATACAATCACTACAACCACTGTGACTTACTTAAGCCACAGCGGGTTGCAGTTTATGCCAATATTCAAGCTACAGTGGACCAATGCTGTGGTTTACTGTGCCACGTGAACCTAGCAAGGGTGGCTTATGTGAGAATTAAATAACCCTCATATAACCTACCAGCTGTTTTAGAGTTGTGTGAGGGTTGCTTAACTCTCGCATAAACCATCCTCACTAGGCTTGCAGGACACAGTAAGCTATAGCAACCATCTGCCCTGACTTGAATATTCAGAAGGGCAGCTGGTATGCACCCCAACTCACTGTGGCTTAAATGACATTTAACATTCCCAGCTGCTTGGTATAAAAGGTGATACACTGAACTGGTTGATATGGATCAGTGATTAATGTTACCAGGTGACTAGATTTAACCTGTTGCTTTCCCCTAACACAGTATAATAGAGGCATAAAATCAGTTGTAAACCTTTTCTGTTGGTTTTCCCTCTCCTGAAGCTGTGCAGATGTCTCCTTCTGTAGCTCCACATCCACACTCAGCAGATTCATCATGTCCTTCAGAAGTGAATTTTCCTGCTTGAGCCCAGAAATTTCACTCTGATATTCCTTCAGTTCCTCTTTAAGAGATTTTATTTGATTTTGGTAACTTCCTTCCTAAGAAAAAGAACAAAAGCAGGTATATGAAACAGATGCCTTCACATTAGGATGAGTGTGAATACAGTCCACTTAGTAAATACAGACAAGAAAGAAGTTTATTTAGGGACTTTCTGCTGAATAATAGACTAGCTCAGAAAATCCTCATCTGTTCAGGAACACATGCAAAAATGCTCTTTTCAAATAGTGCATTCCTATGGCTGCTAGACAGAGTCTTGATGGCCAGAGCAGAAGTAAGACTCCCACCCCTGACCTGGGAAATTCTCTCCAAAGATGGAGGTAGGGCTCTGAATTCAGATGCCCGCTCCTGGAGTCACCATGGAAAGCAAAGCACCAACTTCTGCTCTAAGGCTGCAAGATCAGTCTCGGAAATGGAGATCTGGGGCTTCCAGGAAGCGGGGATGGGAGGAGTCAGGCATGCGTGGTGTCCTTGCAGCACCTCCTCCTCCTCCTCTTTGTGCTCCAGAGAAGACCATTTAGATTAGATCTGACCTTCACTTCTGCATTCCTCCTGCCCTTCATTAGCTGCCCAGAACCCTCTGAGTGTGGAGGGTTGTGGGTCGCTGTACTGGATTTGCACAGAAAGCTATTAAATATTACCAGGGATAAGACTATGCCATTATTCCACAGCAGTACAGAAAGATGTGTGACAGTGGGCACAGGATTCAGGTTCCCAAGTCCACCTCTCTTTTATCAGAGTGACTAGCTCTTATAGTTATGATGATTGTGCTTGGAAGTGTAAAGGCAATGCCTGGTGGTATCACAGAAGCTGGAGAAGTTACAGAAGATTAGCTGTGGTCAGAGGCTGGATTTTTGGCTGCCTCATATCTAACAAAAGCAGAATGAATTAAGAAGCACATTAAGAACTGCAGGGTGCAGATGTGGGAGAACCAAGAGAGATCATGCAAACTTGCTTAAAGTATACAAGCTGCAGAATGTGATTCTTGAGACAGAATTTGTCGCCCGCTCCTCCTTCCTGGCTGCAAGAGCATGAAGTCCTGCGTGCTGTCAAGGCTGTTACACTAATGATTGCATAAAACACTGTAAGAAAGGCACACTGGTCTTTCCAACTGACACATAAAAGAAAGTCCATCCTATTTTCCAAAACCAATCCATTTTACAATCTAGAACAGGGTTGTGGCATCTGATCAGCAGTAGTGTATTTCAGTGAAGTAGAAAGCTTGCCTGTTGCTTCTTTATAGCCTTCAAGTTCTTCAATTCTACCTTAAGTTCCTCTTTTTCTTTATGGTGGGTCATACAGACAGACAGCTCCATTCGCAGAGATTCTAGAAGCAATTATAGGAAAAATGCAGTTAAGTTCTTAAAGGAATACTTTTAGATGAAACTGCTAATATCTGTGTGGCCACCCATTTCATTTCATTGTTGACTACGTTTCCTTATAATGCAGATCCCCTATTAGTAGCAGCTATTGTTGACACACAATTCCTTTTTTTTTTTAAACATAACTTTATCACACTAAGGGTCTCTTCACATGATCATTGAACAAAGGCCCAAGTATGCGGCAGGGGGTGGTGGTGAAGGGTCCATTTTAACAGAGCACTGCAGAACAGTGGCCCAGGCTACAAGCCAGGGAGTAAAAATCTGAAGCTAAATTATGGGTGGATGAATAAAATTATTTCTGACTTTCACATGTGGTCATTCTTAACACTGTTGCAGCAAGTTCCCACATCACACAATGGATAGTTTAAAAAACCTGCATAAAATACCAATTATTTTTAGTTTTTCACAAAATACACATGGTTTTAAATACACATTTTATTTATTTATTTATTATATTTATATCCCATCCTTTTTCATTCAAGGAACTCAAGATGGCTTAAATAATACATTTAACTCACACAATCCTCATCCTTACTTACATTTTAATATAAAATACATAATTTTATATGCATCTGGCAAGTTTTTGTATCAAGAATTAAACCACAAAATTCAGAGAAGCACTGATGCAAAGAACTGAGATTAACTGCATTAGCTGAGGAAGTGCAAATCAGTCAGTTCGCTTAAAAACGTGGTTTGAATCATATGCTCCAGCAACCCTAGGCAAAACTGCAGATCATACTTGAGGATATGTTTGGACACTTATTTTCCCTGTCTCTTTGTACACACTGAGTGAGGATTCAGTTAGCTTCTCTTCAGCCAAGAACCGCAATGAAGTCCAATTCATTTGAACTGGTGGTCAGGCACCGCAGGTCTTGAAGCAGGAGCCTATGGGACAGGCAGTACGTATCTTCTGCTGACTAGACTAGGGAACTGGATCTAGTTCATGTCAAGATACGAAGATGAGAATTCCTTTGGTCCTGGGAGCCAGGTAACCTCAGGAACCCAATCCTGTATCATAGCATGCAATATTCTGGGTAACTTGTTGGTGAGGCTGGTAAATTGGGCATCACTCTGTATTTCTAGGCGGTATCCTTGCTGACCTGCTGACCCTCCTGCTGCAAATACTTGCCACCTTTCAGATCTGGCTGCCTGCCTAAAGGGATCAAACTGAAGGTCTCGGAACTGGAAGAGCCAATTATGAATGTGACACATAACCTGTTATCTGTCAAAGACTTGTTGATCACTCATTTGATAGAATACTAGGACTACTGCTTTCACCTTCAAGAGCAAAAGGAAGCACAAGATCCAGTAAATCTTAGTATGTCTTTTTGCTGGAGACCATTGCACTGCCTTATCTGAAGCTAAGCTGCAGTTCAGACTTCAGTATTTTAATGAGACAAAAGATGACTAATAAATGCCAGTAATTCTGAAACGACAAGGAAAAGGAAACAGTGGAGTGGCTGGTGCCTAATCTCTCATTTCCTAGTCATTGTCAAAGAGCAAGGCATTGACATGTCACAGTTTATTTTACCAATCAACGAAGACTGTTGCTTCTGTATCCTTTCAAGTTCACTGTGTAACTCCTTTCTTGCCTTCTGTTCCAAGGCCTGCATTTCTAAACTGTGTGACTCTTGCTGGACCTTGAACCTGTCATTGTATTCCTTCTTCCAGCACTCCGCTGCCTCCTGCCACCAAGGAAAAATGTCTTCAATCCTTTATCATAGTTTGCATGCTCAGTTGAATGAAAGACATTAGGGGGTGACAATCTATCTTCACAAAATATGATAGATCATGGAATCTTCCAGATTTATATGATATTATATTATAGGTTTGCAGTCAAAGACTTGGTTTAATAGTCCAAAATCCATATGTGAAACTCAGCCCTCCTCATCTCTGCAGCCCTTGACCTTTCTCCCTGTGCCCACTCAGAAGTCCAGTTTTCATTGTCTCTCTTCTCATTCCTGCTGTCTGGTCTTCTCCTCCCTTGGATTGCTTCTTCTTCCAACATCTCTTTTTTAGGGTCCTCAGTCCCTCACTCACCTCCTTTCCTAGACCCTCCCTCCCTCCCTCCCATGATCTTTCTGCCTGCCCTCTTCTTCCTGGGATATAAGCAGCTTAGCGAGGTAGCAGAGGCATTTCTGCCTGATCTCTGGCATCAAGCTACTCTAGCCAATCACTGCCAGAGACTTTTCCTGCCCCAGCCAATCCATACACATTTCTTGGTGCATTACAAGATATCATGAATAAATTACAAGAGATTATAAACAGCATCATTATAAATAAACAGCATTATTACCATTCTAAATGAAACATCAGATTTATAAGGAAGTAAAGCAAATTCAGAGCTGAAAATAACACCCAGAACAGCAATAAAAGAGAGCATAGATTTCCTGAACCTCTTAGCAGGGAACAGATAGAATGATTCTCTGAAATCATTAAATGTCTGTATTTGTTTTTCCTTTGGTTTTGCTTTTTAAAGAAAAGGTTTAAAAGGCAAACAAAAATAATTGTGATGTTGATGTATTTGTCACAGGCAACAAAGGCATACATTTTACTCTCATAAGCACCCTATCTTTGGTTATGCATTTGGACCTTTTTCTTCAGTTCCTCCTTTGCCTATAGTTAGGCCATACTCCTATGGACTGATATGCAGATACACTGACTGATAATGCATCATTTAATAATGATAGCTTTTGATATGAACTTGGTGGCTAAATAGTCTTCATTTTAAAATTTACCCAGATTATTTCAATTTGCTCTGATCTTCTTTACTGTACCAGTTGTGGATTTGTCAGCTGATGGATGGTATTATGATCCTCCGTGCAACACAACCCTCCTGGATTTCATTTCATTGAAGCCCCAGAGTTGCTAAGGACTTGCTCTGGCTGCAGTTCTGCAGCCTCCTCTTAATTGTTTAACTGTAGTTCAGAGATATTGGCCGTGTCTGCACAACATAGCAAGCCACCCTGTGCATAAGCTACGTGGCCTGCGTTGTTTGCAGAGCAACCCACAGTATGCCCAGCAGGTGGTTGGGCTCACTCACCTTGGCTTGCTTTCCAGCTCAGTCCCCCAGCCGGTCTCCCACTGCCTTTTGCAACAGAACCTGTCTTGTCTCCCCTGCCCTCCCAGTCCAAGCACTATTCCTTTTCATTCACCACCTGGGCATTTTTGCAGTCTACTGAAATTGAGCAACTGTGGCCATTTTCTGTTTCATGCCCAGAAAAGTGCGCAACTGTTCATTTTTTGAGAAGTATTTGTCTTTTTTCAAGCATGCTCTTCAGGCTGTCCAATATGTGTAGTTTTACCCGGTCCATTTCCTTGTCTCTTCAGCAGCCAAAGGGAGAAGGGAATGTAACATACCTGAAGACTGACAAGGCAAGCCCACTTGGCTAATTTGCCAGAGACCAGCTGCCCAGCTGACAATTGACAAAGCACTGATAAATAGGAGAAAGCAGCCAAAGAAGGTGAAAAGTAGGGGGACAGTATCTCTCCATCAGCAATGCAATCCTCTCCATTTTAAATACTGAACGGACATTTTCCAATCCCTCTACACTTTCAACACCCCCTGAGTCTCCAGCTACTTCTGAAATGAGAGATATTAACCTTCTCCCCACTTTTTGAGGCTCCTTTTCAGAACAATTACTGTATATCCCTGACCGTTGTAAAAAAATGCAGAAATATATGGAAATTTAATAGCTGGGAACTAAATGGCCGGTAAGTTTGCACAGCTACAGTAACTTCTTCATCATGCAAGTGTAAAAGTTCCCCCTCCATCCGCTTCCCAGTCCTTCAGTTGACACAGAATTCCCTTCCATTTCCCCTCAGTCGTTACAGTTGCATAGATTTCCTAACCCCCAAATTGTACAAATGTTCCCAACAGTTTAAAAAAGCTTCTTATATAGGTGGTGGACCAGGATTGAGTAAACGTGGTATCAGCACCAGTCTTACCTACACATGTAAGCCGCCTTCTCAGAGCATTTTTTTTAACTGCCAGGGACCCACAGGAACCACAGCAGTAAGTGCTCCAAAAAGGAAACACAAGAAGTGTGTGCGTGAACCAGTATTTCCACTTTCTGGCTAAGCTGGATTGCCAGGGAAGTGCTGAATAGGTAGAAGGCACTGAGAAGCATCATCCAAACATTGAAAAGCTGGATCGCATCATTCATTGTCTGCTTTTCTCCCCTTTTCAGTGCTTTCCACGTAACAATTTGGCACACGGTCCCTAGAAAATGTGCACAAATTGACCTATATGCAGCCTTGCCAAATCAATTTCCCTGAATGTTCCCTACTCCATTTTGCATCTCCTTTTGACAGCAGAAACTTACAAGGAAATTATCCAAGAGAGACTACAAATCTCAGACAGCCCTAATAGTGTACTTGTAGTATGTTTTTATTTAAATAAAAAATTTCAACCTAAAAAAAAAAATTTCAACCTAAAAAAAAAAAAATTTCAACCTAATAGTGTACTTGCATAGCTGTGAAAGACCAGTAATAAGACATAAGCATAACTTTCTGGGACTATTTAAAAAACAGTGAAAGGGGCAATCACTCTAAAGTGCTGTTTGGGCATTGTTGGCGGGGTCTCACTAGAGGCAGTAAAAGTGAGCAGGGGTTGCTATCCTTGCACACAGTTAACTAACTGATCTCCAAAACTCAGAATGTTTTCTTTCTCCCAGGTTCAGATGACACAACTGGATTGAACAACCCCTGGAATGAACTAAGGTTGTTAGGACGGTTTGCTGCCAAAAAATGAGCCACCTGGGGTCGTGGGAGGAGAGTTGAGTCTGGATAACAGGACAACCCACCATAGCTAGTCATGAACAATGGGTTGTGTTATGTGAACTCAGAAATTATGTCTGTACTGGCCCTTACACTGCTTGCTTAGACAAAATTGCTCTTGATGGAAACTGAAAAGCCAATAAACTTCAGAAATCTCTCATACCCAAATCCTTTAAACATGCTACATCTTGTAATGTCCCCCTCCATTCTTGCAGCAGACAGATAGTTTGTCCAGAATCTGAGAGGACATTTATGTGTGGCCTTATAGGAAAAAAAAACTGTAACACTTGAGAATTTTAAAAAAGAAGTCAATGCTGTCAGGACAAATCTAACCTTCAGCTCTTGATTTTTGCTTTTCTCCAGGAGTTTTATGGCTCTCTGGTGAGATGCCTCCAGCTGTGCTTTCATATCTTGGCTTTGCTTAACAGTATCCTGCAGATCTTGCAAAAGCTTTTCTTTCTCTTTACTGCACTGTAGATCCTGTTCTTTGAGGGCATCTCTGAAAGTGTTTGCTTGCTGTTCTAAAGTCTGCTTCAGCTCTGTGACCTTCAAATTCAATGGGACACAGTTACGAACTGCATCAGTTACCCACTTAGCATCATTATAAGCCTTTTCAAGCGTGATCTATCCAAAAGACTCTATCCTTTACTTGTGTGGTATTTGAAATATATTCTCTGAGGTGCCAGCCTCAGTCTTGTCGACAGAAAGAAACAACACCACAGCAAGAACCTTCCAAGGTCAGAAAGGCAGCTTGGTCAGAATATGCTAAGCATACTGCAAATACACAAAAATCTATTGGATTCAAACAATGAACTATGCATTTGTCAGAAAGATTTTAACAGGAGTTAAGTGAGTTCTTTCCTCTGGATTGTGCTCATTATCTCCAAGAATACCTGCAGAAGACCGGGAGTACTACAGGCCAGGGATGGCCGCTGATTTTAACCCAGCTCCTCCACACTCCTGTGCCAGACCTGAAACATGAGACTGTAAAGGGCTGGGGGTCTCGATGTGGGAATTTTAGCCATGCACTTTGCCAGGGCAGGGAGCTGCTGCCCTGCTTGCTGTGCTTCAGCATTACCATGAGATGATGACCAGAAGTGAACATCACAGCTATCCCCTCTGCAGGAGTCAGACGGCATAAGGGAACAAGGCCTATGCCTGGTTTTGTGGAGCTGCAGGTTCTGGCCTGGCTCTCTATCTGAGCAAAGCAGGCTCCTAAGATGTCTGCCCCTGCTTCACAGTTGCCTGTTTGCACCCAGTACCGAGACATACTGTATGTTCTATATTACCGAGTAGGGACCCTGCCCTCCTTGGAAATGTGAGGTTGCCTTAGGCTAACTGTCACTGCAAAGGCTTCTAGCCTTTATCTATTTCTATTTTTTATTTTAAACAGCAGTATTAAGGCCATAGAGCCCCCTCAAGGCAATCCACACAGCAATATAACTATAACTAATGTACCTGGTTAGAAGAAGGGGGTTTCACATGCCGCTTTTGGCCTGAGCCTGGCCATGCCTGGAGTGGCTCTGCTTGGCAAGTGGCACTGCCCAGGCTAACAGGCCCCAGACCCTTGCCACTCTAAAGAAGCAGGTAAGGCCCTTTTGAAATTGGGGGTGGAGCTCCCAGAAGGGGTCTCCTGGTCTGACTATAAGGTCTTGACAGTTGCTGTAAGCCAGCACTGGGGTAATTTGCCTTACTTATAGTCCAACAGACTATGTCAAAATACATATGCCATTTGGTACAAAGGTTTTGGCTACTTGGACATCTTAGAAAAGTTGATGCATCTCCAAAACTGCCAATCTTATACACAACTCCTGAGGTGCTTATGGGTGGCAGCCTCCAACCACTTTTTGGAGCCAATAATTACATCATACAACTATTGCATTGCAAAGAGGGCACATGACTCTAGACTATGCCCCTTTCTGACTTGTCCAAAATGAGGGCTGCTTATTACAGCGTAAGTTATATAGCTGAAATGGATACCATTTGGTAAAGATCACCTTCTAATGTCCAATCTGACTGCTTTATGAGAGGCGAGCCCCACATCAGACCATTTAATATGATCTGAGTCATAACAATTTCCAGTATATTCAATTAGAACAATGTACATCAGTTCTGAAACTTTTCCTACAAGAATGCTTTGCAGGCTGCTGGAAAGCTACTTTCTCCCTGGTCCAACATCATCGTGTGCATGCACATGATGGTGTCGTATAGCGAAGGGGCAGCGCTGAAGAAGAGGAACATCACTTTTATGGTTTGCTTACAGTCCTGAATTTCATGTATTTCACCAGAGTGCTGTTCAAAGGAATGCATTGGTCATGAAATAGCAACACAGAATTTGCCACTGTACTTGAGCTTGCAATTCTGTCTTTTGGTAGTACCATTCCTCTTGCAAAGCCTGGATTTCTTTGCTTTTCTCCTTCTGGAAACTTGCAAGAGTCTGCCCGTCCTCTTCTGTTGGGGCGCCTCCAGAGCCCAGCCTTGAAGAAACAGCATTAATCTTGTTAAGGGAAGAATACTAGTGTATTTTGACAGAATAATGACCAGACATATCAAGCACATGGCCAGCTCCTTATGAAGCTTGTGATTCTAATCTGTAGGCAGATCAGATGGCAGCCCCCAGCCCTAGTACCTTAATTTCTCTTCATTTCTGGTACCAGGTGCAGTTGTTAGCAGCTCTTTGCCTTTTGCTCCCTCTTTATGCTGCTTGAAAATGTCCCTCTCCTGTATGAATGCATCTTGGGCCTAAAGGATAAATGGAGAGGCAGCAGATAGTACAGATTCTACAAAGTCTTCTTTAAAATATTCAAGTGTCAAATAATATGCTGAGCCACCTCCCTCTGTTTTTGGTTCTCCATTATCATTTGTTTTCTGAAACAAATAGGGAAGAAACAGTCCTTGAAGCAGTAGAACGGCATGCTAGGCCAGTCGTGGCCAGTTACACCAGGCCATCCTGCCTCTTTCCGGGTCACTACTATTGGTGGGTCACCAGGAGCTCTTTGCCTCATCCTCCTGGCTCAACTGCTAGGTGAGTGCATGTGGGGTGGGGTGATGGGTGAACAGGACCAGCTGCTGCTCCTGCCACCATTGAAGTCAACACATCCACACCAGCCTCTCACCTTCCACAGCCCCTTGCCTGCCCACCGCTCTGCGCACTGCCACAGCCCCTCACTACCGCCACTGAAGCCAGTCGCTGCCTGACTAAAGCCCCCACCCATTGGCCTGTTTCCCTCAATGCTGATGTAGCCACCACAGCCCCTCACCTAGCCATCCGCTAAGTGTAGCCACTGCCCATGTCACCAGCCACCACCAAGGGTATAGTGGAGGTGATCCTTGGGGGGTCACCTATTTTGGACGGGGCACTCAGGGAGGGTGCTGGATCCCTGAAGCCCCTTCGCCTCTCAAGAGACTGAATTTTGCTGGCTTGTGGCTAGCAGCTGCCACTCCGTCAGAGTCCCCAAACAGATTAATAACAGCAGCGTTTTTTCGACAGTTCCGAGGAACTTCCTATCCACAAAGGCCTGCCAGGCATGGACATGTGTTTTCTGTGATACTTTCCCTCATGGTCAGCCTCTGCTCCTTAGCAACAAGTTGTCAGCTTGCCCTCGCTGCTCCAAAAGCTACTTCCCATTCCTATTGCATTCACATCACACAGCTAGAGCACTTTAATTTCACTTTAAGCAGTTGTTAGTGCCCCAGAGAATCTTGGGGACCATAGTTTCTCATTGATATGGAGTGTCGTTAGTGGACACCTATTCCTCACACAGAGAGGTGACGTTTCCAGCGTTCCGGGGGAAGAGGATTTACTGAGAAACCATTCTGGGAATTGTAGCTCTGTGAGGTGAATAGGTGTTTTCTAGCAACTCTTAGCCCCCAAATTATTTGGGAGAAATAATGGCTAAAGTGGAATAAAAGTCTTGTAACTGGAGTATATTCACTAGAATCAATGGGAAAAATTAGCCATGACTTCTGATAGCCTTTAAGTTCCTCTTACTTCAGTTAGGCTATTGTATGCATGATTCAGCATGGATCCAATGAAAGAACAATAAAAGATTATTGGATCTTTAAAGAAACTGAAACCCCTAAACTATGGAGTCTGACTCAAGGAGGATCTCCCACACAGGTGCACACAGAAAGTCAGTGGTTGCAGAGGCCACAGTAAATTAAAAGAAACCAAAGAATGATTGCTGTTATTGAGAGAATATATCTACATATGTTTCTGTAAGTGTGGGTAATTAGTGCATGAGTTTCCTTTTTTTCCTCTTCCTCCCTGTCCCTTTCCCTTGTATGTTATCTTTTTAGATAGTAAGCTTGCAGGCAGGAACTGCTTTATTAATTTCATGTAAGTCACTCTGTGAGTGTTTTGGCTGGACAGCAGGATATGAATGTAATAAAAATAATAATTTATTATTTTTTTATTAAAACATTTCTATGGCCACATAAGAAATAAGATAATAAGAAATGTCAGTGATAATACAGAAACTGAACAAGTTAAAACATGTATGATAAAATGGATGCAGAATTTTGAGGAAGAAATATCCTTCCACCAATGGGAAACTTTATGGACAAAAGTTATAGAATTTACAGCCAGTCGAGCGTTAAGAAAAAATTGGTACAAGATGTTGTTTCGATGGTGTATTACCCCAAAACGTATTGAGAAAATTGACAAAAATTTGAAAGAAATAGATGAAATACAGAAAACAAATTAACATTCCTATGAATGCTAAGAATATGCTATTGAGTATTGTGCCAGAATGTCTTCCAAGAAATAAGAAAGAATTATTTAAATATATGATAAGAGCAGCTACAGTCACAATTGTAACAAAATGGAAAGCGGAAGGCTGCCCAGCCAGTGAAGATTGGAAAAATAAACTAGGAGAGCATGCAGTAATGGCAAAACTCACCAGCTATATAAATAGAAGACTGGCCAAAGAATTTAATGAAAACTGGAAAGCTTATTATGTGTATTTTAATAATTGAGAGAAAAATATAATCTACAGAAATGTTATTAGTGAATTAGAATTTCAATATAAATGCTTGGTTGCTATTCAAGACAAAGTTTAAAAAAAAGATTAGCTGTTTCGGCAGAAAGCTTGGTATTGGCAAAATCCAAAGTCACAATACAAAAATATGCATATTTTAAATTGTTTAGTGTTAGAACATGAGAAAGTGTAATTATTAAAAACATTGTATCCAAACCAGAAATATTATAATATTTAATGTTCATAATATTTAATGTATTACAAATTGGAAGCTATTGTACAAACATAAAATCTGTGATATTAAAATGTTATAATAAAAAAGTGGGGAGAAGGGAAAAAAAGGAAAAAATCTAGAAGCAGTAATTGTTTCACCTCAAAAAGAGATGCCCTCATCTTGCATTCATTACTCAACAGAAATTCACACAAAGAACAAAGCTCATTTTTTATGATTGCATAATCAGGGGTTGCATAATCTTGGAAACTGGTGTGGCTTGGAGGAGTGGCTCTGACTATCATGAAGGGACCCCCCCCCCCCCGCTAATCTGCCACAACACCACTGGTCACCACAGCTGCCAACACCCACTGCCCACCCGCCTGCCGCGGACAAAGTCCCCTGCCCAGGCCTCCCCCCCACCCCGCCAATGGCAGGGCAGCTCCTCCTCTTGCCCTAGCATGGCAGTCCCCAGCCAGCCAACCCTTCGGCCCAGCCACACAATTTTACAACTGTTCTGTTGTTTTTGCCGTAAGTTCTGAGAAGTGACTATTCTAAGCTGATCAGGCACTGGCTTAGGAGAGGGATAGCATAGCAGCAGCCTAGGGACTGCCCCAAGCGCAGCTGACCCTGTGCCCACACAAAGGCAGCCTCCGACCACTGCTCTCAACTGCTCTTGTTGCTGACTTTCAAGTGGGGAGCCGGGGGGGGGGTTGCAGGCTCTGCCTTGATGCTTCTTTTCCTCATGGGGGGCAGCCAGGTGGGCAGGGAGGGAAAGGAGGGCAGCACCTGGGCCAGGGATGCCCAGCCCCCAAGCCTTTGGGCCCTTGGCAGCTGCCTGCCATACCAGCACCTGATGGGTGACAAAAGCATAGTGAAGCCCTCAACGAGGCCACAAGCTCTGACATATCTTCTGAACTTGGAAGGGGACAGGCACCTAAGTGAGCCTGGCAAGAGCACAGAAGCAAGGATTGCCTTTGCACTCCCCTTCCCTTCAAAAGCCTTTTGGTTGGCTGATTTCAGCCCTCTAAATATTTTCCCCCACCTCATGAGGAGGAGGGGCTGAGCCACTGCCAGGATTTGGTGGAAGCTGACAGTGCCTCACTCCTTCTCTACCGCACCACCCCTCAGATTCCATCTACCACCCCCAGTTCCAGAGTAGGAAGGTGACAGTCCTTTTCCTGTTCTATGTCTCATCATATTTATTATGCAGAGATAAAATGCCACATACTTTGACCAGAATACTAGCTATCAGCAAAAAGGTTATAGTGGTCTCAAAAATGTCCACCAAGGAGATTTAAAAAAAAAAAAAAAAGAAACTATGGATAACTGGAGCAAAATATTTCTTCTCTTTTAAGCACAGGCAAACTTTGTCCTGTTTTCATGTTCCTTTAATGGCTTTTTGTGGTTTTTGTGCTCTCAGCAATTTGCTTTCTATCTTTGTTTTAAATGCTGTTTCTATTGGCTGGTTTTATTTGTTGATCATTCTACTGTTTCTATCATTTGCTTTTTATTGTTAGTTATGTATTTCCATGTTTTTATTATAAGCCCTTTTAGGTCAACTGTGCAAAGGTGTTCTAGAAATACGCTTATTATATATGAATAGATATCCTGCTATGATTGGGTAGGATGGTCGGATCACATAGTTGAACAATAAAAACAAACACAGATGTCTTGGGAGGTTTCCTTTTTCCTGAAAATCTGGCAATACTTTTTAATCTCCTGTCTGTCATTAGATGTGAAGCACATTAATATTAACATACCTCCTGGTTCTGCTGCTCCTTCTGCACAGAGTGAGCAGAAGTTGCACAGAAAAACTGCACTTCTCCCCACCTTTCCTGTGAATCAAACATTTATGGAGAAAACTGAGCAACTGAACTCCGGTTGTGTTAGGAAACTATCTAGGGAGGAACCAGCCATTCAAACACGATGAATCCCAGCAGTGAAATTAAATTAACTGTCAAACCAAGGCTAGAGACAGAAAATAACTTTTTCAAAGAGTTGGAAGCAGCTCCAAAGGGACAGGTGCTTTTGGTATGTATGACAATCCCTTCACTTTGCCCCCTGATAAACAGCTTTTGCAGGTCTTGGGCTCTGTTTCAAGAATCTGCAGCACTGGCAAAAGAAGTGAAGAAGAAGCATTAGAGAAGCAAAAGAACTGGGGCAAGCAGTGGACAGATTGTGATTCACCAGTGGACCCCTGATAATTTTCAGTGGCCAAGAGTATTTCCTAACTATTACTTACCTGGTTAGTTTGCCCCTTCTACTGAGAGATCCTGAGCATGCAGTCCTGGTTTTGTACATTGAAGATCCATCAATGGAGCAGAAGAGAAATAAAAACTAGACTGCTAAAGTCACTTTGTGCACTGGGGCACATAATGGGAAGTGACTCCTCTCTTTTATCTTTCTCAAAAAATGTATATTTCTCAAAAATGAAACAAAACACTATTGTCTGTCCTGAGGCTAAATGGCTCACGGCCAAAACAGACATTACTTTAAATCTGTGCCCAGCAGCTACATCTTTTGTTTGTTTCTACTCTAATGTAAGCGCAGAGCCTCAAATCTGGATCTTAAAAGCCCCCTTACCCACCAATAGGATCCCAATCCCTGCATCTACTTTACAGTAAAAGAAAAGTAGCAACTTGACACACATTGAAATACAGTTTGTTTGTCAGAGCAAACTATATGATGAGAGTTTCAGAAAAAAATGAATGAAACAAAATCAGTGCTACAATGTTCCAGCTGCATCAGCTGAAATAAATGAAAATGTTCAGGCACATCCTAAATCTCCTGATTTGCTCTCATACACTCAAAGCCTGTCTCACATGTAATGGGAAGTACCCATGGACTAACTACCTGCAGGGCTTTATCACTGCATGCCAGCTGACGTTGTTACCATGCAATCTGTGGTGAGGCATGTTGTGGTTTATTGTGATATACAAACCCAGCCAGAGTGCTTATGCGTATGGTTAACAAATTGCCCACAACCTTGAAACATCTTTGCTGTGGGTTGTAATTTTAAAATGCAAGGTAAAATACAGATTTGTTCCAAGGCCTGGTTTGTAGCCAAACACACCAAGTTCACACCATATGCTAACTCAGCCTCCAAGATTCAATGTGGGGTGTCACTGGGTCACAGGCTGTTGTGTTTTCTGAACCCATGGCTTGTTAACCATTGACTACTTATGAAGAAAACCCATGGCCATAAACGTGTGGCTTAACAAACCATGCTTCAGTAACATGGCTTTGATTCAGACATGATACCCATGTTTTAACAACTACCCATGGTTTAATGACAAGTCACATTTAACCCATATTTAACCTTGAGTTGTGTGAATGGTGTGGATGGAATCACACAACACAAGCCATGGTGTTTTTTTCCCATTATTAGTCTGTTGCATTACTGGAACCCCACTGTGACATTTCAGCATGATTTGTCTGATCTTTAGAAACTATGGTCTAAAGAAACAGTGGTCTGTTCTATGGTTTCTCTGTATCACCATGGTTTGTTGTGTCATCCAAACTCAGAAAACTCAATACACAATATGAAGCCAAGAGCAGGGAGCTAGTTGGCAAGAGTGGCCTACTGCCACTTTTACCAAGCAGCTATCCAGAGAGTGCCACTGCAAGCTGCCATTTTGTGCAGCTGTCAGAGGTGTCCCTAGTCCATCTCCCAGCTGCTGTAAAATTTTTCTTTGGGGCGGGAGTGGGCAATCATATGAGTGGCATTGTGGAAAGAAACAGCACCACTCGTCTGATTCTCTCATTGCCTCTCAAATTTGCACCTGAGAGAAGCCGGGTTGGGAACACCTTTCTTTCAAATGGGAGAGAGAAGGGGGTTGAATGGGGGATTCACTGGGACAGTGGCACTGCTGTTTTCCACAGCACTACCCAGCTGACTCCCCCTTTTTGCCTGTGTGGATCAGGCCCTCCCTGCTCATCCAGCAATCCCCTCTAATTGCAGGGGGCACGAGTACCTGATCAGCTCCCTCGTCTTCTTGGCTGGGCATCAGTGCATGAGCCCTGTTTGTACTCCAGGGACTGCCTGACAGCCGCAGTAAGTTGAACTTGACTCATGATTGCAACTGTCAGAGAGAGGAGCTTCATCCCTCCCTGTGTTTTCTCCTGGCATACAGCCTGGAGGGCTGAAAGGAAATGAGATGGTGGGAGGGAGGAGACATGCCACCATGAGACTGATCTAACCACATAAGATTGATAGTCATGCTCCCTCTTTCTCTCTCTGTGTGTGTAAAAGAGAGAGCGCATCTCTCAGAAGAGGAGAAATGCAATTCCCTGATACACTTACTTGCAGCAGTCTCTTGATGCCTCTGACAAAGCATCAGCTACTCACGTGTTTGCAATCTGCTAACCTCAACCATTATCACAAAACCAATGAACAAATAACTGTACAGCTTGACTACTATATTAAATGCAGGAGGTAGAATCTGTCTAAAAGCACTTTTATGTAAGCTTCATTAGGGCTTGTGACAGAAAACGTCTTTGGGGATTTTGCCCTTAGGAATAACTCATAAACATAACAAAGGGATACAAAGGTAACTGAACAGCATCTGTATCACTCAGGTACACTTTAAGATCAGAATTGTAGCTACAGGGAGTATGGAGGGATACAGACAGACTTATTCAAACTGAGGTCTCATGAGGCACTTTCTACTCACAAAATAATGAGAAATAGTATAATGTGTGGTATAAGCACCTATACTTCACATTTTATAACATATTGTTTGGCTTATATCACAATAATAATTTCCTAGTTGCTCAATGATGAGTATATTTGCAATTGAAATACATTTGGTATATTGATAATCTGGAGCAATTCTTCAAATAAATAGCATTTTAATTTTGGATGTTTCCCTGATTGTTTCCTGTATAATCTGTGTCCTTCATTTCCTTCTGCTGGGGGTGTCAAATCTTTAATAAACCTTTGGTTTATTTCCAGTTTGCACTGTCAGTGGAAATTAAGCAGGCACAAACATTTTGCGTGCACAGTTCGTTCACAGCAAACCACGGGCTACAATTCCATAAAATGTGGCAACTGATGCTTTCTCTTTACAGAAGGAGAGCCTTTCATTACTGATTTCCTTCCATTTTTATTTGCTTTTGAAATAGTAAGATAGTACTACATCTCAAGAATAAAAAAAAGAAAAACATTTAGAGAAAACCAGTAATTAAAATCTCTCTCCAAACGAAAGAGAAACTCACATTGGGACATGAAAGAGATGGTGTTCTGAGGGGAAAATAAGAAGCCATTTATTGCTAATCCCACAGCCAGGATCGGGAAGAAACAATACAAGTAACTGAACTTGCAACAAAGAAAAATTGAGGTTTGCCTAATAGTACTTGCAGAAGAGTAAGCATTATAGGAACACAGGAAAGGCTCTACTAGATAACATAACTGTGGAGCTTTCTTTTTCATTTCAGCTAATTGTGAAAAAGCAGCGCTCAGCAGCACTAAAGAGCTCTCATATGGAAGCATAATACGAAGCCAGGAATAGTTGGCTTGGCTCTTTAATGAACCACAGTGAATGTTTCTTACCTCTTGTTGCTTCTCATAGGTTTTTCTAGATTTAAGAAATTCTGCATATTTGGGGATGTCATGGATTTGTCTGATGAATGTCTCTAGCTTTAAGACCTAAATTGTCAAGAGAAAAATGTTTTCAAAAAGATGGAGGCCATGAGTGATATGCACTAATTAAACATGTATTTCTTTAACATCATCCCAAATGTCCCTCGTCCCTGAACTGAATGTAATTCCAGATATAATATATAAATATTAGAACAGGCTATAAACATAACTAAATAATTCACCTGTCATTTTGAGCAAGTCACCTCTGCAACAGAATACTTTAAATGCGCACGCGCGCGCGCGCGCGCGTGTGTGTGTGTGAGAGAGAGAGAGAGAGAGAGAGAGAGAGAGAGCGAGCGAGCGAGCGCGAGCACAGTCTGCAGCCAACATTTTAGTTGACAAATTCCAACACAGACACATTCTGTCTGCCATCTACACCTGCTGCCACCCGGTTTGTTGTTAGTCGCGAAGTCGTGTCCGACCCATCGCGACCCCATGGACAACATTCCTCCAGGCCTTCCTGTCCTCCACCATCCCCCGGAGTCCACCCACCCAAGCTCACACCAAGTGCTTCAGTGACTCCATCTAACCACCTCACCCTCTGCCATCCCATTCTCTGCCACCCAGTTAACCAATCAGTAAACATTTGAGAGAATCTCCCTTTCTCTCCAGTCAATCTCTGTTCCACCATGATCTTGTCCAGTTCACTCATTTCCTCTTCTCCCTCCACCCCCAGTCCTTCCTCTCCTGATGCACATGCTGTCTGTGGCAAGGTCAATGGCCACAAGCATAAGGCAATATAAAATTTAGCCCAATCAATGAATGCCACTTTTGCACTGAAGTCACTTTTGATTGATGAGAATGACAAGTTCCATTCCTTTTAAAGGATTGCTCTACAACATTCATGGGAGAGAAACTCTTAACACTGTAGTATCATGTATCATTTTAATAGTGGGAAATAAAACCTTCTGTCCTTAAAGTTTTAAAATATAATGAAGGAAAACAGCTTGGAAAAAGTAAATATTTTTCCTAGTATCATATGCATAGCTTTCAACAATTTGCTCTGCCAACTGAGGTGGCCACCTTACCCTGCTAAATGGAACAGCCAGTGCTGTTTAAAGGTAAACATCCAAACATTGAGCTCTGGTCACAAGTGGACTGGCAATCAGGGAAGACCTTACAGAACAAGGGAGGTCAGTCCCAAGTCAGTCACAGTCACTATTAAAGCACAAATATTCTGAACTATGTGAAGTTTTGAGGAAGCCTTCAAAGGCAACCCCAGCAATGAGGAGTGGGATTGCTGGCAGAGTGAACTGCCAGACAGAGGGCAGTGCTTTATCTGTCTTGGGCAAAATAATCTCGTTTGCAAATCCCAATCAGAAATCCAAACTGGAAGAAAGATTGGCTTGGTGAAAAACAGTCTCAGGGGGCCATTTGCAGCAGATGTAGAGGGATTTAAGTACCTGGGCAGGACCATGATATTTTTGCCACCTGATGTGAAACAGTAAATGGTCCCCTGTCCTATAAACCAAGGTACACAGGACTTAAGGCTGGCAAAGTTGTTTTGCTACCAGGGTGTGTGTGTGTGTGGGGGTGCAACCCACAAATGTTTCCCTCTGGGAGTAAAAATATGATAACTATGATACATTTAAAAATAATAATTTGCTGTCCTTTTCCAAAACCAGCTGACTGATGTGGCCATCTCTGTCTATCAAGTTTCCTCTGTAAATGCCCCTTCTCACAGTTACAATATCTCAACAAACAGTGATTTGGGAACACATGTCTGTTGAAATATTTTGCTGTTTTATCCTATACTGTACAGGCAATTATTTGAGAGACTTTTCCATGAAATGATTGTCCTATCATTTCCAATCCATAATCCTGTGATATCCTTGAAGAAGTTGAATTTTATGAATCCCATTAAAAAAATCTTTCAGATAGCCAAAAACATTAAAATCCATTTTATTCTTAAAGATGCATTAATGGTTCACACACCTCTAGAGAACAATCTTGAAGTTTTTCACTGATTGCTTCTTTCTCCTTCTGTAGATGTCTTATCTCATTTTCATATTTCCTTTTTAATTCTTCTAACTGTATCTGAACCTCCTAAAATGGAGAAATTTAAAAGTTGTAACATTATAGAGCAAAACTATGCTAAAGAGGCATGAGGTGTTTAACACGTAAAACATATTTACATGCCTAAGTGACACAGATATACTGAACTTTATGGCATGAATGAAAGCTGCCCTTCATTTCTCAATTCTGGGAGAAAGTCACCTTTCTGCTACTAAAAAAAAAAAAAAATCTGTCCCAATGTTATAAAGGAAAAGATTCATTCCCACCACCTTTGGGAAAGACCAGGCCAGATGTGTTTTATGAGTGGCTCCTTTCTAGTGGAGGAAACTCTGAACCAAAGAATTTTAGCAGCTTGAAATATGTACGTACAGGAGCAGTACATTCCTGTATTCATGTCGTACAGCATTCCTTAGTGTTGTGTTGAGACAGACTAAAATTATTGGGACATTTAATTTTAATACTGCCCATTAGCTGGAACAGCTCTCTGGGACATCCATAAGTTCAAAATACATAAATACAACATCTAACAACAGATCAATAACATTAAAATCAGACATAAATAATGCATCAATAAAATAACAATGATAAAATAACAGGAATAAGCCCACAACAGCTGTGTTCTAATTAGGCCAAAGGCACAGCAGCAATAAATACAGTAAAATGCAATATAAACAAAACAATCTTTGTTCAAAAGATTAAAATTATTTAACTGTTAAAATGACGATGCATGAATAGTATTGCACTATTAGACAGAAAGATTTGACTTGGCAAATCATCAAAAAAAAGGGATAGTGATAATAGTCATGCTAGAATACTTTTTCCTGAATCACCGTGATTCCCCCCATTTTAAACTGTTCAGATATAATTAGGATTGCCAGGATGTAAATTGAAGAAGATTCCTATATTTTTTTAAAGTCCAGAGCTGTGAAACTGCCCCTTTCACAGTATTTTATGCTAGAAAAAGCAGTGTACATCTCAAGTCTGGCTGGGAATTCCAGCTCCTGAAGGTATTTGTGAAGATTCTTAGGAGCTCAGAATGTACCTGGCTCAGGGACGTTTTCATGTATCCTTGACCCATATATGGGTGACGGTTATGCCTGGCATCAGGCAAGGGCTGAGCCTCAACCAAGTCTAAGCAAGGAAGTTGCATTGCTTACTGACAAATAGTGACTGAGGGAAAAGGAGGCTGATTGAAGAGACTTCTACCTTTGAATCGGGAAAAACCATCCTCTGAGGTGCCATCGGGTGGCTGACTCAGGAAGAAGATTTTAAATGCCTTAATGTGGGGAGGGCAGACTGGGAGCAGACTGATTTGACCCACAACCCATTAAGAAATATAAGTCAAATTTTCTGGGTTAGCACATGCATATTTACCAAGCCTGGGAAGTAACTTACTGATATATAAATCACCTATTTAAACTACTGAGCCCTGAGCAGTGCGCGCGCGCGCGCACACACACACACACACACATATCTGTCAAAGTCCTTTGGGAATTTACAACAGTTGTATGCTCATTTACTGCAGAAAGAGCTGAATGTTCACCTTATATGGATTGCCTTAGGATATCTGAATTTAGAGCTTGCCAGCATACCCACGCTCCCCATTTAGACTAACTCGCTGACTGAATACAGTTCTGTCTGATCTTGAAAGACTGTGAATATGGAGAGAGAGAGAAAGTGCCAATTATAAGGCCTTCATTCCCAGTGGTGCCCTATAAATTTTAAAGCAGAATGAATTAAGATGATTCAGAGCAACCAAGCAAGGATCTAAATACTGAACAGAAGCAATAAGAAGGGTGGATTTAACACCCACAGAGGGAATCACTGACAGTGAGAAAATTTAGGTTGGATCAGGAAGGCTGCAGCAAGTGACATTTCAAAGTGTGAAACTTCTTTTTTCAGCAACACCCAGAGGACTATGGGATCCTACTCAGTGGCAGAGAGATATTCTTGGTAAGCCTGGATACAGCAGGAAGGTTCTCATAAATATATTACTAGAAAAACAAAGAAACAAACACTGGGTCTTAATAGCCTTTTTGTCCCAGTGCTGCCAGGCTACCCTCCTGAAATCCTTTGCTTGGAGGCAGTTTCCCTGTTGTAAGTGGGCACTCCAGATTGTCTTGCTACAGAGATGAAATGTCTCCCTGGAGGGACATTTCACTCTTACACCTCTAAACAATTTTATTTTAGCATCTGTAAGAGCAAGAGCTACCCGCCTTCAGAGAATCCCGTTCCCTGTGCTTCTCCTTTTGCTGGATGTGCTTCCCGACTTGGAGGGTACAAGGCTGGAATATTTAATCATGCGGAGAGCCGGGAGACAGCTTCTTCTGCGGGTGGGTGCTCAGCTCTTAAGGCAGCCTCAGAGTACTGATTTCCCTTGCTACACTAAGGGGCTATCTTGCGATACATACTTCAGGAATGGATAAATTATGACCATCCAGCACTGTATTACAGTCATAATAAGTGTGATGGCTGTTGGATGCAATGAGATTTTCACCTTGCAGATCTTCTCTGGTGGAACATTTCACAGGAGAGAACCAACTAAGAGGAAAGGTGCCTTTTGTGACTCCATCCAGTGGGAAGCCAAACCACAACCCCTTTTCTCAATGGGTGGGGAGGAATATGCAAAAGTAGCTGTTTTCTAAGGTCTACTGGATGGTTTGTTAGCTGATGACAGCAGTGAAAAGGTACCAAAATAACGGGACAGGAGGAACTGCACATCACACAAACAGGCACAAAAGCAGCACTGTGAAGGCCAGCTTTACAGGGCCAAATGCATCTTACCCACACACATCCTGCCAGCTATTTCTATCAACAGCTTTGTCAATAACAACTTTCCATGCAGTGACTCGGAAAATGATGTCCACCTCTGTAACAGTGGGAGTACCAGGAGGGGCCTCCCTATGCTCATACGTGAGATTCCTTTCATGCACACCTGGCCATCAAGGGCGGTGCCCCCACCTCAGCACTGTGGTCGAGGGCACCGATTTCCTTTTCCTCCGATGAGTACATGCCAGTCAAGGAAAGGGCTGCTGCTCGAGGGCATTACTGGGATGTGGCCTAAATCCATCCCTTGCCCAGATGGCTCAGCCTCTATGGGGAAGGATCTGCCCCTTCAGCACTGCTCCGGACTGCAGCATACTTGCTCTGCCTTAATAAGAGTCAGAACAAGCTTGGCTCCCCGCTAGCTGCACAGTCCAGACAAGGGATTCATTCTTGTTAAGGTTACTGTGTGGGGCAGAGAAGGACCTCATGAGTGGCTTCTGTTGGCAATTCAGGCCGCCGTTATGGCAGGGACATATCTGTGGCCCCAGAACTGTGAGACAATGTCAGTACCAGGAAAGAAATCCAAGGCAAAACCATGCCACACTGCATTTTCCAGGCAAATTCAGCAGCCTTTGCAGCACAGAATCCAGGAAGCTACAAGAGACAACCTTTTGGACACTGTCTCAGCTCTCAAAGATGGGTAATCAAGAAGGGAAGTAAGATGTGCCAGGAGTATGGGCAGCGTTCCAAGGGGCAGAGAGCAAAACAGCCTGGAGTTCATTAGATCCATTACTATAAAGGCTTGGAGTGCTGATGCAAAGCCTACCTAGATTTCCTAGGGGATTGCTGAATAGTCCCAGCAGCCAACCACACTGTGGCTGGTCAGCAAACCATAAATACTAAAACAGGCTGGGCCAGAGAACCAGGCCAGAGGCTTCCCTGACAAGCTGCACACATCAGTACAAACTGTAAAACTGAGCCAGAGCATGCAGCGCATACAAACTAGTTAAAGATTCTCAAGCCAAATCCATGGCAGGATTTGTGGTTGTACAGACTTTATTAATGGCAGAGACCCTGTTCTTCTGGATGTGAAACTAGAATTCTGCCTAGACTGACACTTCTCTCTCTGAGATTAATTCCTATAGCCACCAGGAACTGGAACAAGCCAGTAACTCCAGTTACAGCGCCTCACAAACTCTTGCAGCATTTCCATATGAAAATTCATGTAACCAGGCAACCTGTTAGGAAAAAGTGGGGGGAAATAGGTTCTTCTGGCTGGGAATTAAGTATGGATACAAGCATCAGTTGATTTTGTTCACAGTTGCCAAACAATCAGTCACTGATCTCAAAATTTCTGGGCGGAAGTCAGAGGGGCTCTAGAGAGGCCTCCAGTACAACCTTCCATTCTTCCATTATTATCTTTGTACTGTACATAAATTCATTAATCTCTTCTTAGTTTAAAAAAGATGCAATTTGGAACAACTAAAATGATGGCAGCTCAAATCTATCTTTAACAAAACCCCATCAATAACAGTATCAACTGGCAGACAATGCTTCTGGATATAAATGTCTTGGTGTATGAAGAACAGGGAACTGGCAAGGCAGATCTCCATGGGGAGAAGCCCCAAATGGGTGTGGGTGTCGCAACAAAGTCCCCAACGATTCCACTTTCAAGAACAAAAGAGCACTAAATAAAGCCTGCCTTCTGATTCGACCTTTGAACTATGGTTGCCAGGGCAGCTGATAAAGTAGAATATCAATATAAAACCATAAATGCCCTCACATAAAACTCCAACACTATAAATGAATAAACAGGAGCCAAATGACAAAATATATTTTAGCTTGGTTCAAATGTATCAAATAAACTGGGCAAAGTGATCTTATAGCTTCTGGCCAGCATCTAAGGCGGCCACAGGATGGTTTGGATTCCCAGCTGCAAGGTTGGAAAACAGCTCCAGTTCTGCTGCTGAGGATCCACACTCTGATCCTGTTCCCCCACACCCTACAGCTGAATGGGAAGAACTGTACTAGCTGCTTTTGCAAGGTTAGTGATTTTGGAGAAGGACTAAAGAACAGAGAGGGCCAGAGAGAGACCAGCACTACCACCACAGTACATGGTGTACTGGTGGCAGCCTCCAGCTTCCTTCCCTCCCTGTCTGAAGTGCTTACGGGGTGGGAGGAGAAGAGGAGCAAAGGCCTCCTCGCACAGGATGACTGCAGTGCTCTGAGTTTGGAGGTTTACAGGCAGCTGGGCTGGACGGCACCCTACATGTCTAGGCAAGTCATTAGTTTTTACCTTGTGCCTCACTGCAAGCCAACTAGGCACCTGGTGAATAAATATGGAGAGAATAGGGAGCAGGTGCCCCCATAGAGCAGGCCCTCTCCTTGGTAGCTACCCACCTTGATTTCCCATGGCTAGACTTCCGACAAAGATCTTAATGACTGGGCAGATTCGTCAAGTCAGCATTCAGTTGGGCTATAAACTGCATTTAAAACTTCAAAGGTTTGCTGCTGGCTTACTGTTTTATCGCTTGTTGTTATTGGTTTATTGTGTTTATTTCCTCCTGTTCTATGTATCTATTGTATTTATATTGTATTTTAATCCTATTTGTTTATGGTTTTTGGTTTGCTATTGTTATTTATTGTTATTTGTATTTTATATTGCACTGTGAGCCACCCAGAGAGCCTTTGGTTATGGGGCAGCATACAAATGCAATAAATAATAAATAAATAAATGGAGAAAAATAGCATACAATTATTTTAGACAGACGGACCATATGGTCTTCCTGATACCAAAATGGTCCCAGACTGTTCAGCCTCTATAAGCCAAAGCAGTATTTTGAATTCTGCCCAGAAACAAATTTGCAGTCTTTGACCTTTTACATAGGAAGATTTAAACAGTAGTAGTTGCCTTCGTTAACAGGCAGGTTGTTGTGCTCTGGGTCATTTAAAGTCTTCAGAGGCAATCCAACATATAGCACATTTCAGCTATATGTGTAATCCAGGCTTTATTAATGGCATGGATAATTGTTCCATGCCATTAATATGAGATATGAGATGAAGGTCAGCATCTGGACCATTCATAAAATTCTGGAAAAGAGGCTAACGCCTTGGTTAGAATCACCTGTAGGCATTTTAATGGTTGAAGTTATAAGTTATACTCCAAAGAGCTGAACACAATCAAGAGGAGAGGAAATCACAGAACTAAGTAAGAAAATAGGGAACTGAAGGACAGATCAAAACAGAGAAAAGGTAAAAAGTAAAATCCAGTTCCAGCATATGTGGGAAGTGCTGTATGGATTTTGTAGATGAATTAAAAGATTAAAAGATTGCTGAAGATTCAAATGCAAAAGCTGAGCGACACATGCGGAATCCTAACATCCTTTAGGAAGATCTACTTGAGTGCAGGAATGAAACTATAAGGATGTTGATGGGTCAGATCAGAGAAAAGGATTAGGCACTGAAGTCAAGCTGCTTCCATTCAAGCCAAGATAGAGGCAAAGACCTAGTTTGCAGTCCATGGTTGCATTTGCATGCCCCCCCCCCCCCGGAAATTTCTGGCAGTGAAAATTGCAGGTGTGGGAGAGATTGACCAGCCCTGAGAATACAGCAGGATGGAAATAAATAAATCTCCCTGTCACACCCATGTCAGAGCCCTAGTCTGGGTTTTGCAATGTTGGCAACTTGTGGGGGGAGCCCTGTACTCAGGGCTGGAACCACACAGATAATGTGATGGGCAGTTTGGTCCTGAAACATGAAAAGAGGATGAGCTAGGATGCCATAAAAGCAGCATCACACCACAGCTTCTTTCATTTTTCATGCTGGGGAGGAGAGGGTTAAAGAGCCCTTCCCTTTGCTCCTTTTTGCCCCTATGCCTGTGTAAGCGAATGCCACCCTCCAGCCCTTACTCATTTCAAAATAAGACCCCTGTTGAACACTGGTTGCTAATCAGGGAATTGTATCAGTTGAGTTTCATAATTAAAACACAAAGATCCTAAGAATGAGAAGCTGCACCTGGAACACACATGGGCACATTGATTCAGTCTTTGGGGCAGCCATTAGTATTAATCACAGCTGTGTCATGTGGAGTGCAGGCAAGTAGCAGCGATACCAAGAGTGCAGGAATCATGTCAAGGGTAAACTAACCTTCCTTTCCCTCTCAGAAACTTTAATTTAATAGGAAAACATCAGCTCAGCTCATTTTTAAAAGAAAAACATAGCACTAAAATCTTTATTGTGATTTAAAGCTCCCAGTCTAGTAAAGATAATTTAATGATGTCACCAAGACCAAAGAGTTTTAAAAGAACCGATGAATCACAGCACCTATTAATAGAAAATCCCACCTTCTGCAGTTTTTTTCTCTCAGCATCCATGGAGGCTTGGACTGATTTGATTTCAAGAGTGTGCTTCTTTACAAGGTCTTCCAGCCCTTTTACCAGCTGCTCTTTTAAATGAATGTTCTCCTCAGCCGATTCATGTTTGATTTTGTGCATCCCTTCTTTGTGCTGCTGCTTAATAGATTTTTCTTCCAGACTTGCTCTTTCTCTGGGCTAACAGATAGCACTATGTCAGTCACAATAGCCCTCCATAGCAAACTAGTAGAAGGTCAGAGGATGAATTCAAGGGCTAATGCAATACATATGCATAAGTCATGCAGGGAGAGGGGTATCGACACTGCCTGGGTGAAATGGCCTGTTCTCCAGTTGAGGAAAGGGCTGTGCCAACAAGAATGCCACTGCAAGATCCAGGGCTAAAACAGCAGTATGCACGGGGGACATGACTCTCAAGAGCATGTCAAGGGACAAAACAGACAGGCACTACTTTAAATCTTGGCTGGGATTCCCAGCAAGAGGGTGAGGCTTTTGCTTTGCTCTAATCTCTGGCTCAGGCCCCTGCAGCCACCCCAGGGCAGACATAGTGCAGACTTAATGCCCTTGGGTCGCCCCAAGTGAGTTCACCATCCTCATCCCTGACGGGCTGCCACACCACATGGTAGGTGAAAGGCATCCAGGGTCTCCTTGCAGCTAGAGCAGCATGACTTTGCTCTATGTGCCACCATGGAGCGGCTAGCCTGTTTTGTGTTGCGGGAGCAAGACCAGTGTGGTTGGAAAAAGGTGCTTACTAATTCAGTGCCTGACGGCTGGTAGAGTTTTGCTGGTTATGACCAGACAGCCTGTACTTCTTTACTCATTTCTTTGCCTTGCTGCACCGTTTCCAGTCCACCCATGACAAATGAGCTTCCGTTATGCTTGCAGACGGCCAGTTGGCATCACTTGGGGATATGAGCATGGAAGAGCCTTTCAAATTTGCAGCCCCTTACATGCATTCTGTTAGGAGCCTTGTCCCATGTGTGTTTTCCAGGCACCTGAATGGGTTTGAGATCAACAACTGAACTGTGCTGCATATGGATCCTAAAGGCACAAGGGCAAGTGGGGCCCACTTCATAGGCTACCTGCAGCTTTGTGGTTGCCTCTTCCCCATGGCTGCACTTAGCTCTACATGCCACTTCTTTCCCACGTGTCTAGAAGAGATCACATATTGCTAGTGACAAACTGCCCTAGGAAGTGGCTGCAGCTAGCACTGCACAGAGCGATGCAACTGAAGCTGGCCATGTGGATGTGTGTCAGCAGGAATGTCACGAAGCAGTCACGGGACAGGTGTACCCACCCTTCTGCCAGCGACATATGCAGCAGGTCGAATTACTTCCTGGTGTCTCCCCCACCTGTAACCTTCCAGTACCTTTCCTGGCGAGCATATTGATAGAATGTGGCTGAGAACGGTACAGTTTCCTCTCGATTACATTTAGAAAGAGAAGGGATGACACAGTTACCAGATCAGGTCGGCATGTAGGGCTGATCTTACATAAAGTGAGAGAAAGCTGACGTTTATGCACCTGAGAACCTCCACCGCCTCGGTTGCCTTGGCTCTGCTGCGTAGACTGTGTCTGCGGCAGGGGCACGAACTGCGTCTTCGGGGCACCCACTTCACTCCTGGCTTTGCTGTGGGGATTCAGCACAGTCTCCATTGCTTCTGCAAACACACATGTATGCAGTGAGATGCTGCTGGATATGATCGGGATGATAAACTGTTTCATTGTATGAATGCATTGCATTTATATAGCATGCTATATAAATGCCAGGGTGAATCCTGATTTTATATGTATTATTTATATGATTGTTTATTTATTATGTTGGAAGCCGTCCTGAGGCTTATGCGAATGGGACGGCATACAAAAATCCCAAATAAATAAATAAAAATAAATGCTACCGTGCTCAAAGCGCTTCTTAGACATTTTTATAGCATCATGATGACAGCTCTGAAAGGGAATCCAGCATTGCAAATGGGAAGAGGAGCTGGCAGAGGCTGGCTGACCTTTGTGGCTGAGATCAGATTTGGACTGTGCATTTCCCAGCTCACATTCTTAGTTGTGACACTCCTGCAGCATCCAAGAAGTACACAGATTAAACTTGCCTGTTTTGTGCAGTATTTCATTTTCTCGCAACAGAAGTCTCTCTTTGGTAACTCTACATTCCTCTTCCAGTGTTTTCCTAACACTTTTAGACTCCGTAGCCATCTGCTGTGCTTCCTTGAGCTGTGTTTCCAGGTCCTGCAAATCAATTACATGATTATATGTTTATGATCATTAACTTTGCTTGTTAAAGTACTTCCATTCCAAGTTGTTCCTGCATTATTCAGGATAGGTAGCATCTGATCGGGTTCACTGTTCATGTGGGGCAAACAAAGGGTACATTTTACTCATGGCAGGCTGGAGAAAACACCACTGCATTTTCTGCTCTTAGGAGTTTGTTTAGAATCATAGAATCATGAATAGTAGAGTTGGAAGGGGCCATGAAGGCCATCAAGTCCAACCCCCTGCTTTTGCAGGACACCACATTGCACCATCCCACTCAGATGGCTGTCCAGTTTCTTTCTGAATGTCTCCAGTGTGGGAGAGCCCGGCATCTCTCTAGGCAGCTGGTTCCACTGTTGTATTGCTGTCGTATTGTTTTATTTATAAATCTGTGAGTTGCCTTGCAGCCCAAATATGGTCCACAAAGTAACTTATAAGTAAAAAACAAAAAAACCCTTACAGAACAGCAAATCATATGACTGCAGAAGGGACTCTGTGACCCTGGTCCCCATTCTCTTGCAGGTCCTATAGCTGCTCCTCAAGGTTGGAAAATCAAAAATCACAAGACGTGTTCCTGGTGGAGACAGGAAGTCCCGGGAAGTGCCGGATCCTGTGATCGTTCCAGTTCTGGCCCCGGTTTCAGCAGCGCAAGACCTCTACTGGACTTAGAGGCCTGCCTATCGGAGGAAATAAAAAATGACAATGGAGCAGTGGAAATGGCATCCGCTGTTTCTTCTGCCCTGAGAGCATCAGCCCACCAGGAGAAAGGATACTTGGACACCTCCAAGTCCAGAGCCTCCTGTCTAGCAGGCAACAATCCCACAGCACTGCACTGTTACAAAATTAAAAATGATCACTGCAGAAAAAATAATAGGAGAAAATTTAAAAGACCAAGTGTGGAATTACTACATTTAGAATAGTAAAAATCTATGTGCAGCAACACGTTTTAGCAGCCTGCCCGAACCAAACACTGCTTCCTGATGCTTATCTTAATGTGGTGAGGGGGTTTGTGTCAAAGAAGTCAAGAGCAATGCTGCCAAGAGGCCAGACTGTCTCACTGGATTGGTCTCCTGCTCGGGCCACCCAAAGTGGAATGGTCAAAGCAAAGGCACCAGACCAAGATGCATTCACCCTCTTCAGACGTAGCAGCCACATCAGCAGAAGGGAATGGAGCTCTCGAATGGTGATGAGGCCAGAGGAACTCTTAGAGGGCATCTGCCAGGAAGCAGAGGCATTGGAGACGCTGGCAGAGGATCTTTCATAGATAACAGCAGTGATGCTCACGCTAACCTTGGATACTACCGTACAGAAGAAGGCAATGCCAAACAACTCCTGAATATTTCTTCCCTTGAAACCCCTATGATGAAAGAATCCAAAATGAAACAAGAAATATTGCCAGAAGATGAGACTACCAGATTGGAAGGCACTTGGCCAGCTACTGGAAAAAGCAAAGAGCAAGTACAAATAGCATTGTCTCTAAAGATATGACTAGATCAAAACTAAATCTAAGTTGTGGCTGACATGCACAGAGGCAAAAGGAAAGTCTGATGCTGCACAACACGTGGAACGTGAACATGGAATGTGAGAATTATGAATGAAAGCAAACTGGAAACTGGAAAGCAAGAAATAAAATGGTTAAACACTGCAGTAGTTGGTTTGAGTGAACTAAAGAAAGGGAGATTTCTAATCAGACAAACACAAAGTATTTCACTCTGGAAATGACAAACTTTGAAGAAAGAGAGTGTTGCGAGCCAAGCTTCTCCTACAAACAGTATCAGTCTCACCGATGTTTCCTTGCTAATGATGTTTATTGTTTCCTTTGAGACTCTTCAGAGGCTGAACACTGAAACCTTTTTGCCATTCATTTCCCAAAGCTCTCCTTATGAACCCATCTGTGCCTTGCCCCCAGGGGAGGGGCGCTGTGAAAAGGGGCATGCCTCCACTCCTCCCTTTGTGCCCCTAACTGGGCTTCCCTCCAATGGTAATGACAAGCGACTGGGTCTGCTGCTTCAGGGGGTGGAGGCTCTCCATCAGTGAGGCTTCCTATTACAATGTCTCCCTCCCTCACACTTCCCATTTGTTTTTCGGCGGCAGGCGAAGACCTTCTTGTTTAAGCAGCATTTTAAATGTTAATATTATTGAATTTTATCTGGCCAGGGCGGCTTATTTTATACTGTATTTTTTTTTATTCTAATGTATATATTTTAATTTTTATTTATGTGGATCTAATTTATTGTTGTAAGCCGCCCCGAGGCTTCGGCGAATGGGGCGGCATAAAAATGTTTTAATAAATAAATGAATGAATGAATGAATGAATGAATGAATGAATTTCAATGTCTCCTTCCTCCCTGCTCCCATGGCTGGGTAGACTTATTCCCCCAATTTGCTCTTCGGCTAATCTCCCCCACCGGAATTTCCTGTTGGGTCTCAGGACCTTGAACTGCAGCTAGAGTCATAAATAGTCTCATCATAATAATCCGACTCATCGGTAGTCAGCACAGGGAATCTCCCAAGAGCATGGGTGAAATCTGACAGGACACATTTGCATGATAGTGAGTGGCTCTAATAATCATATTGATCAGTACTTTCAGAAAACCTCACAACAGAATCATCATTCAAGGCTATACTCCAACAACAGATGCTGAAGAAGAATAAATCCAAAACTTTTATGTAAGAGGAAAATGGTAACACACCCAAACAAGGTTTCTGGTAATTCTTGGTACTGCAATGCAAAGTAGGAAACAAAGCAGAGTCAAACATCGTAGGAGAATTTGGCTTAGGAGTAAGAAACAAAGCAGGAGAATGGCTCATACACCCATCTGTTTACTGGAAGGCAAACAATCTGACAAGTGTGCACATGGACATCACCAGATGCACAATACAGAAATCAAAAAGACTATGTAATTGGAAGCAGAAGATGAAGAAGCTGTATTTTCACCGCCAAAATAAGAGTAGGAGCAGATTGTGATAATGATCATGAACTCTTAATATGAAAAATCAGAGTGCGGCTGAAAAAGACAATTAACAGAAACATAGTGCCAAATTACAACTTCACATTCCTGAGGAATGTAAACTCCACCTAAAGAAAAGATTTGAATTACTGAACTTAACTGACCAGGGGAACTGTGGACGGAAAGCACAGACATTCTTAGGGAAGAATGCAAAAAGAAAATTCCTGTAGCAAAAAGAAAAAGCTGAGGTGAATTGTCTGAAGAAACACTTACAGTTGCTAAGTACAGGAGAAAAACAAAAGCAAACGGTGACAGAAATATGGCTGTAATCCTGAATGTAACTTTTCAGCAAGCAGCACATAAAGACAAAAAGAGCTGCTACAATTGCCAGTGCAAAGAAAATGGAAGATAACAACAAAAGAGAAAAAACAAGAGCCCTCTTTCAGAATTTCCAAAGGGAAATTCGAACCTGGATTAGGAATGCTGAAAGACCAACAGTGGATCATGCCATCTGATCTTTCAGAAGAACAGGATAAACAAAGAGAAGGTGAAAACAATATATAGAGGAACCATACAGAAGAGCTAAATGGATGACAGGCTCCTTCTAAAGGAGTCCTATGAGGAAGAAGCTGCAAAATTAGAAAGTGAAGCGAAAGCTGTTCTGGAAGCACTTGAAAGGAATACGGCACCTGATATGAACAGGATACCCATAGAACTATTCCAAGTTGCGGAGACTGAATCAGTTCAAATCTTAGCAGGAATATGCAACAAATGTGCAAAACAAACAGCGGCCCAGAAACTGGAAGTGTTCAGGATACATTCCACTCCCCGAGAATGGCGACGCAGGAGTGGAACGGAGGAGTGCTGCAACCACGGGACTTTGTACTCATCTCTCACGCAAGCAAAAGAATGCTTAAGGTGTTGCAACAAAGATGCTTACCCTGTATCGAGTGAGAAATGCCTGACGTTCATGCTCAGTTCTGAAAAGGAAGGGGCACTCAAGATCATATTGGAATATATGTTCGCTACTGGAGCTTACCAAAGAAGAATATCAATAGAGCAAAGCATTCAACTATATGGAGCATGAGAAACAATGGATGGTTCTGAAAGAAATGGGTGTGCCTCAGGACTTGTTTATCTTGATGTGTAGCCTATATCATGGACAAGAAGCTACCGTTAGGTCAGAATAAAAGAACCTTGAGTTTACAATTGCTGAGCAGAGCTGTTAAAGCTGGGCCATTTCAGAGGACATCTATTCATAGTTGCCCTAAGTCAGAGATGAGTTGATGGCACACAACAACACAACTGAACAAAAGAGCGGCCAGTCTAATTTTCTTAGGATGGGTATTCCAGAGGTGTAGTGTTTCTACCGTGAAGGCCTTATCCTTTGTTCCAAGCAAACTAGCCTTTGAAGAAGATCTTGAACAGGAAAGGTTCATACTAGATGAGGCTGTCTTGGTCCCAAGCCAATTACAGCTTCAAGTACGCATCAGCATCTTCATTTGCGCCTGGAAGCAAATAAGCAGCCAGTGTAGTTGAGAGAGGACCAGTGTATTATGGTCAACAAAGTGGATGTCAGAAAGCAATCTGCTTTATAATAATAAACAAATTGCATCAATAAGGAGCCCTTCACTCACACATCTTTCGTTGCTTCATATCTACCCAAGGGGAAATGCAGTGGGAAAATTATGGAAAAATGTTAACTCCTCTCATCTCAGATCTCAAATATACATATTTTATAACTTTGCCTTAAGTATTAATTAATGATCAGAGTTATGCTTCCCAAGAAATACCTTTTCTTTTCAGCCTTTCATCCTACATATAGTCCTGGGGGAATAAATACTCTCTGTACTGAAAGGAGCTTGTACCAAATGGGACCTCTGCCATAAGCAAAAGAAGCTTTCATGCAAAATGTGTAAAATATAGGAAACTGTGTTTTTTCTGTTCCTGCTGTGCCACAGTTTTGCCAGTGAATGACTGTTTTCTTTTGACAATCTGCATTAGCTCACAAATGGGATTCAAATGACAAGCTGTTAACTATTTCAGTCACATAGTGTTAATTTCCACTACCAGAAACCTGGCTGTTGATACTGATCTTTCCATTATAATCATTTTTGTGTAAGATTTGTTCATCAAATACAAGGAGAGCAATGAATTCATAAGAATTTTTTCAATGGGAGTAGCATGTCCTGTGAACTCCTATGACACCATAGAAGGGTGCCAGTTGCAGGTGCTGGGCTTGGCTCAACATTTCTTTGCACCATCCTCTCCCTTCCTGTACTCATTTCCAGGGACTTGAGGAAAGAAGTGAAAGAAGAATCTTCAGAGACATATTGCCCCCTTCTTACAACCTTAGAACATCCTTCAGAAAGGGGAATAGGACCCCACCCCACCCCCGTAGAGCTTAGTGTCTCCATCAGCCCACCAGTTTAGCTATCCAGTATCTAGGCTGGAGTGCAGGCTTTGCTTCACTGTAATGTGGTTATCGGGTACAGCATTTATTTTATTTGACCACTTTAGGAGTAAATGGCAGCTGTTCAGTTTTATCAAATACAGTAAACATTGCCATTAAATTGGAGGCTAAACACTATCTGCATAGCCTCATCTTGGGGATGCTAGAAGATGCCATCCACATGTCAGAAATGTCTTATTTTTATAGATGTAGCAAATTTGCCAACAACCTGATGACTGAAGGTCAAAACAATCCAAAGATTTCACCACTTACTGAGTGAAGAGGCATATGGCTTAAGCACCTCACATCCTACCTGCAACTTGTCCTTTAGCTTCTGAGAATACTTTTTCAGTTCATTTATTTGCTGGCCTTTTGCCTCCAGGTCAGCCTCCAGTTTTCCTATCTGCTCCCGTGATGCAGCTTCTTGGGCTTCATAGTTTTTCCTTTGCTCCATTTCCCTTTGCTGCCATTCCCTGCACAAATCAGTGGCGGATTGCTGCATGGCCTTTCTCCAGTTTTCTTTTTCTCTTTCATGAGAGGTTTCAAGTTGGCTTGCTTTCTTGGCAAATTCTTCTGCCAGTTTCTGGTTCTCCCATTTGAGGTTCATAGTCTCACTAATTACAGCCTGAATGTCCAGGCTGTACATTTCAGTTAACTTCCCTTTGTTATTCAGTGTGTCTCCTGAAAATAACACGTGCTTGTTTACAAGGCCATCTGACATCTTGTTTGAAGCCTGAACTCTTAGCTTTGTGCATGCCATTTCCTGGAAAAGCTTGTCATCTGCTTGCTCGGCCTCTATCTGAAGTTCCTCCTCGTCTATCTGTTTCTTGCATGGGGTCACTTCTGACGACACCTCCTCTTTTCTCTGCCTGTGTTTTTTCAAAGCTTCTTCAAGGAACTGGATGTAGTTCTGGAGCTCCTGTGCTTCCTCTACTTTGTTCTGATACTGGAGGACTGTTTCCTGTGTCTCAGCAAGAATATGCTGAATCTCTTCTTGATGGGCCTCTTTGAGAGCTTGCATACTGGCCTCATACTCATCATTTTTAGTGTTCAAAGCGTATATCACCTGTATGTACAAGGAAAGAAAATAAGTAAGGTGGGGGGAACCCTATTAGTACATAGTAAAAATTTCATAGTTTTATTTCTAATGCAGCAATCATGCAACATCAAAATGAACGGGATTTATTGCACAGAAAACATACTTTAGGTAGCAGTTAATGTATATCTAAAACTTCTGGAAAGTATATAACACTGTGGAGGAGGTGCTGTGGATCCTGATTCCTTGTCCTCAGAGGACAGAACTTCAGATTTAGCGCTCAGTTAAAGGAGGACATCATAAGGGTCTCAACTCCTTAAGACTGAGTTCTCCAGGTACGTCCCAGGGACCAGCTCCCCTGGGTCCAGAGGAGGCCCTGTTGTTGTGAAGCCATGAAAACACAATCATGCTGCAGCCATTTCCCTGTGATCACAGCCTGAACTGCTGAAGAGAGCAGTTTCTCTTACAGGAAAACCATACTCAAGGCTCCAGCTCTGGCACAATCCGCAGCTTCCCTTGGCGCTCTCCGTGGTGCTGCTCCATAGAAAGTGTCTTTCTGCAAAACTGGACTCGGGCTTGTTCAGGGTTCACCGAATGGGACTTACCCCAAGTAGTCCGTGTGAATGAGACCCACCATGGGCTTTTCTAAACAATTGTTTATCATGCATTTGTCATCTCCTACGCATGACCCTTTATGTGTTCTTTACACATAATTGTGACTCCAGTTTCACTTCTGTTATAGAGAGGGGGCCCAGCTCTTGCATGCTACGGGCTGCCCAGACAGATATGTCCAATTCTGAGAAGTCAGAGGGGCAGAGCTGGGCAGACAGCTTGGCAGTTTCTAGTGCAGATGCTCAGGCAAAGCATGAGAGGCAGCCTGCTCTGAGAATGGAGGAAGGCAACACTAGCAAGACAAACTCCTTGACCCATTCAGAAGACAAAAGGCAAAGTGAGACCAATTCAGAAGTATTTGGGCCTGCTGCTGTTGAGAGAAGAGGCAAGAAGAGGATGTTTCAGTCTCAGTTCAGCTCTTTACATGGACAGGTGTTTCTCCCACATCTCAAGGAGAATGCTGCTTTGATTTATAATATTTTGTAATCTGTTAATGTTTTAAAAAAGACTCTGCTTCAAAAGTTTCATCTGAGTCTGCTGGAGAGGAAAAGACAGGAGGAGAGATCTGCTTATGATGTCAATGTCTAAAGCACCCCTTTGGCTGTTTGTTGATTTGTTCATTTTGACTGCACAGGGGCAATTCTCTCACTTGAACTAGAAGTGAAAGAACCTCCTTTTCTCTACATGAATTTGCAGTATTCTACTATGCCACAGTAACTAGAAGATATGTAGTGGTGAACCAGGTATGAAATGCTCTTTGTGTAGTGTTTGAATGTCACTTCTGCACTACCATTGGCAACAGATACAGAGAATTAACACATGATTCTGAGCCTTGCATAGAGAGGCTCAGTAATGTGAGGTCCCATTGCAACAACAGAGCTCACTGGTTGAAGCAGAACATGGGTTGCTCCAGCGCCAGCACCTCAAAAGCTGTCAGTAACAGGAGAGGGAAGGCTTCAGAAAATGCCAGTGCATAGTTCTGTAAGGTTCTCTTTTTTCCCAAATATTTGCACCAGCTGCCCTTTTTTAGGGTACATGTAAATCTTGCAAGTGGGAACTAGTATAATATCCCATTCCACCCTGCACAGATCAATGCTGCAACATACAACCAATTTTAGTAAGTGCAAGCTGGTAGCTCATACTGTCCTACCAGGTGATAAGAACGTCATCCATCCTTTGGAAAAAGTTGGAAGAAAATGGGAAAATACTGTAAGGCCGGGAATGATAGACAACATTGAACCCCTCATGAAATTCTGCAGATGGGGCAGGGAGATGGTACTAAGAAAGTCTTATCAGGAAGCATGCCTGGTTTGCAAAGCAGGAAAATGGAGTGTCCAGGAGTGTAACATCCCCAACTCTGAAGTAAGGTGAGGTGGCCACATCTGGTGGTGAAGTGGGAAAAGTGTGACATTGAACTGCAACCCTACCCTTGCCAGGAGGGCCTGCCCTGCCCTGCCACCTCCAGTAGATGCTTGGGAGAGCCTTGCTGGTCACTCTCCTGCCAGGCCCTTTGTCACAGTTAGAGCGCAACTGTGAGAGCTCCCTATAGCAACTGCCCACCTGCCCCGCGCCCCTCACTGTGCACCTGCACCTTCGCTGCTGCATGGTCAGAAGCAGCAGCTGTGGGGCTAACATGAGACCCAGCTGGCTGGGGTCTCATGAAAGTCCCACAACCAGAAGGGCTGACACAGTGGCAGCAGCAAAGGCAAGGGAGGGGGGCATGTGATGGGGAGAAAGACAGGAAGCAGGGGGTGATGTGGGGTGGCAGAAGGGGCGTGATGCAGCAGTGCATGATCTCTCCCTCTCCAGATGGCAAGAGACCTTGGGCTGAGGCTGCCAGGATGCACTGGGATCCCTCCCAGCCCCCAGGCTTAGTGCTGTTAAGATTTCACATGCTACTCATCCGCTATGCAAAGGCAAATGACATGAAAGTAAAAGCCATGCATGTGTTCACTCCCTGGGGATTATTTAAAGATGACAGCCTTATTAAAAATATCTTGAGTATTACTGTTGTAGCTAGGAATATTCCAGATAAATATGCAAGAACAAAACAGAGAGCACAACTTATTCTGAGAACTGAACAAATATCCCAACCCATTTTGTCTGTAGCTACAATTAGACACTTATTCATAAGAGGTAGTTTCATATTACTTCTTGCGAGTTCCCCTGTATTACATTAAGTTTTTTGTTTCCGTTTGTTTTTGTTTAGCCAAAGAAAATTACTACCCAGAACCTATCCTCCTAAAGGAGCAATCACTAACCCAGGTCTGTGCATGTTACTTAATTATTCAACAGCTGCTGTCAAATAACAGGAAACTCACTTAAATAATTCTATGAGATGCCAGCCTTGAATAATTGTTAAGGTAATTTACTTTCAACTGCTGCATCTGGAGAGCATGAAGGTTTGAAACCATTAGTGATTTCCAGATTCTGGACCAGTTCCTGGACTAGGGTTGCTCTATTTGTGACCAGATGCAAAAGGAGGGTGGGGCCCCTGTCTCTTTAACCAGAACAGAGAAAAGATAAGTTGGGAAAGCAAAGCTTTTCTCATCCCTGCATGGTAAGGTGACCCTTCCAAAAAGTCCCTCTCCTATGCAGCTTTGAAAAGTACAGAGGCCCTGCCCTTCTTTGCATAGTACATGCTAGTTTGCATACAATACCAATCCATAGTTTATTTAGCCCATGGTTTGTTGGCGTATTCAGAGATTGTCTGGCAGACAAGTGAATGCATTCTGATTTGTGCCCTCAGACCCCAACTTGCTTGTTCCCCCCACCCCCATCTTTGCCCACACCTCCCTATATCTTTAATGCCTTTATGTCACTGTAGTATTGGCATGCATAGCAGTTTTTCTTTTTAACCCCTCTAGCTCACTGCTCTGGCAAAACTACAGAAAGCTACAGAAAATGTCTTGTTTTGAATGTGTGAACCCTAGATCCCTTTCCCTTCTTTAATAGAGATGTCAGTGGTTTAACCTGGCATGTAGCACATTCATCATCTATCCCTGCTTGTTAAGATTAGGGAGGGCCTAGATCTCAATTCTGCCTGCTGCGCATAGTTCCATCAGGTATTTGGCAAGAGAAAGGTCGCACCTTTTCAATGGTATGTTGAGGAATGAGCATCCTGAAGAGGTCCTCTCTCTTATGGTCACAAAAGGTGAAAGAAGGTCTGGCAGGGCAGTGCCACTTTCACTGGACTTTGTCCTCTTGCTGCTTTCATTCTGCCACTGCTGCTATTTTTACAGTGTTCTGCCTTTCATTGATTTTTACTTTGCTGTTTGTTTATATTGGTTTTGCAGAAGCAACCTTGAGAATTGAAGGATCATAGATGATTAAACATAACCCTTCTTCATGATACACATGCTGTGGGACAATGTGTTGTGTGTAGCTTTAAGAGTTGGATGGAGGATGAAGCTGAGGCAGACCTGCAGAAAGGATGACCCACCAACTTGAAAACTACCCGTATGCAAGCTGCCATTGGCTGGGCAACCCTACTGCTCTTAGTTCCACGTAGGCACAAGCAGCAGGAGGTTTCCAAGTGTGTGGTGAGTCTCCACACCTGAGCAAGCCATTCACAAATGTGTTCATTAATGCCTTTTAAAATCTAACATTTGTTCCCATTACAATGCTAACCGAGACTAAGCGTGGTGGATGGAAAGGGGGAGGCCCTGACTCATGTTCCAGCCCCAGCATCGTAACAGGAAAAACCTTAAAGCTGAATTGTAGAGCATGTTGAAAATATTTATAGAAATGTATTTCCCTGTGTCAGTTAGTTATTATCCAGACCCTGTGAAATTTGCTGGAGCCAATTAGAAGCAGCATCACAGCAACAATGAACAGCGAATTGCTGGTCTGAGTTTTCCCTAGAATGGAGTGTACTCACATTTCTGTAAGATGAGTCACACACACACACCTTGCAAATAACCTATGCACTGTGGATTGAGGGGAGTGTTGGAGGGCACTGAGAACTGTCAGGGCAAAACTCAAAATCTAGAGGATCACTCTGCTAAGGTGGAGCACTACTTGCCACCCCCTTTAGGGCAACCCCCCCTTTGCTACTTTGTTCTCCAATTAACAGCTCACTAAATTGACAGCTGTCAAATTTGCACTAAGTAACCAGCATGCAGCCTCACTTGGCAACGTCCATGGATATTTCTACCTACACTTTGACAGCAGAGACTTCTTGGAACATTGGCTAGGAACGGCTCCACATTTTGGGCAGTCATAAGTGCACACCTGTGTGTCTTTGCAAGACTGAAAAAAAAATCAATTGCACACATTCCTGCTGACCCTCACCCCTCAAGAGAAGGGCAGCAACCCACTGACAGTTGCTCAAAGTGCTACTTGGGCATCAGTGGAACAGGGGCAGAGGCGAGCTTGCCAAGAGAGGCAGGGACTTTTGCCACTTTTGCAGAGCCACT